CTCTCTAACCTGTTTAGTATTATTCTGATCCATCCTCTCATATATACCTCTCTAACCTGTTTAGTATTATTCTGATCCATCCTATCGTATATAACTCTCTAACCTGTTTAGTATTATTCTGATCCATCCTCTGCAAAAAGGAACTGATTACTCGTCTCAAATTCGAATTGTCTAATCCCTAAATCTTTATGACTTGATTTCGTAGACCATATTTCAAACTAGATCAAATAGTCATGGTTTGAAAAATCAAAGGTTTACACGTCATCTGCAGTTGGCAAAGATATAGAGATTTTACAATTTTAGGGTCGCCCATTAATTACCGAATTTCAAAGATGACTGCATTAACTCTGTTTGATCTGATTCTTAAATTCCTGTTATATTTTTTTTCTTTAATATTTTCTAAGATTATTAAGATGCAAATCTAAATGACAATAAAAACTTAAAAATATTTCCAATGGCTGTCACTCTACTGTGTACAGTATTCTGTTCGTTATGCAAATTTTAAAAAAGTTTTATAGATGCAGAGTGTAGATCTCTTATAAAAATTCGCAATCTAATATTGCATGTATTGAGGTCATGTAATGCTATTATTATTAATAATTAGATTTTAATTAATAATGATTCTTCGTAAAGCTTCTCTTCTCTATTTCCTATCCATAGTTCAGTCAAGCGTTTAATAGCCAATTATTTTATCTATTCGTTTATTCAATTAAACACAAAGAAATAGTCGAAACAAAAAAACTGTAAAAATTCTTCTATAAAAATCTGAGCCCTTGTATTGTCTTTGTATTAATTTTATTTAACTTTTTTTTTAGATCATTAGAGCAACTCGGATTTTAAAAAAATTCCGATGTCTTTAGCAAACTATAATTTCATACCTTGATTTAATTTCTCCATTAAATACTTGCACAATAAATAATTAAAATAATTGGTGTAGAAATGCGCAACGTTTTATTTGATAAACAACACGTGCATTTTCTATAATTTTCTATTTCTATGAAGAGCTATGAGGACTGCGAGAGATTATCAACAGTAGTTTAAAATAATAACGTATTTAAGAGTTCAAAGAAATTGAGTTTTGCCATATGGCCAAATTTCTAGTCATTCTATTTTTTGAACCTGATGATGTAAAACTTTGATATTGCATAGTTTGAAATATTAAATGTATACGAATTACGAATTAGCTGGAATTGTAAAGATAAAGGGATGACAAAATTAGAGTTTGTGGTAAAAACTTATTTACTTTAAAATTTGGTTCTTTTTTTGATTAAACTGCAATGTGTCCCAATAAACATGAAACTTCTTAACAGGTCGTCTTCTTAAGATTCAAAGTTCCAAGAGAACTTTTAAAACTTTGAAGATGACATTAAAAACTATGCATAAATCATTTTTTTGGGGGGACCACATTGTTCACAAAAAGATTTATTTTTAATTTTTCTAAATAATAAAACGAATTAAATGAGTTGTAAAACTTTTTAAATTATTTTTCTAATGAAAAGCTGACGGTTAATCAGGCGGTTCGGGTGCCCGAGATAAAAGAACCGGTTTCTCTTGATGTGGACATAGCTGACTCATTCCAGTACAGAGAAAATTACAACAGGAATATTTATCAAACTTATTTCTAATTTAAGATTTAGGTTTTACATTAAAACTGAATAAAATTTTCTTGATTTTAGTTGAATTAAATTTGTTAAAAATGATAAAAATCCGGATAGTTTGGATGGTGACAGTGGACTTGATCATAGCGCAGACGAGGTCGATCTCCCCAGCTTTACAGAACAGAATATTCTAGAACAAAGGGTAGAGGAGGAGGAGGATGATGAAGTAGACCTGGGCAATCAATCACAGGATGATGATGAGGAGGAGGTGGAGGAAGAGGAGAAGAAGGAAGATGAAGACCGAGAGATCCCGCCTCCAATGGAATCCATGAAAAAAGCTCGCCAAGACAAGATTGATTTTGATCAGCTAGAAGAGGAAATACTCGGTGATGAACTGGTAGAACCTGATCCAATCACCGACACTGAGGAAGACGACCTAGAGCTGACGGAGAAGAGTTTCAGTAAGAGGAAGACAAGTGATTTGATCACCGACATGTTGAGCCAAATGGTGATAGAGCCAGAAAGTCGGGATATCGCGCGCAGATAGAAAATTCTTACAGGGTGGCCAAATCTGTTCTGGTTTTGACCACCGCCAAATAAAAGTTGGCAAAATTTGGCCTCTGCTGGAATGCAAACAGATCCAGTCAATCTCTTTTAGTCATTTCTGTTTATTTATTAAAATATTTATTTATTTATTTATGTTAAATATATTTACGAACTATTTTCATTTTCTGAACCACTTACCATGTGTATGGATCCGTTCGAAAAATAGCATAGTCGGATAGTGAGTCTTTCATTCTTAACAAAATTTACATTTTTCAAACCTAGTTTAAAATATCAATCATACTTCAACTTGAAGGATAAAGAAGGCCGCAGGCAAGTCAAGAAATCTTAGAACATCTCTACGTTCGGTCTATACATAACTTGCATGCATGCAAAACATAATATTATTTTCTGGGTAAATTTGAAGTTTTTTATTCACAATTTCCTTTCAAAGTTCTAACAGTGTGCGGTATACTGTAATTTCTATCGTCAAAATATTATGGAATTTTAAAATTTTTAAAATTATCTCAACAGAACATAAAGTTTTATCAATTAAACCCTCACTGGGAACTAGGTAGTTTATTATAAGGTTTTGTTTAAAAAATACCTAATCGGTAAAATAAAAAAACAGATGATAAAGTGGGACCAAAAGACTGAGCAATAAAAAGTCTTTCATTTGAATCAATTGTTATGATTTTCAATAGTTAAATGAATCAGGCGCGCAACTAGGGGGTGAGGGCAAGGGGGAAAGGCCCCCGTAGCCTGATTAAGGGGGGGCATGCCCCTCCCTTAAGAAGGCTTGCCCCCCCCCCCTGTAGGGTGGGGGGCAAGAAGTCCACCCTGTTTTGCAATTTAGCGATTTATAAATTCCTGGGAAAGGTAAAGGGGGTTTATGAAGTATTTTTAGATATTTTCACTATCAGTTCTGCCACTTATTATGATATTGCTTTAATACTGTAGTACAACTATTAAATTAATCCTACATGTTCACCGCAAATATTGTGTTATGTGTCATATCCAAAAAAAATTATTTTTCATGAAAAATTAGGTTATATCCGGTTTGTACGGTTAGATTTTTTATTGTTTGAGTATAATACACATTTTTCTTGCCCCCCCCCCTAAAAACGTTTAGGGGGCAACAAAATTTTTCGAGCTTCGCGCCAAATGTTTCACTATTGCCCCCACCCTAACAAATTGTCTAGTTGCGCTCCTGAAAGGAATATAAAACAGATCAATTGTTTTGTTCACGGACCCTTTCACATAGTAAGCAAATCTTTAAAGCCATTTATAACCCTATTTTGTTCACAATAACTTCAAATACTCATAAAAGATGGTTTTAATGTCGTCTTCTTATTCCACTATTTTATCACATTTTAGGTAAATGTCGTCTTTTTTAGCAACCATTTTTTTGTATAGGTGAATATATATCTCCTCTTGATGTTTATAATATGTTTAACCATTGATTTATTTATTGTTTCCTAATCTAAAATCCAACAAATATTAAACCAGTTTTTAAATTATTAAAATTCACTTTTACTTTTCTGACAAAAATGTTTAGTAATACACAAGTTGATGATTTACCCACAAAGGATATTGCTTTAAATCTGACTATTTCAAGAGGTTAAATTAAGTCTTCTACCTTGAATACTACCTTTTAATGGCTTATTCAATGATTAGGAAACAGACAGTGTAAGTTCTGTAAGTCGTCTCTCAAGTCTCATTCTTTGTAGGTAACCCTTAATGCATAAAAATGGAAACTGTTCTAATAATAATTTATTTCAAGATTAACTAATTACACCTCAATAAGTTACGGATAAAATGAATATGTCTATTAGTTTAAATTTTGATAAATATGTCTCTTTAAATAAATGATCTGAACTGCAGACATGCAACAAGTGTTTAAGTTTAATTCAGCACCAAAGATTGGCCCGTATGGTCGGAAGACGACTTTTGGAGACAGCTTCAGAGGAATTAACTAAATTAACGTAGGATTGAACTAATATTTTCTACCGATTACAGAAAACTGAAAATAATTGTTTAATTAAATAATACAAAGAAACCTATACGGTTCATAAACTTGATAAACAAGATGAAAGCTAATAAATACAGTTCAATAATACATAATCATATCTTTATTAAAGTATAATGAATCGAAAGTACTGACGTGAAAAAAGTTACAGAGTTAAAAAGGTGTGCCTTTAATCCTTAATATTGTAAAATATACACAGTACATTTATTGGGTTATATATGTTCATCAGTAATCAATTTTCTAGAATCAATATTATGACTGTCAGTGCAAACTCTGTAATATTTAATCATATCTGTACAAGTAATACTTTCTACATCTCATTTTGGAAGCATGTTTATAATATAATGCAGTCTATAGTTAAATAGCACTTTCACACAGTGGGCCTTGTAAAGAGGGATTACTCTGTTAATACAGTGGCACATGAGAGGGAGTAAAGTAAATATTTTACGCGATACTTCATAGTTAAGTCACGACATTAAAAACTTCTTCGATTTTTGATACTTTATGAAGGACAAAAAAGGAATTTTGCGACTCTGCTACTACGGTACAAGACAGATAGGAAGTCTAATCTAATGGAGGAAACCTTTCGTTTAAGTTTAAAACAGACAAGGAGAAACTTTGTAATATATATATTATGAGATAAGAATTTTTTAATGGATTAAGGCAACTCTCTATATGTGGATTAAAGAGGAGGGAAACACTTGGATCTGAGAATTAGACTATATAGAATTTAGATTTATCCAAAGGGATTATAAGTTGGGTTTGAGAGTAGTTGGGAAGTTAATTTGGGATTACAAGTGGGTTTAAAGAGTGGGATTGCGATTCCAAGTTGGTATAAAGAAATGAAATTAAGCTAATTTTGAATTATAAGTTGGTATAAAGAGTTGGGATTAAGCTAACTTGGGATTACAAGTTGGTAAAGAGTTGGGATAAAGCTGGATTGGCATTTTACCTTAATATTGCAAGTAAGGATTAAGGGACTTTGAGATAATAGCAAGGATCTAAAAGGGATTAAGGGTGGAATATAATGGTTGTGTAGAGTGCTATAGAACTGTAGCTGATGATACGGGAGATGAAGCTGGAGATGAATCTGAGCTGAATCCAGAATCTGATTTTCCTCCTTTTCGTCTCTCCTGCAAGAAGAAACTCTCTTTCACCTAAACAAATCAATCAATCAATTTATATTTTACTCAATCATTTTAAAACAAATACTTTAACCAGCAGCTTTATTAATAAAATGGGTCTGTGTATACTGTATACTGTACTATTGCTGTGTTTTATGTTCATTGGACTAATTTGAGTCTAACAGTCGTCTTCCAAGAATTAACGACGACCTCTCTAACCTGTTTAATATTATTCTGATCCATCCTATCATAAATAACTCTCTAACCTGTTTAGTATTATTCTGATCCATCCTATCGTATATAACTCTCTAACCTGTTTAGTATTATTCTGATCCATCCTATCATATATAACTCTCTAACCTGTTTAGTATTATTCTGATCCATCCTATCATATATAACTCTCTAACCTGTTTAGTATTATTCTGATCCATCCTATCATATATAACTCTCTAACCTGTTTAGTATTATTCTGATCCATCCTATCGTAAATAACTCTCTAACCTGTTTAGTATTATTCTGATCCATCCTCTCATATATAACTCTCTAACCTGTTTAGTATTATTCTGATCCATCCTATCGTAAATAACTCCATGGATTCCAAGGGTTTTCAGATGCTCAACAGTCTCCTTGTCATTCCGGTCATCTGTCCAGGTAAACAAGATCTGACCCTGAAATCATATTTTTATGAAATCTTTCTTAAATTTGATTATCAGAACACTTGGAATATATCACAGAAGTTCAATTGTGAAAATAATACATTCTGAGGCTGGCTAAACCATCCTAACTCCATATATCCTTTAAGTACAGCAATTTGGATTGACAAGATTCACCCAAATTGTCAGGAACTTTAGACTGCTCATACCGGTGCGCAGTAAAGAAAGCGCGCACGGATGGAGCGTTGACGAGTAGGAGCACGGCACAGGAGAACTCTGAAGAAGAGCTCACTCCCACCTTAACAGGCAACAGGGTCTGACGTGTGTTCGTTGATTGAGAATCTTTTTATTCTATTTTAATATTCTATTCTATTTTAATATTCTATTCTATTTTAATATTTTATTCTATTTTAATATTCTATTCTATTTTAATATTCTATTCTATTTTAATATTCTATTCTATTTAATATTCTATTCTATTTTAATATTCTATTCTATTTTAATATTCTATTTTTTTCAGATTTTATTCTATTTTCAGATTAGAATGAGGGTTCGAGTATTCTTGAGCACTTAATCCATTTACAACATCTTAAAATTTTTTACTAATATAAATCAATTAAAAAAAAATCACATATCAATACAATACATCTTTTATTTTAATTCATTCCTATTGATATGAATTAAATTTACAAACAAACAGTAATAACACAACGTTTTAAGAAGCACTATCTCTTTAAAATTGTTCAGAGGCCGAATTTAAAGAATTTGAGCGGCGGCTTAAATTTAAGCCGCGGCTAAAATATGGTTGCTTTCTCTTAAAATTTCATTCAATGTTTCAAAATTTAAGCCGGTGCTTAATTGGAACCGGTTTTTGGCGGTTTTAAGACGCGGCTTAAATTCATTAAATTCGGACACTGAGCATATTTTTGAATAGCCTATTGCAAATCAGAAAATCATATTCATATTGATAATAACAAGAAAAAAGACTGTTATTATTATTCATTAATAATGTTGAAGACATATTTCTAACCTGAGATTTTACAAGGTCAATATGGCCTGGATTCTTTATTACTTCGTCAGCACGGGCAGATATTCCTAAATATAAAATTATATAAGTTTTTATATATTTACGGGCAGATATTCCTAAATATAAAATTATAAAAGTTTTTATATATTTACGGGCAGATATTCCTAAATATAAAATTATAAAAGGTTTTATATATTTACGGGCAGATATTCCTAAATATAAAAGTTTTTATATATTTACGGGCAGATATTCCTAAATATAAAAGTTTTTATATATTTATCAAAGATTTTGCAACAAAAATATTTTTCTTTCTTCTTAATGTTAATATACTTTATTGTTTAAAGTGTAATAAGTGAAATTTATCAATTGCGTATCAAGTGTATGAATTGTATCAATTGTATCAATAGTATGAAATGTATCAACTTTACTAACTATATCAAGTGTATCAAAAGTATGAAATGTGTCGACTTTATTAACTATATCATGTGTATCAATTGTATTAATAGTATGAAATGTATCGACTTTACTAGATATATCAAGTGTATCAATTGTATCAATAGTATGAAATGTATCAACTTTACTAACTATATCAAGTGTATCAAAAGTATGAAATGTGTCGACTTTATTAACTATATCATGTGTATCAATTGTATCAAAAGTATGAAATGTATAGACTTTATTAACTATATCATGTGTATCAATTGTATCAATAGTATGAAATGTATCAACTTTACTAACTATATCAAGTGTATCAATAGTATGAAATGTATCGACTTTACTAACTATATCAAGTGTATCAATAGTATGAAATGTATCGACTTTACTAACTATATCAAGTGTATCAATAGTATGAAATGTATCGACTTTATTAACTATATCAAGTTTATTAATAGTATGAAATGTATCGACTTTATTAACTATATCAAGTGTATCAAGTGTATCAATAGTATGAAATGTATCGACTTTATTAACTATATCAGGTGTATCAAAAGTATCAATAGTATGAAATGTATCAACTTTACTAACTATATCAATTGTATCAATAGTATGAAATGTATCGACTTTATTAACTATATCAAGTGTATCAATTGTATCAATAGTATGAAATGTATCGACTTTATTAACTATATCAGATGTATCAAAAGTATCAACTCTATCAAGTTCAACTTAATGAAGTCTACCAAATGTATCTAGAATTTTGGATTCTAAATGCACTTATTATCAACTGTATCAATTATATCACATGGTTAAATTGTATCAAGAGTATCAAAAGAAATGAGTCTTTGCCACAAACTCAAATTTTTCTAATTAAATATCTTTGCAACCTGATGACGTAAACCTTTGATATTTCAAACTTAAAGTGTGTAATATAACAGACTTTATATTTTGAAATATTTAAAGTCTACGACATTAGGTTGCAAAGATATAGGAATTATAAATTTAGAGCTTGTGACAAAGACCCAATTCCTTTGGATGAGAATATGGCCTAAAAATAGATAACTCTCGTAATTTTTAGTGATTAAATGGTATACTACGGTGGTAGGCGATTATTTTAATATGAGAAAGACGACTTTCGATCTCAATTTTGATTTAAATCGAGCTTTTAAACAACGTGGATACACAACAACATGATGAAAAGAGAATTTTTCGATGAAAAAAGAGTCTCTTTACTTACTTGTAAACTTGTAATTCGAAAAAGGCTTATTAACAATTAAAACTTAAATAAAAAGTCGTCTTCATTATATTGATATAATCGCTTACCACCGTAGACTGTACTAGTTTTATCAAATAATAACTGCTGGGTCAGATGTTTAAAGTCTGGATATCCTTGGAAATATTTCTACTCAATTATGATGTAATGATGAAGTCGTCCATGCATGCATAGAATATTAAACATTTTTAAGATTCTTATTTAGAATTTGGGAGCTAGTTTCTAGTTTTGTTTTCTAGAATTTAGTGTCTCAGAAAAGTTTAAAGGAACATGGAAGACGATTTATATTTACAATAAATAAAAACAATCAATAAGAGAAAGATCCAAAAATGGAAAAGGACATTTGGACTTATACACAAGCCACAGGATAAGGAAATAGATAGAAACATTTCTCATTCTTGTAATTCATAATTTAAATACCATTTTACAATGAACTAGGCAGAAGGTCAAGGTAAGACAATAATTTAACGACTTTGTGACCTCTAAGCTGCTTTAGTTTTTTAATTTAAGGCACAAGTATGAGAATTGCAAATTTATCTAAACTGAAAACTTTTGAATGGGATATCCTTAATCCCGATCAGTTAATTAATCTGGAGATTAATAACAAGAGGAGAACAAGCATTATTTAATCTGGGAATGAAGAAAAAGAGTGGATCAAGCATTGATCCCGATATCCAGAAATCAAAAGTTCCCAGCTCTGAGCTGAAAACTTTAGAATGAGATATCCCTAATCCCGATTACTTAATCTAAGTATCCCATGGACAAACTTTTGATTTTCTTCTTAAACCGTTCTTTCTTGGATATAGTAGAGCAAAGTCTAAAACCGGTTTTCTAAATTAGAGAGTTCCTCCTATTTCTGTATATAATCTTAAATGGCGCGCAAAATTTCAAATTTATCGGATTCATATACGCGACTCTAATTGGTTGAATTCTATACACTTTTCAGGATACAAGTACATGATTAGATTAGTCTCGATATTATGAAAAAGAGAGGATCACGCATTAATCTCGATATCCACCATCAAAGTTTTCAGCTCTGATTACATATTAAAGATTAACTTCACAACAGTTCCCCAATAAGGGGATTTTTTTTCTATGATTTAGTAATTAGTAATTACCTAATAAACCAACCATTTTACAGAACCAGACTGCAGCAGGTATAGATCTAGTTCTAGGATCTAGATAATCTTCATATCTAGAGGTTCTACCCTGGGTTAGGAGTAGAACTGGATACAGGTTCTGCTTGTTTACCAACCTAGATATACAACAATGATCAGTTTGTTTTTAGAGATTCTGCAACATTGATAAAAAAAACCATTAACAATGGTCATTATTCTGAAAGAAAGTGTTCGCGAAAAATGAAAGGGGCGTCCTTGAATCCGACTTTTTTCAAGGATTCAGCCTCACCCCCTTCAATTTTTGCCAACACTCGCTTTAATTGTCTAAATCTTACATGCTGCAGGCGTCAGGGTTGAATGAGGAAAATACTATCTTCCTCTCACCGGCGTGCTGGTACACGGTCTTCAGGACCTGGTCGATAAACAGGTTCATCTCCATCATATCCTTCTGCTCTTCTCTTCCATCCTAGATATACATAGTTTAGATAAACAGGTTCATCTCCATCATATCCTTCTGCTCTTCTCTTCCATCCTAGATATATATAGTTTAGATAAACAGGTTCATCTCCATCATGTCCTTCTTCTCTTCTCTTCCATCCTAGATATACATAGTTTAGATAAACAGGTTCATCTCCATCATGTCCTTCTTCTCTTCTCTTCCATCCTAGATATATATAGTTTAGATAAACAGGTTCATCTCCATCATGTCCTTCTACGGTTCCCCTCCATTATAAATCAAACTATTTTATCTAAAACTATTTAAATTTTGAAAAATTAAAGGAATATGACTTCAGATTGGATATATATTAGGATTAGAACTTAGAAGAAATGAATTAATGGCAAACAGTAACTTACTCCGTAATATTTTTGATAATGTAGAGTTCAAAACTAGAAATTCACCTTGAACAATTGAGAGAATTTGATTTCAATATTGAACCCGCAGTCTGAGTCCAGAAGGTTTAGAGCTGTCTCCAGGGTTGGGAAGGGTTCGTGTTCCTTATCATTTTCCTGGAAGGTTTTTACTCCGGTAGACTTCTCATGGGGATGATGAACCTAAGTATAAATATATATATATACATGGTTACCCACACATGATGAGACTTCAGAGACGACTGTACAGAATTTGTTTAGTCCGTTTGCTTACTTACTCAAGTTTCAGGGTTCCTTGTGGGCTAAAACAGGCATATTTCTGTGCTAAATCATTTACTGAACTATTAAATACTAATTTAAAGACAGAAATTATAATTTCGAGTCTTAAATCGTCATATTTTAAAAGTGTTGGGTCATCTTTATTGTCTCATTCTTTGTGGGTAACCCTGTATATGGAAAATTGTTAAAAACAAGAACAAGAAACATTGTTTAGGCAATAAAGAGTAAAAACATTTAAAAAATGCTATTCAATCAAGTTAGGTCTATAATATAGCTTTAAACACTAAATATGTATTATATTTGTTATTCTTTTCATTTTCTTCGAGAACTTGTTTGCATAAAATGTTGCACCAGGCCCGCCCAGGTGGCAGCTGTATTTTGACTTGTCGGGCTTAAACATTTCCGCCAAGAAGATATTGAGGATAAATTAGATTTCATAGGGAGGTTAAAAAACAAACAAAATTCAAATAAACAAGTTTATTTGGTAATCAATAAAACCTGTTTTTCAAATTTAAATTGTTTCTTTTAAAGGGAGTGTTCGCGAAAATGAAAGCGGGTATAGGCTTAATGCGATAAAAAAGCGCTTTTGATCGCTACTAATCTTACTTCTATCTGTTGCGTCTATAAGGAGAAACTTGTTAAAGACGTCAAATACCGAATAAGTTAGCGCCCATACAAATTCAGAAAATTGCAACATACGACTTAGACCGTAAAAAAATCCATTTAATTTCAAACAAATCATTCAGATGTAAAACCTATAGTCATCGATTATCTTTCGCCACATTTGTATATAGTTTATATTTTATAATATTTTACTTTTTTAGAGAACGTTTAAACTGATTACGAAAAATGTGAATGGTGCGCGGCATTCTTAGATAGTTGCGCAAGCCGCAAGAGAAATAATCAAATTCAAAACAAATCAATTTAAAAATATTATAAAATATAAACTATATACAAATGTGGCGAAAGATAATCGATGACTATAGGTTGTAATATCTGAATAATTTGTTTGAAATCAAATTGATTTTTTTACGGTCTAAGTCGTATGTTGCAATTTCCTGAATTTGTATGGGCGCCAAGTTATTCGGTATGAGACGTCTTTAACAAGTTCTCCTTATAGACGCAACAGATAGAAGTAAGATTAGTAGCGATCAAAAGCGCTTTTTAATCGCATTAAGCCTATACCCCCTTTTATTTTTCGCGAACACTCCCTTTAAGATGATTTTTTCTTCTGAAAGAATGGTGTATTAACCTTGAGTCCATGAAGTTGGTTAACTGTAAGATCTTTGACTGGAATATCCAGAAGGATATCTGCATCCTCTTGTTTAGTTTTACTCTGGATACACAGGGTAAACTCATGGTAGATTATAGGAACAAGATCAGATGAAACCTTAACAATAAAAAATATGTAAAAGATCATCTGAACGAAAATGATCGACTTATCTCAATCAGAATCGGAAGAATATATAATGTAATTTTTTTTAACTTTGAACTTTAAGTACGGGGTGTCCCACGAAACATGGCAGTTCATAAATAGTTATGAATGGCGTTTTCCATATACTGTGTTAGATTTTAAAGTTTTTTTGCAGTTAATTTCGTTAAAAAAATCTCTTGCTTAAATATATTTTACTTTGAAATCAATTTTACTATAACATGACTCCTATATAATATTTTTATTTTTGTCTTTGGTATTAAACAACTTAACAAATTATGGAAGAAGATTCTAAACTATTCACCAACTGTCATGTTTCGTGGGACACCCTGTATGTCTTTGAATGAATCTCTCAAGTTTGAAATAAAACGTGGACATCAAAATTAAGAGAGTTTTCTAAACCAATTTGGCTGAGAAATCACAACGGGCTTAGAATAGAAACATAAATAACGGACACAGTTTAAGTAAATAACGGACACAGTTTAAGTAAATAACGGACACAGTTTAAGTAAATCCAAATCTTACTTTTCTATGAAATGATGCAAATAGAAAGGTTTACTTTAATAATTGATTATTTCGAGAAAGAAGAATTAAATAATGAAAAGAAAATTTTCTAAGAAAAAAGATTAATTTTTTTTTTTAAATATGCAGAGTGAGGGGAGTCACATTACAAAAATACAGTACTGTACAGTTTGCAGAACTGAAAATATGTACTGTAATGTACTGTACTGTAATGTTTACCTGTACATCAAACTCTACCATATCAGCACCGTGGAGTACAGCATCCTTCATGGAAGCAATAGTGTTCTCACGAATATTGGAACAACTAAAAAACATTAAAGTTTTTGAAAAGGTTTAGAATATAATGACTATATAAAGTCTTAATATACACATATAAAAAATAATCCTGAAATTGCTATGTATGAAAAAGTGCTTTAAATGTTAGAAGTGTACACTGAAAACACTCAATGAGCCTGAGTTTCATCGTTTTGTAAAAAAAAAACTTTCAGCTTTCAATATTTTCTTACTGTTGAGCTGTAGAGTATAAGTTGGCTAGACCTCTACAGTATACTGTTCTTAATCTTCATGACAGAAATAATCTCAAGAACTAACTAGGGTCAACCCAGACCGAAATATTTTTTAATACAATGTGGATCTAACATCTAATTTATTTACTCTACCGAGGTTTAATCCATCACCATCACCGAATTTTAGGTATACTTACTGTTGAGCTATAGTATATGAGTTGCCAAGTCCTCTATATAAAGTATACTTACTGTTGAGCTGTAGTATATGAGTTGCCAAGTCCTCTTAATAGCATACTTACTGTTGAGTTGTAGTATATGAGTTGCCAAGTCCTCTTAATAGTATACTTACTGTTGAGCTGTAGTATATGAGTTGCCAAGTCCTCTTAATAGTATACTTACTGTTGAGTTGTAGTATATGAGTTGTCAAGTCCTCAATATAGTATACTTACTGTTGAGTTGTAGTATATGAGTTGCCAAGTCCTCTTAATAGTATACTTACTGTTGAGTTGTAGTATATGAGTTGCCAAGTCCTCTATATAGTATACTTACTGTTGAGCTGTAGTATATGAGTTGTCAAGTCCTCTATATAGTATACTTACTGTTGAGCTGTAGTATATGATTTGCCAAGTCCTCTATATAAAGTATACTTACTGTTGAGCTGTAGTATATGAGTTGTCAAGTCCTCTATATAAAGTATACTTACTGTTGAGCTGTAGTATATGAGTTGCCAAGTCCTCTATATAAAGTATACTTACTGTTGAGCTGTAGTATATGAGTTGCCTAGTCCTCTATGCCCGACATCAAGTGATCTCCAATGCTCCAACCATTCTGTCTTATTACTGGTGGAGAAATCACAAGGTAGACCCTCCACAGGTCGGATACACAGATAGTCAACTAGATAGATAAATATAGATAGATAGATAGATAGATAGATAGATAGATAGATAGATAGATAGATAGATAGATAGATAGATAGATAGATAGATAGATAGATGAATAGATAGATCAAATAGATTTTAGTACAATAAATGGCAACGTAGAATTTGTACACCTTCAGTACAGCTGTATTCTGACGTCACAAGTGTCAACTCACTGTTTGCGTCCGACAAAATTATTAATAATAGTGATAATTTCAGAATAAAGTGCTTATCTTACGGTAAAATAAGTGCAATTTTAAATGTTTTTTATTTTCTGTTTTTACGCTTTTTTATTTAATCTTGAAAAACATGCCAACTAATGTGAAAACATTTCGTTTTTCTTGTTATATTTGACACTTGTGACGTCGTGTATAATTGGTCCATTTCTCTGTTGCCACCTATTGTACTTGATAATCTATTTGAGATAGAAAGATAAAAAGATAAAAAGATAGAAAGAAAGAAAGATAAATAGATAGATAGCTAACGTTAAACTAAAGTAAAGTGCAACCAAGATCAAAATCTTATGTTTTTAATCATAACTCCTATATGGTTCCTAGAGGAACAAAAATGTGAACGGATAAATTTCCTTTCAAGTCACATAAATATAACCTTCTCCTTATGTCTAGTTAAAATTTTTTACATCAATAAAATAATGTGAACTGTGTATTCGATAATGATACAAGCATGTGACTCATTTCTTCTCAAACAGGAAATTAAAAGTCTACTAACCTTGAAGTCTACCAATAGGTTGATGTTTCATTGAGGTAATTGTGTTCTCTATCTTTCCAGAAGTTTGACGTAGAGTGTCAGAATAGATATAACACATACCTGAATATACAATAATATATATATGCATAAATGTTACCTATCTTATATACTAGAATCTAACTGTATAAATGTTACCTATATGATATACTATATACAATCTAACTATAAATGTTACTTATCTGATATACTAGAATCTAACTGTATAAATGTTACAATCTGATATGCTAGAATCTAATTGAATACTAGTTACCTATATGATATGCTAGAATCTAACTGTATAGATGTTACTATCTAATATACTAGAATCTAATTGTATACTAGTTACCTATATGATATGTTAGAATCTAACTGTATACATGTTACTATCTGATATACTAGAATCTAACTGTATACTAGTAATCCATATGATATGCTAGAATCTAACTGTATAAATGTTACTATCTGATATGCTAAAATCTAAATGTATACTAGTTACCTATATTATATGCTAGAATCTAACTGTATAAATGTTACTATCTGATATACTAGAATCAAACTGTATACTAGTTACCTATATTATATGCTAGAATTTAACTGATAAATGTTACTATCTGATATGCTCATGGCTAGAATCTAACTGTATACTAGTTACACCTATATGATATGCTAGAATCATAGAGAATAGAATATATAGAGAGGAATTAAAAGAATCTCTCGGTATGATTTTTTTCAGTCCCTTTCAGCCTGAAAGGGAGTTCAAAGTGTACAAATCATGTAAATGTTCACAAATTATATGCAGTAGATTACATTAATACAGTATGTTCCCTAGACTATCCATTTCAATTTCGAATTTTTAAACTGTTAAATAAACTTTAAAAAGAATTAGGTGAATAAAAACATCATTTGATTTATAGTTATAACGGAAAATCATCGTTTGTAAAGTGGAAGGCATAGAGTCTATGTGAAATGATCATTGGTCAATTATGAAACCAGCCTATTTCATAATTTGGTTTTCTTTTAACAATAATCTTAGATTTTCTATAAAATGATATTCCAGGGCCCAACAGGTTATATAGCATAAATATGTGAAGTACACCTGCAGTATGGAAACAGTACAACAAAATGGCCGTTTTACACTTTTTTCTAGTAAATTCCTCTCTATATATTCTATTCTCTATGGCTAGAATCTAACTGTATACTAGTTACCTATATGATCAGGAATTGGTCCAACGTCATTCTCTCCCCTACCGTAAACATCAACCAGGAACGCCTTAAAACAATAATGTAAACAAACAAAAACCGGTTTTATTTTGATAATATTAACTGCCCGCTGCTAAGTGGTGGTGTGTATATATAGAAATATCTGAACTCACCTTTATTCACGAGTTAATCTCGACTCGTAAAATCACAAGTGAAAAATAAAAAAGGTTTAGCTGTGTTATAATTTTGTTGTGCCATGGTTCTGTAACTTACTTTAGATATTGTTCCAACAATTTAACTGAGAACTGCCTGAAAGCAAGTATATAAGTTAGTATCTGTTCTCAAACACCCTTGGGTCTCAAAATATCTTAAATATGTCTGAAAAAAGTTTGACAAAAATTAAGATCCTAAAAAGGCTTACATAGTCTCATAAGTCCCTAAATATATCTTCTTAGTTCTGTGAATCCTGTTAACAGTTAAAATTTGCCACTAAAAACTCCTGAACCATTAATCATAGATTTTTTTTTCGACGCATTCGTATATAGTTGATATCTCATAATATTTTTGATTTTGTTTTTTTTTTAAATCATTTTTTTAATTAAATTAATCTTTTTACGATCCGAGTCGAATATTGCAATTTTGAACGTAGGTTCTTCGGTATGAGTAGATTTTAATAATTTTCTTCTTATAGACGCCACAGATAGAAGTAAGATTAGAACCAATCACCATCGAATATTTTTCGACGTAAGCCAAAAGAAAAAGTCAAATTGTCCTTGAAAATTACTGCACTTGTGGTAAGGATTGTTAAAACCGCTTGTTCTAACATTTTAATTAATAATATTAATGGTCAAATATAAAAAATGTGGAAATCTGTTATAATTCGAACAAAAAAATATGCCGACTTTCAAAACAAGGTTAAAACTTGTATTCATTAAATTAATATTTTCAAAAGAAAGTCAGGATCTAAACTAAACTATTGGAATTTACAGGGTGTCTCGCGAAACATGACAGTAGGAAGACAACTTGAAGGTCGTCTTTGAATTTTGAAATTATTTGCGGCATTCATCCAACAACATACTTTTACTCTCACATATTAATCACTAAATTTTCCTAGTTAGTCCTGGCATTTCCTGGCATGTGATCTGCCGTTTCTGTGATATTATCGGAGATATTAAGAATATTAAGAACAATGGGCATGCTCTGCAACTAGAATTATAGAAAGAATCAGGAATGAAAGGCGTCTTCGTTTTTCCTTTCATTAAGAAATGTCGTTGAGGGTTTTGCAGTTGTCAGTTGTTTCAACTTATATTTCTATGCAAATCTTCTGGACAATATTTTAGCAATATTTCAGTTTCAAATAAAAATCCATTATTTCCTTCTTTTCGACATTCTATAATTAAAAGAGAAAAAAAGACGATGGTAATTCCACAGTTTTTTTTATTTAAAGAACTTTCTTGTCTGATGAACGGGAATATGATTTAAATGTAACACCACCAACTTAGTCATCTGGTTAATGCTGGATTTCGTTTTTTAATAATTTTCAAATATTTAAAGTTTTCTGGATTTTAAGATTCTTCACAAAAGTAACAAAGGAATTGAGTTTTTGTCACAAACTATTATTTTCAAATCCCTGTATTTCGTGGACCATAGATATTTCAAACTGTGAATTCTGTTAGATATATTATTCCAAGATTAGAATATCGTAGCTTTACACCAACCTTGTATGTTAAATTTTTTTAAAATTATATAATACAAAATGCAAAATGTTTACTCCAACAAAAAATTTGATCGGACTAAGGAATTGAGTCTTTGCCACAAACTCTGCTTTTCTAAATCCTATATCTTTGTATTCCTATGTCGTAGACCTTAGATATTTCAAACTATGAATTCTGTTAGATCAAATAATATAAGTATGAAATATCAAAGATTTTCGACATTGGATGCCAAAGATATAGGGATTTGCTTGTGAAGGATTGGTTTAGCTTCAGTTAAAAATAACTCTTGTTTGTCTAATTAAAAACCAAGAAATCTTCGAATGTTAAAATAAAATAAAAACAGATTTCCAACGTCACCCATGGCTACCTATACTACCTAGATTGTAACATTTTAGTTCAGTCTAATTCAAGTTAATCTGGGATTGAATTTAAAGAATTTGTACTGTCTACCATTGGTTCAAATTTCAATCATCCGATTCAAGATCTTCCTTAATCTTTAACTTTGAATAGGCGGTCCAAATTTGAACTGGCAGAAGGTAATTCAGCTCAAATTCATTAAAATCAGTCCTTGGTTTTCCTAGCCTGTAGGAAAAATTACTGTGCAACCACACGATAATGATAATATAAGCTTACCACTGAGTTAAGGTTGATAAGCTGAACCTCGAAGAGTACGAATGTGTCCTGCTCTGTCTTTAACTCTATTCCAAACTGTTCCTGAACCTTCCTCACGCATCCCTCTTCACTCAATTCCTAGGGGGTAAAGGGGATAAAAAATATTTAAAACTAGGGTAAACTAGGCCAGGGTGTCGTTCCTGCGTCGTTTTGTTTCTGGGGGAACAACCGTTCTTTCACAGAAACGAACGGAACGGAACGACATGCACGATTTCAAAAACACGCCCAGCCCTGGAGTACACCAATTAAAATGTACTTAATGAAAAAAACAACCATAAAAACAAACATGTTTTATTATTAATTTAGCTTGAGGGTTAATCACAATAGATTAATATTGTAAGGATTTTTGTCACTCTTATTTTTTTCCAAAATCATTTTGTTGACCCCTGTAGAACTAATATCAAGGAAGGAGGTCAAATTTAACCTTTAAATTGTCAGATTCAGGCCATTATTGAAGTTTAATCCAATATAGTATGCAAAGAAATAAAATTATGTTTATATATTTATAAACTTGTTTCTAAGATGAATCTAAAGCTTATAAAAAAACTAACCGCAGTTTCTACGATTGGATAATTTATAAATCGTTCTCTAAGCTCAGCTACATCCATACTTTCATCAGTTTCATGAATCTCAACTACTTCCTGAAAACAGAACTAATCAATCAATCAGTAGCAAAGAGAACAAAGACGACGAGAATGAAAAGAAAATTTGGGAAATGAATTAGGTTAGGTATGTGTACTTTCGCGTAGAACTTTCTAGAATATTTACCTCGTGATTAACAGGGGTAAGTTTAATCCATAACCTGTGTCCAGCAAACCTGAAGTAAAATATAATTATCAGTTTTTAGAATTAAAAAATTAAAAAACTTTTGTGAGACTACGGAGAACTTTGTAGAAAATTATAGTGGAGGAAAGTCAGAAAAATTCCGGGAATTTTTGCTGCAATTTGTTGCAGGAAACTTTGCAGTAGAAATTAAAATTATTTTAGTTTCATGAAACTGATATCTTAAACAGAAACTTTGGAAACTATAAAAGATTAAGTTTCATGAAAATGATATTGTAAACAGAAACTCTTGAAACTATAAAAGATTAAGTTTCATGAAAATGATATCTTCAACAGAAACTCTGGAAACTATAAAAGATTAAGTTTCATTAAAATGATATCTTAAACAGAAACTTTGGAAACTATAAAATATTAAGTTTCATGAAAATGATATTGTAAACAGAAACATCTTGAAACTATAAAAGATTAAGTTTCATGAAACTGATATCTTAAACAGAAACTTTGGAAACTATTAAAGATTAAGTTTCATGAAAATGCTATTGTAAACAGAAACTCTGGAAACTATGAAAGATTAAGTTTCATGAAAATGATATTGTAAACAGAAACTCTGGAAACTATGAAAGATTTAAATTTTACAATATTTAAAAATCAAGACTTCGTCCTTCATAATATCAATAATAATAATTATAATAATAATAATAATAATGATTGTTTTACTCACTTTCTTTTCCAGATATTGATCCCTGACTCTCTGAGTTTAAACTGAATAACCATCTCCTCTGTTAACCAACCCCGCTGTATGCTTACTAGACCATTAATCTTTCCAAATTCGTCGCAAGGTGTCTCTTCAGTCACTCGTCTAGATAATATTTTTTTGGTGTGAAATGTACTTTGGCCATAATTTTTGTCCAAATTTCTTGTGTGGTTGATAATACCCTTTAAACCTTTGACTGATCTAGAATGATTTCTCGCACTCAATTTTTAGCTAGAAAAATAAGACTCTCTCTAGCGTTGATGATCAGAGTAAGGTAGACGGGGTTGTCAATCGGACAAGAAAATTACTAATTTTTTATAGAGTTTTTAATATCACTGTATTCAAGTATTAAATTTGTATTTAGATATTTGATAGAATTTTAGTATTTAACATTTTTGTTTAGTTTTGCTATTTAAATTAAAAAATAGAGAGAGCTTCTTTGTTCTGCGGAAATGATATAATTTCAAAGAAATTAATTAAAACTTTAAAATACTATCAATTGCACTGATATGAAAAAAGCTAAGCAAAGACGACAGTTTTTACCTGGGTTGAAGGTGGGTTTCCCATCGTCGGACGATAATTCGTCCATGTTGAAGTAAGACGACGACGCAGTATCTGTACAACTGTTGTACTCCTGTACTTAGTTCTATACTCTTCTCCCATACCTCACTAGAATAGTACAGGGTGAGCCACGTCATATTAAATAATATTAACATGCAAATTATACAATTTGTCAGATCTTGCAAAATGCAAAGGAAGTCTAATTTAAATGAATTTCACGTTTGATCGATTTTTATACATGTTACATGTGATATAATTTCGTTTTTAAAGAGCTATCGAAAAAACGTTTTGAATTTCTAATATGCAATCAAATAAGTTTGCTTTTGTTATTTGAATGTAAAATTAAAATTTAAAATAAGAAGAGCTGATAAGTCATTGTGTCGTATCAGTAATTTAACCTTTTTTATTCCTAGAACAGATTATTTTTTGTTTTGTTTATTTAGATTGTTTAAGCAGTGTAAGATATATCATCAGAGTTTCATATTTCCAATATATGTATCATAGATAAAAATATGTAAATATGAGTCTAAAAATACAAATCAGAATTAGAAAGAAAACTTGTTTAATTTTTATCCTTGACCTGCTTCAATAAATGCGTAAATTGCCTGATATAATTTATTTACACAAATTATTCTAAAAAAATAAATGATTTGATGTTGTAGTGTACTCTGTAAACTTAAATACTTGGAATAAGATAGTATAAATGTAAATAAAAGATAAATGAAATTAAATATAAAATATTTCAGTCAATAATCCATTAAAAACAGCTTTTGAAAAGGATACACAGCAAACTTGTGATTATATTGAAGTGGATTTTCACATCTTAAGTGTATAAAAATATGTAGATTGTAACTTGATGCATGATAGATAGAACAATGCAGAAAATGGAATAAATTATGCATTTAAATTAAAGCAAAAATTTGTGCTTTACAATACACAACACAATACTTTCCGTTTATCAAAAGTACAAATATTTAGAAATATTTTTTTAAAGAATGTTTGAATATTGTTGAGATTCTCCCCCCCCCCCCTTTGATCACAAATACATAACAAAGCAGAAGTTGGTATTTTACTTGTTGAATATTTTGTAAAATATAGAGAACCCTGAGGCCCATAGAAGACCCCTAGGCCACTAATTAAATAATCTGGTTTGAGTGTGGGAGGAATAAAAGACTAGATTTTGATATTTTATGATAATTACACCAATTACACGGTTTACAAGAATTGCCGAGCCTCCAAAATCCCGCGCAATTATACAAACTCAGAAACAGGATTCTTGACAAAACTTAAACCAGGTTTTTGTTGGTTTAAATATTAGGTAATATTTACTGAATTTTCGTCATTTGAATTACACAGGACAGAAGTGCAGTGAATTAAGTAAATTAAACACTTTTTCATCCAAAACAGTTCGGGATAAAAGGCTGAAATTTGACATGAAGCCCCTAATTGTGGTAATCTACAAAATCACGAGGAAAATTTGGGATTAGATGTCATTGAGACCCATTTGACCTCCATAAACGCATAAATAAGGGAGGGGGGGGGGGATATTATATTTATTCTTTCTAATACAATTATTTTAGTTTAATCAGACATGTTTCATAATTTTAGCAACTGCACGCATAAACAGTTTACATCTCTGGATATATTAATGATAATAAAACAAGACATTCTTATATATATATATGTTGTCTATAGTCGGCCAAACGGCTGGACCGATTGGGCTGATTTTTTTTGTGGTCACTCATGGGTGGCCGGAGAGTGCTATAGGCTAAAAAAATTAGAATTTTTTGATCCAAAATATTTTTTTTCAAAATTTTTATTTTAATTTTTTTTACGGGCAACGCCGGACTCTTTAACTAGTAAATGATAAAATCAATGAAAATGGGTCATGGCTACGTATCAAATCATAGTGTTTTGGTGTTCTAATTCCATTCTGAGACTGCACTATGGACGTCAGTGGATCGAATTTAACCCCCCTCTTTATTTTCAACAACTTTTCAAATTTGTGAATTTCCTATATTTTATTAGTTAAAATATCAAGTTTTTTCTCCAAAGAAAAACTAAAAAGACGATCTTAGAAAAAATAAAAACTACAAAAATTATGATTTCATAACAAAAATTCAAATTTATCATATTTATCATATTTGCCCCACAAAAAGGATATGTGCATAATATTCCTACTTTGTTATTTTTCATATTAAAGGGTTTTGATTGAAGAACATATATCCCTGTCAAGTTAATAACCTCTAAGACTATCGGAAAGTATCGAAACAATCCCAGCCTTATAAGCTCTATGGATAAATGTGTGTGTGTGAAGGGGGGCAGAGGGGTGGGGGGGTTGCCAGGGTAGATTATCGGAAAAATATATATATATATAAACTAGGCTTCAGGGCTTCGTGTTCCTCCTCTAACACAATGGAATTTTTCTCAAAACATTGATAAATTTTAAAGTTCTAAAAAATAGTCCAGGTAATATTTTTCACTTTAAACCAGCCATAATCCATTAGGCCGAACATATATAATGCTAAATATTGTTTTACTCAGTAATTCAAGCTAATAAAACCCTTTAAATTATACATGTATCAAGATTAACACAATTTCCTTTCTATTTTTTACTATTCGTGTTTTATTAAGATTCTTTTTCGAAGATTGTATTTCCATTAACAGTTTGAACTGAAGACCGGATATGAAATTTTCAAAAATATGACAGGATTAAAAATATATGAAATATATATATCAGCAATATCTGGAAAGATATCTACATTATATACATTAGTAATCTTTGTTTGCCTGTTTGTTTATCTGTTTGGATGTCCGAACACCTGGACCGATTTGCCTCAAATTTTTATTGAGAAACTCAATAAAATCACGAAAATGTTCATAGAGAAAGTTTAGCTTTGAGAATTTTTGAAAGAATTGAGAATTTTTCAAAATAAATGACATGAAAGGATATTTGGATTTTTTCGAAAATCTTAGGAAAAGGGACCGAGTACATTTCGAGTACATTGCGAGTACATTTCGAGTACATTCCGAGTACATTGCGAGTACATTTTGAGTACATTTCGAGTACATTTCGAGTACATTTCGAGTACATTTCGAGTACATTTCGAGTACATTCCGAGTACATTGCGAGTAGTACATTTTGAGTACATTTCGAGTACATTTCGAGTACATTTCGAGTACATTTCGAGTACATTGCAAGTACATTTCGAGTACATTTCGATCGAGATTTCGAGTACATTTCGAGTACATTTCGAGTACATTTTGAAGGTTAAAATGGCATTTTAGAGCAAAATATAATTCAACAACGACCCCCAAATTTGTGGACATCGTATCGTTTGAATAATAAATTTAATATTTGATTTAAGACCGAACATTATTATATCCTGTTTGGATTAAATCATAAATTGATAAATAAAGATGTTCTATTTATATAAAAGTTCTATAATTACTAAATACAAATATTGCTTATTTGTATTTTAAATAGGGGAAAAAGAACATTAATTTTATGTGCATTTTGGCAATTTTTTTATGAAATTTGAATTTATTGCGTTTAGTTTTAAACTGATTTAATTAATTCAATTCTGATAATATTTAAGAATTAACACGTGATCAAACACGTGATCAAACACGTTTTTATATTTTGTACTTTTATCTTTTAAACACAGTTTTCAACAAGATTACGCACATGCACACCAACGCGACGGGTTAAACATTACTTCAGGTTTTTTTTTACAGTGAGAATCAGAAAACGGTGGAATGCTTTTGTTATATTAATTATGAAATCAGAAATGTTTCTGAATGATTTATAATTTACAACTAATTTATTTCTAAAAAAAGGGCCCGGAATTTTTTTTAATAAACACACCCACTGCAAACATTTGAAAATATAAATCCTGTGGCACAAAAAGAGAAATGAGGCGAAAAGAATTCCAGTGTTTTCTGGTTTCTACTGATGATACAGTTTATGAAACATTAACATTTTCATATCAATGAAAAATTCTGCAATCTATACAATAAATATAATTATACTAACTACGTATACCCTTTACAAACCGAAATACTTTTCAAAACCTTAATATGAATATTTGAAAGCTGCTAAAGGCTTATTTTAAGCTTTTTTTGATCAAAAATTTAGAGAAATATTCGTTTCAAATATTTTGATAGTTTTAGTTCACATTGATAATATGTGTCATCCATCATATCTCATAGCATTAGAACCTGCAATACTAATCTGATCTAAACTATTTCATATCACGCACATCTGCCCCTTTAGTAAAAGTAAATTTAAGGTATATGAAGCATAAAGTCTGACTGTGTCAACCTTGTTGCACCGGCTAGTCCTGTCCATAGAGCTAGGTACAGTACAAACTGGGACCGGAAAGGTTGACCCGACTCGGAAATTCAAATGTGCTACGGCTGCCCGTGATATTTGCTATAGGAAACTTTATATTAGCTTTAACCTGTTTGCTATTTGCTGTAAGAGACTTCCTATTAGCGCTAGCATATTTCCTCTTTGCTCTAATCTGTTTCCTATTTGCTCACAACGGTTTCTTTTTTGTTCTAATCTGTTTCATATTTGCACTGGTATGATTCTTTTTTGGTCTAAACTGTTTTCTATTTGCTGTACCTAGTTTTCTATTTGCTCTAGTATTTTTATTATTTGCTCTAACCTGTTTTCTATTTGTTCTAACCTGTTTCCTATTTATTCCATCCTGTTTCCTATTTTGTCTAACCTGCTTCTTATTTGGTCCAACCTGTTTTCTATTTGCTGTAAGAGACTTCCTATTAGCGCTAGCATATTTCCTCTTTGCTCTAATCTGTTTCCTATTTGCTCACAACGGTTTCTTTTTTGTTCTAATCTGTTTCATATTTGCACTGGTATGATTCTTTTTTGGTCTAAACTGTTTTCTATTTGCTGTACCTAGTTTTCTATTTGCTCTAGTATTTTTATTATTTGCTCTAACCTGTTTTCTATTTGTTCTAACCTGTTTCCTATTTATTCCATCCTGTTTCCTATTTCGTCTAACCTGCTTCTTATTTGGTCCAACCTGTTTTCTATTTGTTCTCACCTGTTTCCTATTTGGTCTAACCTGTTTCCTATTTGGTCTAACGTGTTTCCTATTTGTTCTAACCTGTTTCCTATTTGTTCTAACCTAATTCTATTTGCTCTAACCTGTTTCCTATTTGGTCCATCCTGTTTACAATGTGGTCCAACCTGTTTTCTATTTGTTCTAACCTGTTTTCTATTTGTTCTAACCTGTTTCCTATTTGTTCTAACCCATTTTCTATTTGCTCTAACCTGTTTCCTATTTGGTCCATCCTGTTTCTTATTTGCTCTAACCTGTTTCCTATTTGTTCTAACCTGTTTCATATTTGGTCCATCCTGTTTCCTATTTGGTCCAACCTGTTTCTTATTTGCTCTAATCTGTTTCCTATTTAGTCTAACCTGTTTCCTATTCAGTCTAACCTGTTTCCTATTTGCTCTAACCTGTTTCCTATTTGCTCTAACCTGTTTCCTATTTGGTCTAACCTGTTTCCTATTTGGTCTAGTATCTGTATCCCAGGTTTGCTCCATGCTCCTAGTTCTGGGCTGGATCCTGTGACCGCAAGGTGCTCCCCAGGACGAGTGGTGCAGCTCACACGGAAGCAGTGCATCCTTAAACATTCAAAGATACTTAGTCCTTCAAAAACTTCTGAAGAATCAGAAAAAAAGAAGGTTTATTGAAGTCAAAATAGTCACATGTTAATAATTTTAAATTACTCTGGTACGCTCTGAAAAATCATATCCTCACCAAGTTCAGTTTCACTCTCACTTTAATGAAATATATTTGGAATTCCTTCAGTTTAAAGATGTTTTATAAAAATATTAGAAAAACTAATGTCTAAAGGCCGAGTCGACAATTTATCTTAATACTTTTGGCATATTAATTTCATTTTACGTTAAAATTTTAGTTTATTTCTGTAATTTTTATATTGTTTTATTCGAAAAAAATACAATATGAAAAAAATACAATATGAAAAAAATACAATATGAAAAAATACAATATGAAAAAAATAAAATATGAAAAAAATTCAATATGAAAAAAATACAATATGAAAAAATACCATATGAAAAAAATACAATATGAAAAAATACAGTATAAAAAAAACACAGTATAAAAAACTATACTAAAATAAAGGAAATAAGTTTTTGCCACAAACTCTGATTTAATAATCTCATACCTGTGAAACCCAATGACTTGGACCTTAGATATTTCAAACTATGAGTTCTGTTAAATAGAAAAATTCAAGTTTGAATTATTTATACTAGCTGGTTGCAAAGATACAGTAAGTAGTGAATTTGTGGCTAGAACTCAATTTCTTTGATTTAAACAAAAATCTAGGAGAAAAGGTTGAAAAGTAATATTTACTTTTTTTGAGCAAGGTTCGAACCAGCAGCAGCTGCAAAACTCGAAAATATTCTAAAAATTGAAAAAATTGAAAATATTTTTATCATTTAATGAAATGACTGGAGAATTAAACCCTCCAAGAGATTACTGGCGAAATATCATGTATAACCAAAACTTAATAATACTTCTTTTAACCTTTCTTGATTTTTGTTAGTAGAAATAAAATTCATGATTCGTGTTTTAGAAAATCAAAGATTGTGATTTATCATTATAAGAACGATGAAATATCGATAATGTTTTCTTTGATAAATTTTGAGATAGTATCGTTGTTATCAATTCATGACAATTTTTGAATATAGGGTCATTTGAATTACATACAATCAAACCAAATGTTTACACATTTCAACAATTTATAATGATATTCACAATTCTATTTAACAAATAAAATGAGAAATAGAAATAAAAGTCATTTAAATAAAACGTATTTTAATTGTATTTGAACCAAAATTATTGATTACATATTGCTAATACTATTAAATGAATAATTATTGTGTTTAATTTAATAATATTATAAAACTATTGTTGCCTGTTTATCATGTAAGGTTGCTAGGTTAGGTGAGCTGCACAGCTGATATATATAAATCCAGTGCAAACCACTGAAATCCGTAGAATATGGAGTCAAATGCAGACTACTCTAGACTAAACACTGAACTAAACTAATCAAAAATACAGAATACAGGCCCAGATATAATATTAAGTCGCGGTGCGGTCTGACCGGGGCCATTCCGTTACCCTGGGATTAGACGGAGAGAGGGGGGATAAGGAAAGGAAGGGGGGGGGGAGTGGTGAAATAGTACAAAAAAATAGTTTGTGTCTAAACATACACAAGACGAGAATTTCTCTGAACTCTGTATTGAACGGGCGGCAGTGGCTCTCACTTACCTCCAAATATCCTCCGAATAAATATTTATCACTAAATTTTTTTTACAATTGTTAAATTTTACCTTTATTTTTCAAAATCCAAAAATTACGTTTTTTATTGTTTATCTTTTTTTTAATGTAAATAATTAGAAATTAAAAACTGTGTCAGAAAATCTATTTTTATCAATTTTTTATATTCATGATTCATGAACTACTGCATGCAATAGGCAAATAAATTGAACTTAATTGTAATGTTATTATAAATTTTATTGACCAAATATTTAAGATATCCATTAGGAATTATGGATGGATGCCCAACTCGTCTTAGCAAAGAAACTGAGTTTTTTTTACAAACTGATTTTCTAATCCTAATACCTTTGCTACCCAAATGTCGTAAAGATTAGATATTTCAAACTTTGAATTCTGTTGGATCAAAAAATTCATAGGATTAGAACCTTTGAGTTTGTGGCATACAATTCCAAAGTTCTAAAATAAAAAAATAATACCTATTTTTAAGATCTTTAGAAGAAATCCCCCCCCCCATTCCTTCCACACTCTTTTTATGACTATAAAGAAAATAATAATCTAATTAATCTGTCTAATTTCCTTTTTTTGGTCTTATGAGGTTTGAATATGAAAAGAGCTCCCTGCGAGTTGAGGGGTATGGGGGGGGGTGTACAATTTACAGAACTTATGGAAAACTTTTCTCAATAGCTATTATGTTTTATGGTTGTAATAACAATAAAAAATTCTACTTTGTTTACCTCTGAATGAAGAGAAAAAGAAAACTAAATCAATTTCAAGGATTTTTATAAAAGATTTCACAGATTTTCTGTCAAGGTTAAAAGTTTTATAAAAAAATATTAACAAAACTGTTAAAGTTAAAAAACTAGGAAAACGTGATAAAGTCGAGAGGAATTTATAAGGGAAAAAACAGAAAATCGAGAATATTTACATTTCAAAAGGATTTAGAATTCTGCATTCACATTATTAAAAAAATGTAAAATCATTGCAGTAATTAATAAAATTATCACGCTATGAATATTTTCCATGTAATATAAATTTTATAAATGAACATGAAATTACGCAGCGAGTGTTAAAGGTTTCAATATTTATATAAAACTTCCAATAATTAGATTTGATACCTTGGCATCGTCAAAGAAATCGACATTAATTGTCGTCTTCTGTGTAAATATTTTGTACATTTTTTCGACAAAGATTTTTATTATTTATGAAAAGAAAAAATGAAAAAATTATCACAAACAAAACTAATACATTTACATAAAATCATGCATACATCATAAAAAATTATCATATTATTTGAATGAAGAGTTCATCAAAAACCTTAATTTACGTAGAATTAACTTAGAATGAGAAAAAATAAACTAAATTGGTTTTGCAGTTATACAGGCCCACAGGGTGTCACATAATAAACATGGGAACTGCATGATGAATTCTAAATCGCCTTTGTTTAGAATTATAGTATTGTAATTCCTAAGTTCAATAGCTATATTAATGTTACGTCTGCCCGAGTATATTTAATGTAAACGGTAAAAGGCTATTATTTATTTTACAAGATGAATTTTGAATAGGGACATCTGTACTTTGCTTGTGTACAAAATTTTCTCATTTTATTAACTTCAAAATTATGCAAAAAAATTCATCAAAAAAATTTTAAACTCTGCAGACAAAACATCCACGGATTACAGCTTTCCTAGGAACCATCACAATTTACTAAATCAAAAATCATTTAAAGAGAATCTCAAAATCCCATGTTTAGAACTATATTCAAAGGTATACTATTATATAGTTTTGTTTTCTAAACTGGAAATAAACCATTTTAATATTGAAATATTTTTACTTTTTCAAAGTCCAGAAGTTAAAGATTTTTTAACATGCAAATTTATGTTTATGTACCAACTATTGAAAATCAATAAAATTAGGTTGTGTCTGTATCTGATCAAGAAAAGATTCTCAACAACAAAACAAGATTTGATGAAATCATTAAAGAAATAATTCTGGAAAATGAATATATTTAACCCTGGCTTATTTTCTTTCATGATAAAATGATGTAAATAGGATTATTAGGTCTAATCCTCAGTCTATAATTTCTAATTCATTGTCTTTCTATCATCAGTAGCTATGGATCCAAAGATGAGAGAGGATCAAAGAGAATCAGAGAATGGATCTACCCGGAGCAGAACTAGTATATTTGAATCTACCACCACCATGATGTCCGTCTCAACACTGATCTGGGATGTCTGCCGGAAATGCATTTGCCAGGAGTCCAACACTGCCAAGAAAAATACTCAGGCTTTGGTTATGCTTGGTCTCATGATTCTTCCCTTGTTTCCAATTCTTACTTTGATTATCCAGAATGGATTCTCCTTGAGCCACCTTGTTACTTTCAAATCTGATGTGATAGTAAATGAGGTTTTTGTCAGAGAAAGTGAAGAGATTTCTGACACCATTCAAAAACTGCAAGAGGAACGAGCTTACGCAGTGTTTCTCATCTCATTAACTACAAATAATGGCCCCAATATTTCCTTGCACAGTCAAAGAATCAAAGAAACGTTTATCAAGACTGATCTTGTTTTATCTAAAATATCCAATTGGCAAACAGATGAAAATGATATCAGATTTGACAGCCAGTTAAGGTTCCAAATAAGACTGGAAGACTTCCGAGAGCTGCTCCTTAAATCAGCGATAGCAAGTGCTGATGAAGACATCATTGCTATACCTACAACTATTCAAGATATCATGCTTTATTACAACTCTTTAATTGATGTTCTTATGAATCAACTCTCTGTAAAGATCAGCAAGGTTAAAACAAAAGATGTCTGGCGATATGTTGTGGCTTATGAAAGCCTTGCGCGGGTGTTAGAACATATCGGTAGAGAAGTTATGTTTGGCGTTTTGTATACTCAAAACAAGAAACTAGATGAAGATGAAAGTAAAGAGGTTTACGAGGAACAGCAACTATCTCAGGATTATCTGGAAATGACTCAGTCATTCATCCCATCCTTAGCTGGGACAATTAAATTGGCACAGTCGGATCAAGACTTCTTAATATACGCTTCTTTTAAGATGGAGAATGGACAAATGACCTTTTCCGAAAATAAGACTTCAACACAATATTACTACAGTTCTATTGCTTATGTTAAAAAAATCCAAGATGCAAAGAATCAAATTCGTGATGAAATAAACAAGTCTGTTCATGAACAAGTTAAGCTGTCAGACCGCCAGCAAGCTATAGGAATTTTGATTCTTGTAGTTGTTCTGATAATTTCACCTTTTATGATTTTGCTATCACGAAATGCTGTTCAAACAATACAAATATTTTCCAAAAGCTTGCAAAAAAAGTCTACTGATTTAAGAACTGAGCGGAAGAAAACAGAAAAATTGCTGTACAAAATGCTTCCAGAAATTGTGGCCGATGGACTCAAGAATGGAAATACAACCACAGAAACATTTAAGTCAGCCACAATTGGATTTATAAATATTGATGACTTTTCAACCCTGACAAAGATGCATTCTCCAATCGAAGTCATTAACATTTTGAATGAAATATACACAGTTTTTGACAGTCGTCTTGATCTGTTCAATGTGTATAAAGTAGAAACAATTAATGACAGTTATCTTGTGGCTTCTGGACTACCAAAGAGGAGTGAGACTCATTGTAGGGAAATAGCTGGATTATGCTTGGACATTACAAAAACATGCCAAACCCTTGATATACAGCCTGAACTCACGGTCAGGGTAAGCGCTGGTGTTCATTCAGGACTTGTCGTTGCTGGCATTGTAGGAAGCAAAATGCCAAGGTACTGTCTTTTTGGAGACACAGTCAACATTGCTTCACGAATGCAATCCACTGGAGAGCCTGGCAGGATTCAAATTACTTCAGCTACTCGGACCCTTCTAGAGACTCAAGGAGATGACTTTCAATGTGAAGTGAGAGGAGTTATCGAAGTTAAAGGCAAAGGAAGCATGGAGACTTACTGGCTGGTCTCTCAAATATCTAAAAGAGCTTGATGTGTGACAGATTTACAACCCAACAATGTACCTAATGCACAACAAACTTCTCATCTTTAAACTTACTATCTCCTTATTCAGATTGAGTTAAAGCGGATGCTATTGAAGTTCAATCCGGCAAATCTGGACGGTACACCAAATAAATCATCTCCTTCTAGTGAAATTAATGTTTACCCTTGTTTTTATACGTTTATTGTATTCAGCCAGTTTTTGTTTAGAATAAACTTTTTATTGTTGTTTTTTTAATTAAGAACTATTCAACCAGATGGTAGTTAGTGAAACCAGATAAATACCAATCTTTTTACAGTTAAAAGAGAAAGAAGACAATTACCAAAAATGTCATGTTAAGCATGGAAGTTTTGTGCGTTTTTTTTATCTGATTACAGTTCGATTAAAGCTAGCTTATATAATACATTGCAAGCAATTTGGGTGAGCAAGCAAATGCGTAAATTAATTGAAATTAGTTTTACGCAATTATGAATTAGCACAGAAAAAGAAAATTTTATTCATTTCAACGATTATTCAACGATATGGTGATCAGAAATAAAGATAAGAAATACAGAGATAAGAAATACAAAGATAAGAATTACAAAGACAAGAAATACAAAGATTACAAAAAAATACAAAGATAAGAATTAAATAGATAAGAATTACAAAGATAAGAATTACAAAGATAAGAATTACAAAGATAAGAAATACAAAGATAAGAAATACAAAGATAAGAATTACAAAGATAATAAATACAAAGATTACAAAGAAATACAAAAATAAGAATTACAAAGATAAGAAATTGTTTTTCAAAAATAAGATAAGAGGCAAGACAAGAGAATAAGAAAAATATAGTAAAATATGGAACCTAAAAAGTCTGAATTATCATATTGTAACAACAAAAATGTTAAGTTGTTTGGAATGCATCTATATAAAACCATTAACTGGAATCCCCAGCTTTAGTCTGTTGATAATGCGTTTAGAGCACTTTTTTATTATCTTCTTCCATTAAGGATACTAAATTATATTTATTTTGTAATTTTGTAGAATATAAAGTTTAAGATCTGGAATAAAAGTCCTGTCTAAAACATTCTTCTTTTACATGCTTCTCTGTTTAAAACTTAAGAATACAAATAGTGAGAACCAGAAAACTGTGGAATGGTATGACGACATTAGCAATACTTAAGTGTAGTTTATATTCTTACAAAGCAATTGGCTTTACTACAAAGAAAAATCATTTATTAAATGAAATGGGTCAGTTTCCATTGTATAAATACTGTGCCTCGTGTTCACTGGACTCTTTAAAGTCATAACTCTAGACAAAAAGTAGTCTTATCTTATCTTATCTTAAGTTACATTTTCTTATCCTATTTTTTCTTATCTTATCTTATCCTAACTTATCTTATCATATCTTATCTTATCTTATCTTATCTTATCTTGTCTTATCTTTTCTTTTCTGATCTTATCTAATCTTAGCTTAACTTATCTTATCTTATCTTATCATATCTTATCTTATCTTATCTTATCTTATCTTATCTTATCTTATCTTATCTTATCTTATCTTATCTTATCTTATCTTATTTTCCTTAAACCTCTGTCAGAAGGTAAATTTATAATATTGATCAAAATCGAAATAAAAGCATAATCCCGAAATTGAGGGTAGAAGGGAATAGATGATTTAAAATATACTCTGAAGAAAGATAAATTTGAAAAGTAGAGGTAGGTAAGTAGAAAGCTCATTCCGCAGTTTAATAACATTCTAAACCAGAGTTGACTGATGAAACACTGTTTACGAATTATTTACAGGATTATACTATTATTCATTCAATTAAATAACTAAATTGTTTATGATTAAAGTTTAAAATCTGGAAGTGCATAAACTTTCAAATCCTATGTTAAAATTTTTAATAGTCACAATTAATCAAGATTTGCTCTACATTAAACTAAAGTAAGTGCCCTTACCAGACCTTTTTTTGGCCGTGGAATATACTTTTGGAAAAAAAATTCTAAATTCTGAAAAAATGTTACCTTGGGGGTACCAATGGGCTTTCAGCCAATTTGTTTTAGCCTTTTGGTCAGCTATAGCTAACATATATAACATATATAGCTTTATTATCTAGATATAAAAATGGGTGTGGAGGAAGTGGATTGGGAGCTTTTGAACGGAATAGATCCGTCCCAGCTAGATGATGAAACTGTGGATCAGGTTTATATATAGTGTCCCCCAATTTTTTTTTGTATTTTTTAAAGTTTTTCATAAAAGATAAATGTATACTTGTACAAAGTTATTTGAATAGTATTACAGTATTCCAATATTTCCCACTTGTAAAAAGAATACTTGATTAATTGTAAAATTCTAAATCAAACTGTCCGTCTTTAATATTTAGACTGTTTCAGGTCGTCATTATAGTTTCATCTTTTGTGGGTAATCTGTATCTAGAATTTAGGATTTAGACAAACAAAACGAATAGATTTTGAAAATAAAGCCACAATTTTTACTTGCAGCACGGAAACAAGAATGAAAAGAAAAAAAATTCGAAAAGCCGTCTTTTATGTTTTATCCTTTGTGGGTAACCCTGTCAAGTAGAATATTAAGAAATAAGAAAAGTAGATCTGAAGGTATGGGGTTATGCAGTTATAAAGTTATAAAGTTATAAAGTTATGCATTCATGCATTTAGGGAAGTTATTAAACTTCAGAACTAAAATCATTTATTTAATTGTATTTAATACAATACAATACAATACAATGCAATACAAAACAATACAATACAATACAATACAATACAATACAATGCAATACAATACAATACAATACAAGACAAGACAATACAATACAATGCAATACAATACAATACAATACAATACAATACAATACAATACAATACAATACAACACAATACAATACAATACAATACAATACAATACAATACAATACAATACAATACAATACAATACAATACAATACAATTACAATGCTATTCAATAAAATAAGTGTTTATTGAAATGTGCAAAAGCTAAATCCAATTATTGCTTTTACAATTAATTTTGTTTTTGTCCTTGCAGTGAACATAACACTTAAAAATAACGAGTAGTGTTCACTTCTCCCGACGTAAAAAAACAAGATTATAAATATTTTACATTGTTCTTCCCATTTTGTACGAGCATTTATAGTAGTCAAGCTAATGTTAGGTTTCTTTACAAAAGTCTGGGTGCTCACTAACTCTTGTATCTCTTAGAAGCTTAACCCCATTTTACTAAAAGTCTGGGCACCCATTTTTTCTTTTAAGTTTGACACTTTTAACCTCTATTTTTGAAGTCTGGAACTTTTCAACTCCTATCCTTTAAGTATGACCAACCTTTGCCGCATGAAACCGGTCCCTTCAAACCTGTAATTTTCCCCAGGTTTACTCTGCTTTGAGTAGTTGGGATCCAGGCCCGGAGAACCAGGAGAACCAAGAAAATATTCGAACTGCTTTTAAACTTATCCAGGTACATTTACAGAAAATTGGAAATCTTATGAAAATATATGATTTTTCGGTTTGAAAGATCTTTAAATATTAAATTATATAACAGTCTTATTTAAAGGGATAAATCGGCTAGGTAACGTAGTTCAAAATTCATTTGATACCAATGATACGTGTATTTATAATTTCTAAGTAAGAGCGTAAATTCGTTTTAAAAATTCGCTAGAAGGGATGGTCATTAGAAGAAACGCTTGCTTTTACAATTATTTAATAACCTGGAGGAAACATTTAACAATCTATTCTACAATCTAATGGCTATAGTGGATATATTTTTAATAACATATGTTACCCTCTGTTCCAACCCCTACGCTGAGTATCCTCCCTTTCCCTTATACTCCCTCACCTCCTCCTTACCTTTTTCATGATTTATCATCATTCTTATGTTTAAAACGAACAATGTACATTGCTTTTATTTGCAATTCTCATTCGTTTACAGTCGGCCAACCATTTAAAACAACCTACTCTGGTTAGGCGGGTCCAAACTACATAGTAAATTGTCATTTTCTTTATTTAACTACATAGTAAATTGTCATTTTCTTTATTTGTATTATCTCGTGCTTTGTAGTTCAATAAAAAATTTAAAAAATATTCGTTTTTCTAACTTGATAAATTTTCCATATCGTTTCTTGACCACAAATCCACAAGTCACTTTGGAGAGAAACCACAATTGAAAAAAAACTTTTTTAAATCTGAAAATCTCGTGAATTCTTGATAAAAGATTTCGGCTTTTAAATATAATTTTATGTTTATGGCTGTATTAAAGTTTAACATTGTTTAGGGAGTTATGAAATGGAAACATGAGGAGGTCGAGGAGGCTGTAGAGCAGCTGGAGGACATGGAGAGGATGAGGGAGGAGAAGGAGGAGCTGGAGAGGGAGGTTGGAAGGATGAGGGAGGGGACGGGGGAGGCGGGAAGGTTAGAAGAACTACTTGAAGTGGAGAGAGAACTAAACCAAGCAAATAAAACAATTCAACAACAGGTTTCACTTTTTAGAATATTTAAAAATTTAAAAAAATTAATTTAAAAAAATGGTTTCTATATAACAACTCCTTTCATGTTGTAAAGGTTAATATTGAATATAATTTTAACATGAGTACAAATATGGTAAAAAAAAACGTATGGAGACGAAAAACAACTATTCTGCCTATGGTTAAGATTCTAAATGAATGATATTTCAAACCTGGGATATTTATGATAAATTATTGATACCTTCCACATAACCGAAACCTACAATGTAATTTTCAATTTAATTTTCCATTTTAATAAACAGTATGAAGTTTTGAACTTTAAACTGAAAAGAAAATTATATTAGAATATATGTGCTATGTATGCAGAATGTATTTTATCTTTAAAGATTTAAATATTTAGAATTTTCTATACATATTTTACTAGCTTTCGACTTATTTTACTTTGAGAACCAGGAAAATAGAGTTTAACTTAAAGTTAATAGTTTTACTGTTGTCTAAAAACTTGACTCTAAAAGTCGTCTTTGTATTCCGGAGTTTGCTGGCTCCCACTCTATTTTTAAATCTCATTAAATTTTTGAACCTCATTAACTTTTAAATTGAAATAATTCATAATATTTCCCAAATAGTTTTTATTAACACTATATAATGTGATTAAAGTTTTATTTATCACATCTTTCATATTTACATTTTCTGTTAAACATTATTTTCGGAAGGATGCGTATATCAACCATTGAATAATAAATAAACTAAAACTTTAAATATTTGTTGGCTGCATAGTTTTGATTGACATCTTTGCTGAGTCCTATCCTTGATAAAATTCCAATAAATGTTTGAACCCTGGGAGTCAGGGAAATATAAAGTTTTATTCTTTAAGAATTCAAATATCGGAAGAAAATTCAGCTGAACGGAGTTGAAAACAATTTTTAATTTCAAGAATAATTTACAAAATAAAAAATTCTATGTCAAATAATAAAAAACAAAGATTTCATTAAAAATTAATCAATATATGTAAAGTTGCAATTCCTGTTTGTCTGTCCGATCATAACTCAGGAACCCCTCGACCGGTTTGCCTCAAAATTTGACTGGGAAACTCGGGAGACCCACGGGAATGTTCTTTGCTTGGTTTTGAGATTCTGAGTTGAGTGGGTCGACTTTAATAGCGAAAATTTAGTTTCTTAGTAAAATCGTTAAAAGTGCGGGTAAACGGCTAAAGTAAATTTAAATAACCTGGGCAGCGCTGGGTGCCCAAGCTAGTACAATTTAACGCTTTAATGATTTAGAATTGTACAGGTCTGGTAACTATTAAATTGATAGATCTGATTTAGAAAAATTAAATGTTTAAAACTCTGATTCTTTTTCTCTTACTGGTGAAAACTTCCCAGGTTTTACCAATAAGATATTAAATAACAAGTTAAACTAATCAAAAAGTTGCCTCTGTTCAGAAGTTTTCAGTTCGATAGGTTTGTATGTACGTTCATACTACATACCGTACAAACTGTACACTTAATAAAAAAAAACTGAAACTATCCGCCTTATCAGGAAAGGGCAGCTGATGAGCTGAGAGTGGAGGTTGAGAGGGCGGAGAATAGAGCTGAGAAGGCGGAGAAGCAGGTTGAAAAGCTCCGCCGTGAAAAGGAGCAGCTAGGACAGGAGCTGGAACAAACTAAAGAAGCTGCTGATAAAGAAACAGCTTCAGTTGATTTACCAGACGAGGTTAATATAATAAAATATAGATTTAAATTAATAGATTAATAATTGAAAGAATGAATGAAAGAACCAAAGGATAAATGGGTGGATAAAATGGAAAAATGACTATATGATAGATAAAAATTAAAGGTTAAATGTTCATGAATGAATAAAGGAATGTTTAAATGATTAAATGAATAAATGGCAAAATGTTGTGGATGAATATCTGAATTAATAGATAAATAAATAAGTAAATGAAGAAATAAACGAAAGGGCAGATGAATAATTGATTGAATACCAGGATAAATAAATAAATGACTAGATGAATGCGTAAATAAATGAAAGGATTATCTTAATAAATTGACGCGTGAATAGGGGAGTAAATTAATAAATAAAACGCTGACCTTAGGTAAAGAACTGACTGATTGTATGAATAGGTGAGTAAACGAATAAAAAAATGAGTAAATGAATTAATGAGTAAATGAATGAAAGAATAAATGAATGAAGAAATGAGGGAATGAATGAATAGTTGAATGTACTGTAGGAGGTTGATACAAGAAGAGTTGTTGAGCTGGAGGACACTGTGAGGCTGAAAAATAAACAAATCCATCAACTCCTCGAGGACATAGAACTCATAGAACAGGACAACACCAGGCTACAGGACAAACTAGAGGACACAAGGGATAAGCTAGAGGACGGGACACGGTCAGTGGAGGACAAACTTTTTCAAAAATAAAAGAATTTTTAAAATTATATTATTCATCCTCTAAAATTAATTAAGTAATTTTTTTTATCAAAAGGCTTCTTTTATCTTATTTCATACTTATATTCTTATAAATTCAAAATTCTAGTTCCTCCCAATATTTGTTCATTTTCTATTTTTAAAATCAAATAATGATAATAATAATAATAAAAAATAGTAAAAATACAAAAATGACAATATATTTAAATAGGACGCTTCTGGATAGTTTACAGGAGGACAACATGATGTTGAGAACACAATTAGAGGACCAGTTTAAGGACAGGACTGCCAGGGACAAGCAGATAGAGCTCATCAGTATACAGGTTGCAACCATCTTTAATTTTAATTCAACAAAAAAAGTAATATTATGTTTGTAAAATTATCCTTACTTTGAATCTTTTTGATTTTTCCACAAAGCAAGAATTTTATCTTCCAGAATTAGAATTAATAGTGCATGGTAGATATATCCGGTTTCTTGGCTTTAACCTTATCTTTCCACAACAGTTGTTTATAAATCTTTTAACATTTTTTATTTTTCATTTCTTCATTTTTACATTTTATACTTTATGTACATTTTGCTCAATTAAAATTTTTTCTTTTCAGTGGCAAGGATTACTTTCTTACTTTTTTCTTGTCTTTCAAAACAAAATGTTGAAGTGTGTGCAAACCTTTTACATTCTTTTTTTTCTTCGGACAAAGAAATTTTAAAGAAAAGTTTTCCAAATTATATAAATGTCAGCAGTATTTTACTTCAGCTTTATTAAACTTTTCGTGACAAATATTTTTAGAAACTTTATCGGACATTAGTTTAAAACTGAAGATTATAAATGTAATTTCTTTTCCTAAAAAGAATTAAAATAGAATGGATGATACTTACTCTAACCTTTCTCCGTTACAACTACAATAAAATACCACAAGCCAACGATTAAACTCGATACCCTTTCCAAAACTGTAAAACATAATGCACGATTGGTTCGAAAAATGGAGTTTTCTTGGAAAAAAGGTTTTATAAGTATAGATATATCTTTGATCAGATTTATTTCTTATTAAGATACATTTAATATATTTAACAGAAAATAAGAATCATATTTTAACTATGATTTAACTATTATTATGATTCAACCTGAGGCGTACACAGGAATTTATTCGAGGGAGGGGTTAACCTTTTTTTGACATTTATGGGAGTGTTCGCGAAAAATGAAAAGGGGTTCGACTGAATAGTGAATACCCCCCCCCCCCAAAGAACATAGTTTTTACTTATAAAGGTGAGTGGGAGGGGACTTACAACTGTAGCCCCCCCGTACACTCCCCTTGGTTCAAATTTTCTATTAATTTTTCTGCAGGTTGATGAGAAGGTGAATGAATTGAAGGATGTTTGTGAAAGCAAGGAAAATAAATATATGTAATCAATTTCATCAATTTTATCAATTTTATCAATTTTATCTTTTTTTTCAATTTTATTAATTTTATCCATTTTATATTACCCTTAAAATTGTTATATGATCAAGTATGAATTTATAGATATCAATATTTATAATTTTGAAAACTGATTATTTTAAATTGTGGTTTCTCTACACTCTGGTGACTTGCGAATTTATACCACAGTTAAACATATAGAAATTATAAGAATTAAACACTTTTTGACCTAGAAATAATGAAGGTTCACTTGAAATTACATTTCCAGTTCCTTCAAGAAACAGGAGTAAGGTTTAAAAGCATGAAATATTTCAATCAATAGTTAAATTTACTTAGAGGAACAGAAAACATTAAAACCTCTGTCCGAAAACTGATAACGGAGAATTTCTTATTTTCCAATTGAGTGCCAGGAAACCCTTGAAAATACGTTTAAAGTCCCTTTAAGTTAAATAAGATATATTTATCCTCTCTGATTAGGATGCTGAGATAGCGGAGCTGAGAGCGCGATTAAACCGCGCTACTTTATCTAGAGAGACTACAACACTCACACAACATGATAGGGACAAAAACATTTTATATCCCTAGTGAGACATTATCTTACCGATTCTTCATAACGCCCTGGTCATCTAAAATTTATTGTTAGTCATGCAAAAATTATCATAAGTCATTTAAAATTTACCCCGAGTCATTCAAAATTTATCATAATTCACCCAACATTTACATTAAGTCATCCAACATTTATAATACTAGGCTGTTTTCTTTGTTAACATTGTAAAACAAAAAGTTAGCGGATTTTCAAAATTTCAAAAATTAAGTTTTGACGGAGGCCAATTTTCGGAAATGCTATCATCCATAAACCTTTCCTGAGGTCACGCGAGGCCCCCCAAAAAGTTTGGCCAGATCGTTTCAGTTTTTTTGACGTTTATTTGATACAAACGGAAAGACAGACAAGCAAAGTATATATAGAAGTCATACAAAAATTACTTTGAGTCATACAAAATGTTTCATTCATAAGTCATTCAAAATTTCCCTAAGGTAATCTAAAAAGTCCTTTCTTTGTTATTTAAGCTACAGATTTTAAAAACTATATTTTTGAAAGAGTCTTTTTGAAAAGCCATTTAATAAATGATATTTATATATATATGTACTACCCTACCTTTTCTCTACAGTCTTTTTCTAGGGGAGGGGGGAGGTTAGGACGCCCCTCAAGGCTATTTATAGATTTACACACCCCAGTCTTTATAGGGTTAAGTAAATTTCCCAACTTTTTCCCGCTTCATCAGAAATATAAAAGTTAATGAATGTTTTGTTCATTTTTTTTAAATTTTACAAATTGTGAACATTTTATAATTCCCTGAGTACTTGGTAATAAAGGCTGGAGCATGTATTCAATCTATTTCCATCAAATAAAATTCAATATTTTAACATTTATATATGCTTGAATAAATTTGAGGGATTTTTAGAAATTATTCCCGTGGGCCGAGATTTTCCTCGGATGCATAAATTCAATTTTAAAGATTTTGTACATTTTTCCATAACATTCTTTTGTTGAAAAAAAATGTATTTTTAAACAAAAATCTCGTAAAAAAATAACAACTTCTACTTTTTTATGTCACGGGTTGAGTTGGGATATTTTGAGAATGAGTCTGGATATTTTGAGATTGATTTGGGATATTTTTAGATGGAGTCGGGATATTTTGAGATTGAGTCTGGATATTTTGAGATTGATTTGGGATATTTTGAGATTGATTTGGGATATTTTTAGATGGAGTCGGGATATTTTGAGATTGAGTCTGGATATTTTTAAGATTGAGTCGGGTTATTTTGAGAATGAGTCTGATATTTTGAAATTGAGTTTGGATATTTTGAGATAGGGTCTGGATATTTTAAGATTGAGACTAATTATTTAGAGATTGATTTGGGATATTTTAAGTTTGAGTTGGGATATTTTGAGATAGGGTCAGGTTATTTTAGATTGAGTCTGGATACTTTTAAGATTAAGTCTGGTTATTTTGAGAATGAGTCTGGATATTTTGAGATTAAGTCAGGTTATTTTAAGATTGAGTTGGGTTATTTTGAGAATGAATCTGGATATTTTGAGATTAAGTCAGGTTATTTTAAGATTGAGTCTGGTTATTTTAAGATTGAGTCAGGTTATTTTGAGATTGAGTCGGGATATTTTGAGATTAAGTCGACCGATGACCGAATTTAATTAATTGGAGAGATGTCGCTGAACTTCATGCCGCTGGTTCTAATCCTGAATTCAAAGTTAAAGATTCATGTGGATTTGAATGAGTGATTTAATGAACCGGTTGTAGGTAGTTCAGTGGAACTTTTTTTACCTTTAAAGAGAATAATATAAATGTTTATTGTATAATGAACCAGGGAGAATATATCCGTATTAACTAAAGCTCTGGCAGAACGGGAAAGTCAAATAGAAAACTTAGAAGAAAAACTTACCCAAGCATCTCAGTAAGTTATTCAAGATTTTTACTTTTACCCAAGCATCTCAGTATGTTATTCAAGCTTTTTACCCAAGCATCTCAGTAAGTTATCCATGTTTTTTACTCAAGCATCTCAGTAAGTTATTCAAGATTTTTACCCAAGCATAACAATAAGTTATTCAAGATTTTTACTTTTACCCAAGCATCTCAGTATGTTATTCAAGCTTTTTACCCAAGCATCTCAGTAAGCTATTCAAGATTTTTACCCGAGCATCTCAGTAAGTTATTCAAGATTTTTACTCAAGCATCTCAGTAAGTTATTCAAGATTTTTCAGCCTGCTTATAAAAAGTCTCATAAATTTTGAAGACAGGGTCGACTTTGAAGTGTCGCAACCTCTTGGGTTTTGATTTTACCGCTCTAACTAACTCACGCTTTTCTGTAGCCTTTTACATGAATATTTAGAATCTATGAAGCACTTGCTTGTTACTAGTAATTTGTAAAATTTTAATCGATTTTTGCCCGATAGCTTGAGACCTTATTCAAGATGTTTACCTAAAAATCTCAGTAAGTTATTCAAGATTTTTACCCAAGCATTTCAGTAAGTTATTCAAGTTTTGAAGATCCAAGAAAGGGAAATTAAGATTTTGTGGGATTAATTAGACTAAAATCCCCCAAAAAATATTGATTAATTTGAAGTGACTTTCTGGTCACAACGGTCCGTTTAAACCTTGGTCTAATCGGAGTGGGTAAAAAACGCCCAAAACAAAACGCTCAATGCAACAAAACGCCCAATGCAACAAAACGCCCAATGCAACAAAACGCCCGATTAAAAAACGTCCAATGTTACAAAAAGTCAAAATTTTATATGAAAATGAGACATTGATGTACGATTTTTTTCAAGAAAATTCGCAACTTTTCTGTTGTAGTTTCTCAGATTTCTGGAGTCTCGCGCTTTGTAATTGAGCGTTTTGTTGCATTGGGCATTTTTTTGCATTATGCGTTTTGTTGCATAGGGCGTTTTGTTTTTGGCCGTTTTGTTATTGAGCGTTTTGTTTTTGGGCGTTTTGTACCCACTCCGTCAAAGTTAGAAGTTTAAATAGAACCGTTTGTAAAGCTTAGAAGTTCACTAGAAATTATGTCTTCAGTTCCGTTAGGTTGAATCATACAGGATCTTTTCATAGGAATAGAGCAATAACTTTCAACTTTTATCATTAAAAGTTTAAACTTTTTAGATTTCAAAATGTTCAGTAAATGAAAAAAATTGCAAAAATATTCAATATAAAATATTCTTTTTTATAAAGATTTTAAGCTCTGCTGGTTTGCAAAATTGCAATATATCCCACATAGAAGACACGTTTGATGTTTTAAAATTTCCCCCTAATGTTGTAAACTTTGTATTTGAATCAATTATTTAAAATTCTCTTGGGAAAAGTTTCTCTAGAGTAGAATAGAACTGTAGAAAGTTGTAAAGGGAATAGAGAGAACTAGTTCTAAACTTATAAACAACATATTTTCTAACAGTGAGATCATAGAACACATGAGTAACAAGGGTTTACATGACATAATAGAAGACACTTTAAAGGAATTGCTCACATATCTCATTATGCACACAATTCCTTTTTATTTGAAGTAATGATTAAGCCTATCTTTCCGCTCAAAAATATTCCTTAGAACATTACTCTCTGTCTCATATTCATTTAAAAACCGAGTTTACATGATATATATTTGTAGATGTTTTTCTACTTACTTTTGAAAATATAATTAATCATTCAGTTTTTACAATAGTTTAAGTTTCGACATTTTTGGTTCTAAGGAAAATTTTTGAGCTATAAATTGAACTAAATTGAATTAATCAAAGGAAATGTTTCCAATTCCTTTGAGTAATTCAATTCTAAACAGAACCCTTTTTAATCTATTTCAAAGAAACGTTGACTAGTAGTTTTCTATTTTAAATGGGACAAAATTATTGAATTTTCATTTTAATTTTTTTACATTTTTAGGCAGCTTGAGAGTACAGCAAGATATGTAGAAGAGTTAAAGGGAACTAACTCCAAGAAAGGAGTTGACCCTTTAAAGAAGAATTTCATGGAGGCTAAAGCTGAACTGTTCCAGACTCAGGAGAGGATGAAGGATTTAGAGGACAAGGTGATGGAGGCCGAGGAGTCAGCCAAGGAGAAGGCTGAAGAGCTCTCCGAGCTCATTGTGAGGCTACGAAAATATGAGAACGGAGAGTATGGACTTCATGAAGCAGTAGCAGAGGTTCAATCTTTGCGAAAACAATCTAAATTTAAAGACAAGCGTATTGAAGAGCTGACCCAACAAGCAAACTCTTTTCAATATGAAGCTAGTCAACTAAAAGAGGAAAATAATGAACTTCGGCAGCAGCTTGGGATTGAACTTCGCGAAACTGGATCAGTTTCCTTAGATCTGAACAGGGTTCAGACTAAAAGTCCGAATGGGAATCACACAGAGCGAGCACTAATGCAGGTTCTGCATAGAGAGATAGAACGACTGGAAGAGGAGAGAATCCAATTAAAAACTGAAAATAGGAAACTAGCTCAGCAGCTGGGTCAGCGAGCTGCTAAACTAGGTCTAGATGCTGGAGATCTACAGGCTATACAGGAATATACAGAGGCATTGAAGAATAGAAGGATTGGCATGACAGGGTTAGATGGAAGTGATCCAATGCATGTGATTAAGATGCATGAAGGAGGACTGATCATGCAACGAGATCTGGAGGATAAGAAAACTGAAACTGAAGAACTCAAAACTAAACTAAGTGAACAGAAGATGAGATTTAAAGAGATCTATGATGAGAATGACAAACTCCGGCTTGGAATGCATGAAATACTTGAATCAATTAAAAACCAGGATGGTACAAGCGATGTGATGGTATCATCACCAGTTCTTGAGAATCTTCTCAACATACTTGATTCAAGACATTTGTTTGGAGAATACAAACCAGCAATGGGTTTAAAATCTAAACTGGAAAAGCTGGAAGGAATGAATGCCCAACTGAGAGAAGAACTACGTAAAACTCGACTCAACGAAGATAAAGCCAATGTCCAGGTTCAAAGATTTAAATCTAAGATTCAGCAGCAAGATATGGAATTGAACGCTATCAAGCACGGAAACATGATTGGGAATCCGTTACCTAACCAGACAATTATAGCACCTCAGACACAAGCTGTTCCTCAAGTAACAACCCAGATATCAATAGGAGCAGCGGAAAACCTTGCTAAGCTGAACAGTCAATTAGTTCATGTTTTAGATGAACTTGATTATAAAACAAAAGCATTTAACGCATTAACAACTGACTTGGAGAAGATTCATCAAGAGTATGAGATGTGTAAGCATCAGCTAGGTTTACTTTATGATGAACATTTTGATGCTCAGTCTAGATGGACGGAAGAGAAGGAGGAGAATGAAATGAAGATCCACGGGCTCGAAGAAGTTAGAGACGCCTATGCTGCCAAGATAACAGAGTATGAAAATCACTTGAATCTGTTTGATACAGATGAAGATACAATCAAAAATAAGATTTCTGAAACCGCACGGAAAATAGGATTATTACGATCTAATGAAGCAATTATGACTCGTAGATACAAAGCTGTCGAAAATCAGGAGAAGGTTCTTAGATCTGAAAATATGAGACTAAAAACAGAACTTATAGAACTGGAAAACCATGCAACTAAAACCATCGGAGAACTGAAACGGAGTAAGGAATTTAATACATTTAAAATTAAATCCTTCCAGAAATGTTTAGAAGATACTGTTCCTCTCTCCTCTATCCAATCAGCTAACCGACAGTATAATGAGATAACAGCCAAATATAGAGATATCCTACAAAAACAGCAATCTCACTCTATGCAGTCCAGAACTATTGAAGAACTTGAACTTCAAGTCCAGGCAAATAAACAGGAGAAGGAGATGTTCAAAAAAGAACTTCTTTCTGCAAAAGAAAAGATTCTCTCTATGGAGACATTAATAAATTGTCTAGGAGGGTCTAAGACTGAAAAAGGTTCTGAAAATAGTGTTGAAATGGAAAGGCTAACAAAGCAGGTATATATATACTTTCATACCCTCAGACCATAGATTTTAAAAAAATTCACTTATATAAAAGAATTGAGTCTTTGTCACAAACTCAAAATTTCAAATCCCTACGTCTCTTAAACCTGATGGTGTATACCTCTGATATTTCAATCTTGATTATTTGATCTAACGTAAGTTTTATCCAAGGCCTACGACAATACAGGGATTAGAAAATCAGAGTTTGTTCCTTTACATAGTACTCTTTTTAAAGGGAAGTGACCGGCAATGTATGGTAGTTGAACTGAGATTGTAGTATTATTGAGAAATTTTTTAGGATTCATTTGGAACCTATCATTTACTGTGCATATTTTCAGCAAGAGCGCAAACTCAATATCTAAAAAGCCTAATTGAATGTCCATTTTGGAGGAATGATTTTGAGAATCGGTTTTATAAGAATTATTTAAAAACTACGAAGAAAAATGGAACAAAATTTCTACAGTAAACTAATAAGATATTTAGGAACATATTTTTCATTGTAAATTTGTCAATATGTTACAATTATTTTTTTTTCATCATTATATTAACTTTCTTATGCTTTATGAATTTGTTCGCAGATTTCTTCAAATTCTTTAAATGTCGTCTTTTCATAAAATTCCAGGAAATCTACAAAAAATGGTTTTGAACATTGAGTTGAGACATTACAGAAACCAATAACTGAATAAGATTACTTATTTTCGTTACTTATTTTCGATGTTGAGAGTTAATTTTTATTTTCTTAACCTTTTCCTAAACAACTAATTAACGATTCTTAAAATCATCCCTCCAAAATGGACAATCAATAAGGCTTTTTAGATATTGAATTTGCGCTCTTGCTGAACAATGCACCGTAAAAACGTCTGATAGGTCGTAAATGAATCCTAAAAAAGTTCTCAATAATACTCAGTTCAACTAACATACAGTGCCGGTCACTCCCTTTAAGCCAACAAAGTGCTTCGTATCCTCCTTTCTAGCAATAGTTATAGTAGTTTACTGCTGAACTTCTGTGCTTGCCAGTCGGATCGCTTCACGCTGGGAAACCCGTCGGTCGCAGGGTGCAATTTAAACTACCCTATCTTGTTTTTCTGTTCTGTTTGTGAATTTCAAATTTTTTAAACAAAAGATTTTGGCTGTTGGACAGTATTGGATACAAAAACAACAAGCTTAAGTTATTTATAGTGAGCTGAAAACTTTAGAATGGTGGATATCCAGATTAATGCGTAATCCTCTCTTATTCATAACATCGAGACTAATCTTATTATGTACTTGTATCCTTGAAAGTGTATAGAATTCAACCAATCAGAGTCGCATATATGAAGCCGATAAATTTGAAATTTTGCGGGCCATTTAAGATTACATACAGAAATGGGGGGAACTCTCTAATTTAGAAAACCGGTTTTTATTTTTCTCTACTATATCCAATAAAGAACGGTTTAAGAAGAAAATCAAAAGTTTGTCCATTGGATACTTAGATTAAGTAATCGGGATTAAGGATATCCCATTCTAAAGTTTTCAGCTCTGGGTTACTGACTTTTATATTAACTTTAAGAATTTTACGATCTAGACGCAGAATTTACTTTTTCAGTCAGTAGAATTAACATTTGTGCAAGGTGGTAATAGACTTTATTCTAGATTGCAACATTGGAGATTAAAGAACTAAATGAGAGGCAGAAAGCAGATCACATGCAGAATCAGTACAGACTGATGCAAAGTCAAAACAAACAATTAGAACAAAGAAACAATGAACTTGAAGAAAAGTTTGATCTTGTGACTAAATCAAACATTGAGCTGCAAAAGATTGAACGAGAACTTAGAGACGAAATCGTAACGAGCATTCCTCAAAGTCAGTTTAAGGAAACTGAAGAAAAACTAAACTCTTTACTGGAAGCTGAAATGGCGTTGAAAATTGAAAATGAAAAATTAAGAGAGGTTGCTGACGTTGCCCAAAATCAAGTCAGTGACTTTGAAAGAAGAAAGGAGGACCAAATCCATGAGCTAGAAACACTCCGTCATCAAGTCCTTGATCTTCAATCAAAGACAGATGAAAAAGCTTTGATTGGTAGACTGCATCAACAGTTGATGTCCATGCAAACTAAAGATTCTGCATCAATTCAAAAGATTAAATCTCTGCAAAAGATGATTCAAAAAATGGAATCCACATTGTTAAAAGCAGAGAATAGGGCAGAAAACATGGAACAACTCATGATAAAAGTACGAAGTCAGTATAGCGTCAAACTAAGATCTCTTCAAAAAATAATTCAAGACTTGAGAAGACAGTACAGTGGTTCTATACCATTGCTTAAACAAGAGAAGTTATCTCATAACCTTGTAGAAATGAACATGGAAAAACAGAAGATTAGTATTCTACTTTATGAAACAGAAAATAAGCTGAAGAAAATGGAAATAGACAAGGCTGAGATGGAAATCAAAAGGCAGGGAGTGGAGGAAATATTAAAAACATTAAAGCAAGGATCAGGCACAAAGCAAATACTAGAATGGCATTCAAAGCTTGAGGATTTGAGACTTAAGGAACTACATGCAAGGAGGAACAAGGAACAGCTAGAGAAGGAGGTTGTAGGTTTAAGAGAGTCAACTCAAGAAATCAGGAACAGAAATGAACAGTTAGAGGAAGAGATGGTCAAAATGGAATCACTGATGGAGCAAAGACAGCTGGAGTGGGAGACCCACGAGGTTGAACTCGAGAAAATTGACATTCATAATCTTAGAATTGAGATAGGAGATATAAATATCGGAGACTCTTTAAACCTTCCTAATTCTGAAGTACCCCTGGCTCAACAGCTAGATTCAGCATTAGGAAGGAATAAAAATCTAATGCAGCAAATAAATGTTCTCAAAAAGAAAGTTCAAGATTCTAGAACTGCATTTGAAGAATTAACAAAGAAAAACAGAGAACTTGAAAATCAAAACCTGGCTAAAGAAAGGATGATAAATGATCTAAGACTGGAGATGCCTGCCTCCGTGGACAGGGCCATTGCTGTAACATCTGTAATAGGACAGCCTGGAATACCATCTGCCTGTGTTCCACAGCTTAACAACTACCATACTCTTTCCATAGCGCAGGGGACAATTGAGAGCCTCAGGGAAAGATTAAAAGCCAAGGAAGAAACAATTTCAAAATATGAAGAGTTATTAAATCAATCCAGTTTGGAGCATGAGGAGTCCCTCAAGTGTAAACAGGAAGAGATAATTGCTTTAAACAATAGAATTCGAGAACATCAGGCGTCATATAATGAGTTGAGAGGTAGCAGGATGACGGAGGACTTGACCTCCTCTGCAACTGTGCACAAGTATGTGTCTAGAACACAAGAGCTTGAGGATGAAGTTCATGATCTTCAAGATTCTCTTGGTAACCTTACTTCACAACTTAACAATGCGAAATCTGAATTAGCAAAGTTGCAGAAAATGTTAGAAATGAAAATATCAGAAATTAATAGTTTAAAAGATGTGAAACTAGCTGAAAATACTGAACAAAATCAGACTCTTCAACGAGAAAATGAAAGGCTCTCCAATGAAATAAGAACCTATCAACAGGAACTAGCAATTGTTCAGGAAGATATGCAGGTTTTGAAAGAAACACAATCCAAGGCTCCTTCCACCATAATGAAGTCTCTAGTTGATCGTTTAAGATTTGATCTATCTGAGAAAGAGAAAAAACAGAAAGCATTGAGCAAAGTGATCACAGAGCTGAGAAATGAGATGATGAATTCAGCACAAGAAAACATAAAGAGTACTGATGCTCACAATTCTAGTCACATTCAAGATATTGTTCTTAAAGAAACAAAATCCTACCAGACAAAGATGGCTGAACAAATACAACTGATTGACAAATTAAAGCGCCAAATAAAACAGTACAAAGAATCCGAAATAAAATCAGCGGGAGAGATTAACCGCTTGAAAGAACAAGTTGAAAAAAAAACATCTTTAATCCTGAAGTTAAGAGAAGAAAAAGTAGCTCAGCCGAGTGGATCTTTAAGATCAACTCAAAGAAAGAGCATCGAGGATGAAAAAGAAGAACTTCAAAATCAGGTTGAAGTTCTTGAAAAAAAGCTTCGGCTTATGAACCATGCTGAGAAACCATTTGAGGATGACAAAGAGTCAAAAGTTATTAAAAACATAGAAGAAGTGGCACGTTGGGATGAAAAAAAGAAATGGCAGAAGAAGATTGAGGATTTCAAGAAGAAGCTGAAAGAGGCAGATGAGGAAGTATCTAAAATATCAAAACAAAATGACAGTCTTAGGGAGACTGTATCTCGGCTGGACAGAGAAAAATTCCAGGTTGAACAGAAATGGAAGAACAGTCTGAAACTAGGAACAGCTAAATCCTCTGCTGTGGACAGTAAGGTCCAGGCACTACAACTTGAGAATGATCAGCTTAAAGACAAGGTGTCTGCTCTCGAGCATAAGACAGCTATGGAACAAGATCCAGGTGTAGAAACTCTAAAGCTTAGAATAAAGTTCCTTCAAGAAAGGGTTGAGCAGCAGGAGAAAAAGATTTCTCTTCTTGAAATAGCAAAGAAAGGTGGTAGAGAGGCACTAATGAAAGAAATAGACATTTTACGAAAAAAAGAAGCAGTGTACCATAAGACTAAAGGGAAGTTAGAAGAAAACAATATGGAGATGAAGATAATAGTTGAATCTACCCAACACAACATGATTATTCTAAAAGAGGAATCTGAAGAGCTTTCAAATATAACAATGGCTTTAAGAATAGAGCTTTCAAACTCAAACCTAATCAGCCGACTTGAAAAGTGTTCGGAGCAAATCAATCAAATAGTTTCAAAAACTTCTGGAACTGGAAAAGTTTCAAAAGTTCTGAAAAGTCCTTCAAAAATGCCAAAATTACCTGAAAAAGAGAAAAGACGTTTATCCGCAGATGCTGAAAAATTGAATTCTGAATTGGAACAGTTGAGAGATAAAAACTCATCATTATTGGAAACTTTGGAAATAAAAGAGCGGAAAATCGCTGAGCTAGGACTTCTCATGAAAGAATTAGAGAGAAATTTTAAATCAGGTAATATTAAAAATATTAAAAATGTTAGAAACAAAACATCTGATATTTAAAGGAGAAGAGGTGAATACAGAGCAGCCAAATCATCTGGCAGAAATAAGAAAACTAGAAATTGATTTGAAACGTAAATCTGATCTTCTCTCTGAAGTCAAGGTGAGTGTTATAAAGAAGAAATTTGAATAATTTACAACTTTCTGAAAGGTTGCGTTAGCTTGTTAAAAAAGTTAAGAAAAAAATTGAATTAAAAATTCTTTAGGTTTTGTTAAGACAGGCAGCTGAGAAAGAGAGAGATCAGGAAAAAGAGAAAGAAAATATCAGGAAAAAATTATCAATTTAATATATTTTTATGAAATTATTGAGCTGAACTTTTAAAACGGTACTAAAAAGTTTAATTGGTTCTTTGATTTCCTCAAAAGAATTTATTTTCAATTTTTGCTAAAGCTCAGGACGAAATATAATCTAAAAAGGCTTGAAACTTCACGACAAAGAGCAAATTTCTGCCCTAAAACCTTATAACACTGCAAGCCAAAATAATAGTGTTATTAATAGCTATTATCGATTTTTTCCCCTCTGAGCCTGCATAACTTTCTTTCTTTCATCTCGATCCTCGATCCTTGATGTTTATTCACTCGATTCTTTATGATCCTTTCGAAAATTCTTGATCTTTCTAGACCCATAATCATCATTTTTGTTCCTTCCTTCCTGTCATCCTTCGTGGTTCTTTCCTTTTCATCCTGACCTTTCATGATCCCACCGGAACCTTCTGATCTTTCGTTGTCCCTACCTACCCCTCCTGACCTTTCATGATCCCACGGGAACCTTCTGATCTTTCGTTGTCCCTACCTTCCCCTTCTGACCTTTCGTGATCTCTTAGAACGTTATGAACCTTGTATGGTTATTTCAAATTCTTCCTAACCTTTCATTTTTCTTTCCAAAGTTCCAAACTCTTCAAGTTTCTTCCCAATCCTTCTAGATCCTTTCCAATTCTTCCAAATTCTTTCAAATACTACCAGATCTATCCCAATCCTTCATGATTCTTCCTAATCCTTCCAGATCCTTTCCAATCATTCCAATCCTTCCAAATCCTTGTCAAACCTTCCAGATCCTTCCCAATCCTTCCAGATCCTTCCCAATTCTTTCAGATTCTTCTAGATCCCCTATAATCCGTCAGAACTTTTGAATAATGTCTGCCCCTTCCTGACATTTTTCATTTTTAGATCCTAACTAAAACTTCTTAAAGTCCGTCCTAGTAAAATTAAATCATTTCTGGTCCTTTTCCTTGGATCCTAAACAGATCTTACTGACCCTTGTAAACTCTCTTTGATAAGTCTTGATATTTCTATTTCTCTTCAGATTGAATCGGCACACAAGAGAAGTGGTTGAACTATGTTCTTCTTCTCACTATTTATTAAATCTTCGTCATAAATTGATATATTTATTTCAGATCTCAATTAAAAACAATTCTGGAGATTGACCCTAAGGTGAGTTTGAAGTAATTTGAAACTATTATTGCAATTAAAAATGGGGATCCTAAATTTAATTGAAAATTAATTTTATTCTTTTATTTCAAATAGTGATACTATAGAGACTATCCAATAGATTTTTTAAGGGTTTTAATTTTTTATTTATGGTATGAAAAATCTGCTGTTAAACCGAATTGCAAGTTAAGCTTTAAAAGCTATTAAAGATTTGTTTACTTTTAAAATTCAGTGATGGTGATGGACCAAACCTCTGCAGATTTGTTTACTATTGATTATTTTTGTGCCGACGATAAAGCATATCATTTAAATAATTTATTCGGAAATAATAGTGTTAGCAACGTTTAATAGAAATCCAAGAAATCCTAGAAAAAGGTGGAATGATTGAATATAATTTCACCAATTTTGAATCTATTTGAATAGTTTATGTTGAAACTACCATAAATAAAATCACAATCTATAAAATGTTCAAACATGAAATGTAGATGTAGGAAGTATGCTTCAATAAAATGGTGTATCTTTGAAATGTTTATTTTTAAAATGTTTATAAAATTTCCTTGAAAATACCCTAGAAAAACTACTTTACTGAGTAATAAATTTATAGCGAAATGTAAATCTTCATAAACGTCTCAAACAAAATTTACAATATATCAGATATAGAATTTACAAGGACAATATATCAGATATAGAATTTACAAGGACAATATATCAGATATAGAATTTACAAGGACAATATATCAGATATGGAATTGACTTGGCACCATCCATAGTCTTTGTTTGTCTTAGAAACAATAAAATAACTTTCTAGGATTATATTTCCAAAATATCAAATATAATAGATTTAGTTTCAAGATAATCATTCTCCTTCATACAATACTAGGCTTTCAGGGCGCTTAGCGCCCATCTTCAATTTTAATTTTTAATTGTTGCATTGTTGCTCTATCAGTGGCATTTTCTTTTCTTAAATTATCATACAATAACAAACAAAAAAGTTTTCTCGGATTTATTTATTTTTTTCCCCGTGGATGTCGAAAAATCGAAATTTTTCTTGAATCTAGAATGTTGTTTCTTCTTTAAAAATAAAATCAAGAATTTTTCTCCTTTAAGACTAAATTTAATGCAAAATAATCAAGAACTCTTCTCATTTTACTATTTATTCAATAATTCTTCTTCTTCTTCTTAAAATATAATCAACAATTCTTTTTCTTCATACAATGTAATAAAATCCAGAATTCTTTTTTTGTATAATAAGCTTGTTAAAACTTTTCGAAAATGATTATATTTTTGCTTGAACACTGAAGATATGTTTGTCAAAAAAATGTATTTTTGGACGTCATATTAGTGTTTTATAACTAATGATTGCGTAATATTTAGACCCCGAGTGAGAGCCTGGCAAAAGAATTGCGTCAATGTCGGTTGACGCAGGAGAGGTTAACTTGCGAGAACAAGGAGCTCAAGCATCAAATACGCATTCTCAACCAAAATGCGTAAAACGAGAAGATATGGGTATTGTGTGAATAAGAAAGAAAATTTTAAAAAAAATTTAAATATTGTTTTGTATTTTGATTTTATTATTATATATCTACTATATCTGTTAGTCTCGTTTTTATAATTTTGTATCCACCTTCATTCTCATCCATATTTTTTTTGAACATTCGTTGTAAACAGGGGGGATGATAGTTCTCTACCTGTGTTCTCTATATACTGTACACTTTCAACTGTTTACTAGTAATGATATACTACAGGTTATGCCAGAATCTCCTTATAAGACACAAATATGCAGTACGCTCTCGGTATAGTTTATGACCTATACAATTACTAAAGGATTTGCGTACATAATCACTCTATAAACTATAACCTCGTTTGTTGTAAACAATTGTAGTCCTCTTGAAAAAACAAGCAATTTCTTCTGTGGACCAATTTTACCATAACGGAACGGTACTGAAGTTGTATTTTCAAGGAACATCAGTGACACGTCTGATTCACAACAATACCCTTTAAACCATCGAGCAACAATAAGAAAGATTTCGTCAGTTTTTATTTTATATAAAATTCTGAAAATTTCGTTATTTCTATTTCCGCATATTTTCGGTTAAAGAGAACCGTCATTTAAAATAATTTTCACATAAAAATATGATTATCTCCATCATTTCTGCTGAGATCAAGGTTTAAAAGGTACCTTAGTGAATCTGGCACGAAGGGTCACATGGAAATACGTTGACAGTCCCTTTACTTTGCTTTCTTCTTATTTAACTCTTTTATAAAGTATTAAAGTTTGAAATTAAACGTAAAATATTTTGAATAAATCCAAAACTGAATCCAATTATAAACGTATAAACTCTAGAATGTAGAATTCTCAAGAAAAGTTGTGATAAAACTTGAATGTGCATTTAGATACTTCGAATCCATGGGTTCAATCTTCACTCTTCAATATTATTCTTTTGACAGGCATTCAATCTTTATTTAAAAGTTTTTCTTCAAACTTCTGAAGTTTAAATAAAAATAAGCAAACACAGAAAATATGTTTAAAAAATGAAGAGATGAGAAAAAATATATGTTTAGGATTCCAATATTTTAGGCCTGGTTTTTTTTCATAAGAAAACCCTTTATTTTCTCTATTGTAAAATATTTAGAGGCGTTACAAAAGTCTTGGTGAATAAAATAAAATAAACTTTCAACTAAAAAATTAAATTGAAAAAAAGAAACTTGTTTGTAATACAATTTTAAAGGAAACAATTTTATATGAATTTTTGTAAAAATTCTTGCTATATAAACGTTTTTTTTTCATTATCCATAACTTCCAATATTTGAATAAAGTTTTAATGAAATGTTGAAAAGTTTAGAAGGTTCACATCATCCTACTGTGCAGTGTCCATGACGTCATCGACTTTATTATATCTTCTGAAAAAAAGAAATTGAGTTTTTGCCACAAACTTAAATTTTTAATTCCTATATCTTTGCAACCTGATCTTTGATATTTCAATTTCATACTTTGAAGTATTATAACAGAGTTAATAGTTTGAAATATTAAAGGTCTACGTCATTAAGTTGATATGGATTAGAAAATTTAAGTTTGTGGCAAAGACTCTGTTCCTTAAAAAAGATACAGGATGTTCCACAAAACTTGATTTCTTTGTGATGTTGAAATTTCCGGAGATATGAAAAATTTTGTTCAGATTTAGACAATTTGGTTTTATAATCACTTTTCCGTATTCCAGAACGGTCCCGTTAAAGATTTTGTTCTAATTGTAGAACAAGTATATCCTATAACCATTCAATTTAGTATTTATAATGTCTGTATCAGTAAGCGTAGTCATCAAAATATTCAGTTTTCTAGTTGTATCTTACATCAAATATGTTGAAACACTAAAATCAATGTTTGACGGTCAATATAACACGGTAAGACTTGAAAATAGCGCTTTCATTGGCAATTCTAATAAGTTGCTAGAACTGTTATAGAAAAGTTTTAACATTTAAAAACTGAAATCCATAAAATTTTGCTTTTTTTAAACTAAGCAAAATTTTTAACATAAGAGCACATAGATCCATACAGCGATGACTGGGTTGACATTGAAGTTTTTTAACGCCTTGGCTTTTAATTTAACCTCCCAAACTCACTTTTACTTTTTGCAGTCCTAGACAATTATGCATTTTAGAATTATAAACAACTTGTTTTTTACTTCAGTTTTTAAGGAGTAATTGACAAGATTGTCATCGATTTTTGCGTCAGCAACCTTTGGATCGCTGTGCATGATGATACAATACGAAAAAGAACCCAACCTTGAAGAAAGTTTATTTAGTTTTCAAACTTTAGAGTTTTAAATAGAAAAATTTAAATAAGAATTAGAACTAGACAGAATGTTACCAGAAAAGAGTTGCATGAAAAGAAAAGCAAAAAAGATCAAACAATATTTGCATAAACGGAAGATCGGGAAAATAATAGAAAGAAGAAAATGAGTTGAATAAGAAGATGAAGAAATAACAAAAAAGACGAGAATGGACAGACAAAGAATATAGAAAGAGAAAAGAAAGAAAATAGATAATGGATAGATTAGGGTAAAAATAAAAAATAAAATGGACACAAAAAAAGAAAATGAACTCAAAAGAAGAAAATGAACACAAAAGAAAAAAATGAACACAAAAGAAAAAAAATGAACACAAAAGAAGAAAATGAACACAAAAGAAAAAAATTAACACAAAAGAAGAAAATGAACACAAAATAAAAAATGAACACAAAAGAAGAAAATGAACAAAAAAGAATAAAATGAACACAAAAAAATGAACACAAAAGAAGAAAATGGACAAAAAAGAATAAAATGAACACAAAAGAAGAAAATGGACAAAAAAGAATAAAATGAACACAAAAAAATGAACACAAAAGAAAAAAAATGAACAAAAAAAGAATAAAATGAACACAAAAGAAAAGAATGAACAAAGTTGTGGAAGTGAGAAAAACCAATCAGTGCTAAGACACAGAGATACATCATTCTGTCAATCTATCCATCTATCCATTCATCTACTATCTTCCTATTAATCTATCCATCTATCCATTCATCTGCTATCTTCCTATCAATTCAATATATTTTTCCTATCAATCTATCTATCTATCCATTCAACTACTATCTTCCTATCAATCTATCCATCTATCCATTCAGTATCTATTTTCCTAACATTCTATCCATATATCCATTTAGTATCTATCTTTCTATCAATCTATCCATATATCCATTAAGTATCTATCTTATCTTCCTATCAATCTATCCATCTATCCGTCCACAGGGGCGTATGAGAGCAAAAAATTTTTGTTCCCCCCTTGGCAACATTATGCCCCACCCTTAAAATCACTTTTTTTTTTAAAAAAAATAGTGATACTCTTTTTAACTTTGTGAACTATTCGACGGTTACACACTTCCATATTACAAGTGTTGATACATTATTTATGTAATTTTCTTAAGTGGACTCATCAGGCAGGGATGCCCTCCCTCAGGGGTGGTACGCACCTGCCAGTTTATATCTTCTATCTGTCCATCCTGTTTCCATCTTATATTTATCAACCTATCCATTGATCTATCCATCCACCTAGTATCTTTAATCTATCCATCCTGTACTTAGCTTCTGTCTCCCAATCTATCCATCCATCTATCTTGTACCTTTCTTTAATCTATCTATCAATTAATCCATCTATCATGTACCTATCTTTTACCTATCCATCATTTATCTATCTATCAATCAATCCATCTATTCACCCAGAGTTCAAAACTAAAGAACGAAAAGTTACAACTTTAATGTTAAGTTTCAGCCTAAATGTCACTTCTGACTTAATTTAAACCTGAATTTCAAGCTATAGTTTAAATATTTTACTCGTCGATTTCGGCGAGTTAAATTTTAAACCCGAAAATACCCGCATTAAATTTTGCGATATCTCAATGCATGAAAATTATTTAATCTGTGGCCGAATTGAAAGAATTTGAGCGGCGGTTTAAATTTAAGCCGCGGCTTAAATATGGTTGGTTCCACTTAAAATATGTATCAAATATTTCAAGATTTAAGCCGGCGCTTAATTTAAACCGGGTTTTGGCAGATTTAAACCCGCGGCTCAAATTCTTTAAATTCCATCTCTGAAGATTTAAGTTTATAAATCTTTTCCCGTCATCTGAGCCCGCGATTTAAAAAATTTGGGAAAATACGGCTCGCGACTAAGCTGTCGTTGGGCCGAGCCGAAGATCTTGCAGCTGTAAATCACGTGACACAAACGGTGGTCAGAGTTGGGTCTTAAAGTCGGTTTAAGGAATTACGGCTCGAGTCGAAGTTTTTAAATTGCAGGCTCTGGAATAAATAAATACACCGTGTATCTAATACGAATAATTCGCACTACATCTATATGAAGAATTTGAAATTACGAAACAGCTGATGTTGTATAATTCCGTAATTGGTTCATATTTTCCCCGGGGAAGGTTAAATTTGCCTTCAGGGTTAAATTTAGAAAGGTTAATATTTAAGAAGCAACTCATTTTTTTTTCAGAACTTTTAATCTATAAACTTAATTATATCTATATATCCATCATTTATCTATCAATCTATTCATATATCCACCCTGCACCTATCTTATTCTTAAAATTCTTTATTAACACAACTATAAACTTGTTTCTTTCTTGACAAAGAGTCGATAAAATACCATCTTCTGTGGGTAATTTTACTGATAGACGACCTGAAACTTTGAATTGAATGGAGTGCTTTGAAGGCTTATTTAATGATTTGGCAAACGAGAGAATCAACGAGAGTTTACAGTTGCATGAAATCATGAATACGATAACAAGACAGTATAAATTCTGTACAGTCGTCTCTGCATGAAGTCTCATCCTTTGTTGTATTTTTGTCTTTCTTCACTAAGGCACTGCCAATAATAATAGTAAAATACTATTTCAAGCTACCATCATTTCTTTGATTTTTCTGGTATTTTTCATGGATTTCCCAAAAAAATCAATATCAACATTATTTCTAGGCAAACTTTTTCAATTTTAGCAGCCCAATATGCCTTGTGATATTTTAATGTGCCAAAAAAACTAACCCAATTGATTCAGCCGTTTATTGGAAACCGACAAACAAACGAGCCAACATTAATATATATGGAGGAGATTAATGGGTTCCCATGTGTATGAGGTGTACTATAACCTTGCTGGTATGAGGACTTCGTATTAGAACCCTGTTCACGTAATATCCTTCCATCTATACTCTATATAGAGTTCACAAGATAACTTTCAATCCTTCCTAACTTACTAATTCTTCTCTGAACACTATCCAAGGACACGATCCTTTCTAAGAACTATAAGAGTAGTTAAAGGGACTGTAAGCGTAATTTCAAGTAACCCTCCATGCAAAGATGGCAATGCCCGATTAACAACGGTAACCTTATTACTTCTACCCTTAATCACGATCGTCTAATCCACTGTGGAAAGTTTAAATATTGTTTTTTTTAACAATGTATTTTTTAAACAATATTTTATAAGAGAAGTGAATTTATTTTTTTCTGACTATCTTCTTTTTAGCTGATTATACAACTGTTTTCTGTTCCTCTCTTTTAAATCTACGCATTCTAATCCCTTGTAGACAAAGGAAAAATTCATTTTGACACATATTTCTGATGTCTTTTCTCCCTAATATTGTTATAGTATATAAGTAGATGTCAGATGTATTTGTAATTTTCAGTTTTATTGCTTATTCAGGAATGTCAGACTAAACAACTGATTGAAGGTCAGGCCTTCAAACACATATTCCTCAATATTTTCTGCAAGATGTGAAATGGAGATATTTTCTTACAGGTTGAAGAAATAAAAGTCACTGCTAAGCAGGGTTTGCACATTCTGAGGATATCAATTGTCAGAATTCCGCCTTAATAATGACAAATGGGATAAGAAAGGTTAGGAAAGGAGTGGATATTTTTGAGAAAAGAATTCTTGATTCTTGTAAGTTCATCTCAGACATTGCTTCAGAATACGGCCTCGTCTACACATATCTTTTCCTTGCAGTCGGCAGAGTTTAAACCGGTATCATAGTGCAAAGGCTATCAGGATTCTACTTTATATGTTTCCATTTTCCTTGTTTCTGGCAAGAGGAAGGGGGAAGAAAGAGAGAGAGAAACCCCCTTTTCTCTGCACTATTATTTACTTTTTTTTCCAAGTAGGGTGTACTGCCATGTTATTCAAACACAGGGTTCTGTTCAGCCACAAGAAAGAGTTGTATAAGAACCTGACTTTTCTGAGCTCCCTTGATGTTTACACATAGAACCAGATTCATAACGTCTTTCCTAGGAGTTACTTAGGAATACTTAATAACAGCTAACCAGGCTTGTTATTATGGAGTATATTTAAAGCTGCCAGTAGCAAAACCTGGAATTAGCTAGGTAAAAAACCTTCTTCTCCAGGTTAATACAGCATTAAAATATTAATGCAGGCCTTCAATGTTTCTCGTAGTTCCGTTTTTTTTCTTTTCCCTTTATGTGCAGGGGTGTATACGCCCCCCCCCATATACAACCCTGGCTAAAGTTTCTCTAGTAGGCCATTTTCTCTCGTACCCTGTATCTTTAATTACCGTTAGAAGCGCCTGTCAAGACCCAGTAGTTACTTCTCTGAAATCTGAATGCACACTGTAAATTTTATTGTTAATCCTCTCTATTGGATATCCCTGCTGGATTGTGATAAATGAAATTTCTCTCATTGATTGCGCGCGCAAAATTAAACAATTTCTTTGTTCGGATTCTCCAATCGACACTCTGATTGGTTGAACATCATACACTCTCCAGTATACAAACAAAAGATTAAATTAATCTTGAGAATAATAAAAGCATTTTTCTAGGTTCTAAGTGTTTAGTTCTGATAATGCATTTATACTGTTGCAAATAATCAGTTGTAAAACTTTCAAACATAGGTATCTGACTCATACTTAAATATTATTTATTATACTTGTAAAGGGTACCGTTGTGAATCGGGTATCTTGTTTACAGTACCTTTAATCCGATTGATAAATAGCCGTATCAACTCCATTTCTGTAATACCTTAAATAAAAAATGAAACCTATAACATATATATTTGATAATCTATCTGAAATACTAAAACACTGTCATCTAATAATGAATACTGAATAACAATACAGATAGAAACAAAGTACAGTTATTACACTAAGCGAGGGCATGGATGGGGACTTATCTAAAACACATGCACATGACGTCATACAAGCACCGAGGTTAAGATGCTTTATCAAAAAATAACTTGAACAACCCACTTTGTTTCGCAAATATTAGGGGGTTAAGCAACACAATATAACTCTACTATAACAGCCTGATAAAATAATACACATAAAAAATGAAGAAAAAACTAAGGTTTGAATATCATTTTTCAACTGAGCAGAATCAATGGGGTAGAATGGTTAAAATGGCAATTTCTTTGGTGAACTTGTGATGTGCGGTAAGATATGGGTGATTTTTATATCCATTGGCAAGATGTGAATATTTTGAGTATTTTTCACAAGTTTTGTAAATATTTTAAGTTTCAAAAATACATGATAAAACGCTAATATAAATAAAAACATTTAAAAACTGCCTTCACAGGGATCTAAAATAGGGAATAAAATCACCGGTGCCAAATAAAAAAATGGCGACGGTGAGTCTTGCTGAGATCCCACCAAAAGGCCCCGTCGCCATTAAACTAGACTCCGGAAGAATGATAAAAGCACCTTCACTGCGAGAAATCTATTTTTCCAGAATTTTCCTTCAAGGTCAAAACGTTGAAGATTACATATGCATCTTTTGATTTTAAAGAAATGTTGTGGAAAAACTGTTTCTTGAACTCGACTAAGAATAATCTACTAGTGCCCGGCCCTGGTTAGTACCATAGTTATTCAGCTTTCTCAGCCCCAGTGTCACAGATTCCATCTTGTGCTTTGAACAGGAGGGAGGAGGAGAAGGGGAGACTCTTCAACCTGGAGAACAACAGGGTTGGATACAGTCCTACAGGATTCTGGGAAAAAATCCTACAGAAGTCTGGGATACAATCCAATAGGATTCTAGGATATAATCCTACAGACTTCTACCCGTTGAAGGTTGTTCAATGATTGAAGAATCCACCCTGAAACTAGACCAACAATTCAAACAGGATTAAGCTTAAAGGTCTGCCCCGGATTTTCTGATTATCAGACATCTAGGATTCAAGCCTTAATGAGACTACCATAGATGTTGATATCTCAGAAAATGCGAGTGTAGTGACACTAAAGGTTGAACATGAACTAATATGTGGAATAGAGCTGCCATAGAAGAATCAAATTCAATCAATCAAAATCGATCAATCATTATTGACCGATAAATTGATAATATATAACTATGGCGAATCAATCCCCTACGTTTATAAATATACAGTATGAAAGGTAAAACTGGAACAAATAACAGAAGAACAGAATAAAAGTAAAGATGACGGCATAAATCATATGTTTGCGGCATTTGCGGCGTAAGTTGCGTAGTTTCCAATGACAACCATCTTTACTCTTCAAGTCCCGCCTTATATTAGCTGCTTCAAACTTATTGCAAAAAGTTCCAACATAAATTGCTGAAATTGTTAAACTATGAAATATTGTACTTATCTAATGTATATATTAATTTTGTTAATAATAAATTGTGTACTTTTGGTTCAGGTTTGCATTTCAAAATCCTGAAGTTAAAATGTCTTTTGAACACTGTAAAATGTTCCATTACATTTAATAAAGCATAAATAATCAATCAATAAAATACATTTCTAATACAGTAACATTATAAAGTTTAAAACATGTATAATTCTAATAAAATCTCATATATATTTCTATACTCTGTGGATGTACCAGGATTTAACTAATTTTCGGGCTCAATTCGAGACCAGAATAAACTCCAAGAAATTATTCTTGGGTTTTTTCCTTTATTTTTAAAATATTACCATGGGAGTCAAATTCATTAAATTCATAAAATAATCCAAAATTATTGATCAGTGGTGTAGTATTATTGATCAGGGGGTGGTTTCATTGATCTGGTATTCAAATTCATTGATCAGTGGTTCAAATCATTGATCAATGCTGTAAAATCAATGATCTAGAGTTTAGAATCATCAATCAATGATGATCTTAAGAGTGTCCTATGAAAAAAAGATTTAATATTGTTTCATGAACCTTCTGCTCAGCTTGAGTTTCTTACTGAGCTAATCTGTTATGATGAGTCTGATGTTCTGGAAGAATTCTTGATGTTTAATGTTTATGTTAATGTAGATGAAAACGAGATGAAAATATAAACACAGGTCACCACTCCAGTCTGAAATAAGAAAAATGAAATTTTCAAAAAATAAACTTAAATAATGATTCTTATCAAAAACATACCAAGCAGCAACGTGGTTTTATTTGGTCAAAACAACGTTTAAGGGACACATTTTCAAAATTGATTTGAATTTATAAGTGTTTTTTTTTTTGACAAAGTTATTCAAATAATAAAGCGTGATTACGAAAGACCAATAAACCTGGATTTTTTTCCGGCAAGTAAACTGAAAAGTCTTCTCCAACTATTCGAAACTCAAAAATTCTGTTTCATTGACAACTAAATTTCAGCTTAGGAGACAAAGATTTTCGAAAAAGGCCACGCCGAGTTTTGGAGAATAATATCTCTTAAAGGGCGCTAGGGTCATATATGTTTTCTACTGATCTGATTATCTAACTGTTTACCTATGAATATATTGTTATAACCTCTCTACCTCCACCTCTAACCATGAGAACTCTCTCCAATCCCTCGGTTAGAACCTCAAGGAACTCCATATCTACAATAGTTTAACCAATTAGTGACAATCTGGTGGTTTTCAACATAACTACACTTCAAATCTTAATCGCATTGGGTTTAAATACAGATTTAATCTAAGTGCAAAACTTATTGAATCCTGCCAATTTTATATAAAAAAACCCAAATTTGATAATCTTTGCAACCTGATGATGTAACTCATGGATATTTCAAACTTAGTTCAATTGATCCAACAAAGTATGTATAAGGTCTACGACATTGGGTTGCAAAGATGAAGGGATTAGAAAATCGGAGTTTGTGTCAAGGACTCAATTCATTTAATCAAATTTACAAGGAGTTTCAGCAGACATGAAGGGCCAACCAAAAGGATTAGAAAACTTGAGAAGAAACTTTCTTCAAGAAAGGCCGTCCAACGCAAAGACCATTTATAGGTCGAATCTCTATTACAAATATTTTCACATTTATAGCTGGTAAATATATATTTTAAAGAAACCGATCTTCTGGCAAAAACACTAAGATTATTTTGACCGACGGTTCCCCCTTGAACCTTTATTGGATCAATAATATCTTAGTTTTCTTGCTTGTAAATGAACAGTGTTACATTCTCATAATTTCCGACATTGCTTCTATGGCCGATTATGTGGAGAAACCCCACTTGAGAACAACCGACTTTTTGAAGATAATTTATGGATTTTTTATTCATCATTGATCAGACAAAGGGTACCGTTGTGAAAAGGACATGCCACTCCATTCATGAAAGAGTCAATGTTAGTAATCTAGTATTAATCTGTTTTCTGTCCAGACACATACTTTAGTGGAGTTCTAGCGAGGTAAAGTTTAGTTTCAGGGTTCCAGGTTCGGAGTCAATCTCCAATCTATAATTCAGAGAACCAGGAGCAGAGGAGAATAGAAACCAAGGGAGGATTATAACAACAGGGTCAGAGGACAAGGAGTAAGGAAGGGAGAACAAGTGGAGTGGTAGGAGCATGGGGAGAGAGGATAAGTGTCGAGGGAGAAGATGGAGAGAGAAGGAACAAGTGGTGAGGGAGGAGTAGGGGGAGGGAGAAGTTGGATAGTTGGTTTACACAGAGATATATTCATCAACATGGTTAATCAGTCTTCAGACAGTTAGTTGGATAGTTGGTTTACACAGAGATATATTAATCAACATGGTTAATCAGTCTTCAGACAGTTAGTTGGATAGTTGGTTTACACAGAGATATATTGATCAAGATGGTTAATCAGTCTTCAGACAGTTAGTTGGATACTTGGTTTACACAGAGATATATTGATCAACATGGTTAATCAGTCTTCAGAAACGTCTTTTAGATGAAAAAAATAAATTTAAGTTCACGATTAGCTCTAGTTTTAGTCTAGAACCAAATTAAAAACTAGAGGAAATCCCTATTCACTAACAAAACGCAATTGTTTGTCCATTTGGTGGTGGTGGTGGAGGGGGGGAGCAGTTGGAGCTTAACCTTTTTCCCACGGGAATAGTTTTCACTTTGCCATTGGGTGGCAACAATAGTGTATATGCCCCTGTTTATCATGACAGTAATATTTATCCCTTAAACCTAGATTTAGATCTTACATGAGCAATCCTTGTCCTTGCCCATAACTTTAGGAGGTCCTGGTAGGTTGAGTATGACAAGTTTAGCCTCGTGGCTCTTGGCAACAATAACTTCGTTCAGTTTTACAGCAGTGTGCATCCGCCGAACATTTGCGTTCTCCCTAAAATACAAAAAAAAATATAAATGAAATTTTTATTTTTTACTTTGATTACTCAATAAATTATCAATTATTTGTAAAAACCATGGGTTGAATTTGAGATAACCCAGTAACGTAATATGTCAATTTATTTTGAAAAAAGATTGGTTCGAAATTATTATTTTTCTCGATGTTCCCATTAAATTCAAAGCTTTCAAAAGTTTTTAACAAAGTACGCTTTTATTGATATTTTAATACATTTTCTTGTGTAAAAAGAGAAAAATTGGTGTTAAAGTTTTAACAAAAAGTAAATCCCAACTTAACAATTTGAACGTCTATCATTAAAAATATAATCCCGATGTCTTTTTTGACATACACATAAAAACTCTTTATCCCGATGTTAGATCAAGTTTGAAAAAATGTTTGCAAAATTAAGAAGAACAACTTACGGAGGAATGGATTCCATGGCGGGCTTGACATGGTTGTGTGCTTTATTATTGACCTCAGGGTACGGGGGCATATCGTCTTCAACCTGAAAACATTGAAATTATTTAAGAATTTTATACAATTGTAAAAAGTTGCTTCCCGACGTTCTCGAGATTTATCTCTGGTCTCTTTTCATGGTTCAAGCTGATCCTTAAATGGACTAAAAAGTGGTTCCAAGGTTCCGTGGTTCCAAGGTTCCATGGTTCCAAGGTGTCAAGGTTCCAAGGTTCCAAGGTTCCAAGGTTCCAAGGTTCCAAGGTTCCAAGGTTTTAAGGTTCCAAGGTTCCAAGGTTTCAAGGCTCCAAGGTTTCAAGGTTCCATGGTTCCATGGTTCCATGGTTCCAAGGTTCCAAGGCTCCAAGGTTCCATGGTTCCATGGTTCCAAGGTTCCAAGGTTCCAAGGCTCCAAGGTTCCATGGTTCCATGGTTCCAAGGTTCCAAGGTTCCAAGGTTCCAACCACCATTAATGAAATGAAAAAAGGTTTTGTTGTGAATCTCAGCATTGATCTCCATCTTATGGATACACGGATAAATTAAATTCCTCGTTGATATCCCGTGGTCGACTATACACTGCGGGAGATATCTTTGAATATCGAGATCAAGCATTTAAAACTAAGAAAACTTTACATAAAGTTCCGATCTATGTCCGAAAAAGCCAGTATCCATTAAACCAAGTTGTCAGATCAAGGATTACAGAGATAATTTCTGTTTTCAAATGTATGAAAATTTATAATTTTCAATTTTCTATTAGAGTGACTTTTAGATTTATGCGGTAGGCACAAAATAAACGAAATTGTCAGAATGATCACATTTTAAAATAGAATAACAAAAACATGGTTAGATAAAGGGTTGAAGGACTCTTTTTTACTCGATAATCGCACATGCACGGATCTGAACAACAGAACTGCGTTCTTGCAACAAACTCAAATTTTCTATCCTTATTTTTTTGCAATCTGAAGGTGTAAAACTTTGATATTTCAAACATAGGTAAAATCGAACAGAATTCGGGTTACACAGATAAAGGGATTAAAAACTAAATGTTTGCAACAGAAGTTTCTTTACTTCAAAAATAAATAGTAGTGGTCAGCGTTTATATCAATAATATAAAGACGACTTTTCTAATTAAGTTTTTAATTCTGATAAGCTTTTTCAAAATACAAGTTTACAAGTAAAAAAAGAAGCTTTTAATTAACAGTTTGTCTTTGTTTTCATGTTTGTGTGTATCCATGCTGTTGACAGCTTGGTAGAAATCCATGCTGTTGACAGCTTGGTAGAAGTGTATCCATGCTGTTGACAGCTTGGTAGAAGTGTATCCATGCTGTTGACAGCTTGGTAGAAGTGTATCCATGCTGTTGACAGCTTGGTAGAAGTGTATCCATGCTGTTGACAGCTTGGTTTAAGTGTATCCATGCTGTTGACAGCTTGATAGAAGTGTATCCATGCTGTTGACAGCTTGGTAGAAATCAAGAGTCGCCTTCATTGAAACGATAAATACGACTGCTCCATTAAGGAATATTTTTTTAATAAAACTATTTTACTTTTAAGAGAACTTACATCGCCGTTGAGCTCCTCTGAGAACTTGACTTTATTTGGAGATTTCTGCATAGATATGCCCAGATCCTGGTGCCTGCTTGGGTCAAGCAAGTTATCAATCTAAAAAAATAGTTCTTGTTTGGGATGATATCTTATTTTAAAAAAGATTTAGGTTTGGGTTCTTTGCATAAAAATTTGCATTTAAATTTAGTTTAAACTTTATTTATTTCGAGTTTGTGTGACTTGTCTCTAGTTTTCTCTTGGTCTGGTAAATAATTTATCTTCTCTAAGTTTCTTTTGAGAATTGAGGTTCCTTGAAGAGGAAAAAACCTGAACTATTTATCAACACACAGTTGGCAAACCTAACCTCTCTGCGTCATACAACAACAACAAAAATTAGTTAATCTAAAAATAAGAAATACAAACTTAACAGTTATCACTAAAAATAAAAACTATTAAAAATACTGTTATGTAAGTGCTTAAAGATACAGTGAACAAACCTTTTTTATCTACAAATAAAACATAGCAAAGAAAAAGGTTTAACAATAGTGAAAAATCCTTAAAAAAAATATTGTGTTCCATTTTGTTTAAAAAAGGTGGGGTAGCAGACAGAAATATAACAATTTTTTTTTCGTTATAGCATGATCATATTTTCGGTGAAAAAAAGGTCATATTTTTGTTAAAAGAATGGTTATATTTTTGGTTAAAAAATGGTTATATTTTGGTTACAAAATGGTTATGTTTTTAACTATTTCAATTTTTGGTTGGTTATATTTTTGGGAGTTTTCCCCCGCTCATCTAATTAAATAATAGTACTCATTTAAAGAAGGAAATAATTGTTTAAGTGTACTTTAAAAGTCCGGTGTCCTAATTGAAAAATTTAATACAATTTTAAGTGGAACCAACCATATTTGAGCCACGGCTTAAATTCTATAAATTCGGCCTTAGAACGACTGTACGACGTGCAAACTGAAAAACTTGAACCAAAGAATAAAAATTGTAACTAAATCTAAACTAAAGCATTGATCGTGCATCATCATGAGAATATATAATTGAACAATGTCATTGTTTGGATTAAACAAGTTGAAAAGTTAAGTTGGGAAGAAAAATATTAAAATGAAAGTAAGTGGAAAAATTTAATTAAAAAGTGAGGTAAAAAAAACACAATTTCTTGGAAATAATTAAGATATTTTTCTTTAAAAATACGTAAAATTAGAAAACATGGAAAATAGCTTTAAAATTTTTTTAATCAATTATAATTTCCCGTTTTACAATAAAACAAAAAATAATAAAAACAAAATTATTTTTTTTTGACATACTGAGTTGGACTGTGATATATCCTCCACCAAAGTTGAGCCTGGATCCCCCTGAAGCAATCGATTAATCACCATCATGATACAGTGTACATCGTACAGTGTACAGTGTACAGTGTACATTGTACATTGTACTGGGTACAGACTAGAGCAGTTTATGTACATTCTTTAAAAAAACTAATTGTTATTTTATTTTTAGAATTAAAAATAAAATAAAAACTTAAGATGTTAGGAGTTGCATGAGAGGAAATAGGAACATTTAATATTTATCAAAGTTGACAGAGTTTTCAACATAAAATATAGGAATATATTTGACTATTTAGTTAATTGGTATTTAACATAAAATCAAAACTCTATTTTTAATAATAAGTTATATTGAACTGTTCATAATGTTGAAGTTAGAATTAAAGTAAAAAGTTTGTCTAAGCTTTGTAAGGTTACATATCATGTTTTCTTTTTGAGAAAGAAGATATGTATCCTTGTACATTGTACAATTTCGAAGACTATTCCTAATTTTAGAGTTCATATATATTTTGTTACGAGTTTATTTAACCCTAAACAGGCTGGAGGGGGGGGGCGTTTGGCGCNCCCCTGTAGTTTTTTGTCCTAGAACTTTAATTTTTGACACTATCACCGTAAATTTTTGTGACTTTTATGGGACTTTTTAAGGATTTTTTGTTAAGTCTGAAGAAAAAAAATCTAAAATAGCCAATAACTTTTTTGTGACTAAAGCTACAGATCTAAAATCTATATTTTTGTAAAGCCCCTGAAAAATGCAGGTACATTTGTCACATTTTGATATTTGTTAAAAGAAAACAAGAAATATTTTTTTTCCCATCTTTGTGACCCTTTTTTGGCATTTTTTCCACCCTCGTTAGCACCCAAACTATTAAAGTTATCGGTCTATTTTTTTCTTTAAGCTGGCCATGAAAAATTGGGCTATGAACATGCATGCATGCATCTAAGGCCTTTTTCTAGGGGGGGGGGAGGCGCCAAACCCCCCAACCCCCCGACTAACAGACCCCCCAGCCTTTATAGGGTTAACTAAAATAATTAGTAAAAAACGAGACTAACATTACTTCACAAAACTGAAATTAAAAAAAAGAATTATTTTTCATTAAAGTAAAAATCAGAACGCTATTAAGTTATATGTAATATTTACATTGTACATGCAAATGTACAATGTATCTACGTTGGCCGAAGTGTAAATACTTTAAAAAATGTTTTTGAACATCGTTTTGAGCTGTCAACTTTTAAATGGAAGAAAATTCTTAAATTCTGTATGATGGAGCTGATCCCATTCTCTATTTTCTTATTGGTCAAGAGTTTAACCAATAATATTTGAAACAATGAGTTCATAAGTTGTTGTCACACTATTTATTTAATTTTTTTCTTACAAAATTAAGAAAGATAAAAAACCCTTCTATTATGTAATGTTGAGCTATAAATTGTAAGAACCTTTTACATTCTCTTCGTAATGCAAAAAAACCCAAAATCATTTATTTCTTAAAATATATTTTTTAACATCGACGAAAAAATTTAAAAATTACGGATATTTTGTTAGAAATAATAAACAGAATATTAGATATATCTGACAAGATTTTACTTCCTAACCATTTACTACGATATTACGAGTTTTCTTCTTATTGTGTGCTCAACTCATCTATTAAAAAATCTTCTGAAAAATCCAACGAAATAAAAAATTCCTAGAAACCCAACACAAAAAATGTTCCCAATAACCAAAATTAGGAAGAAATGTAATATAATAGTTTCTAATTCACCAGACAAGAACAGGTTAAATAATTATTTCAAGAAATAAAATAATGATTCCACCAGTTAGAAATAAAGAGTTGAACTCATAAACAAACCTTAATCTTCATTTGATAAAGAGGATTCTCGTTCAATGATAGGCGGCGCCCCGGCTAAAATACCCGGTAAATTCATGTCAAATTATATTAAAAATATAAATGGGGTAACTTGGAAAGAGAAAAGAAGGAAAGATAAATCCTCTGAATCTGAATTCAGCTTGAATTTAAAATTTAATAGAAAAATATCAAACTTTTTGTTAAGAAGTTGATCCAAGTTTGGAATATCTTAAATCCTCTGTCTTCATTTTAGTATTTGATCAGAAAACTGTATTTCTTGGTTAAAATATTTGTATTTGCAAAAATGATAAAATGAAAATACCAAACATATCTTGAATACATTCTTATATTGCACCATGCATATTGAACATAAATTTTAGTACATTTTGAACAATACTGAACAAAATGCCCATCAATTTAAGCACATTTTTAACAATTCTGAACAAATAGCCTATAAGGTTTAGTTCATTTTGAACAATACTAAACAAAATGCCCATAAATTTGATGTGAAATGTGAGTAAATTTGACGAAGAACTTATTTTGTCCATTTTATTATTATTCTGAACTCCCCCCTCCTCCAGTAACAAATTGTTGCTGTAGTTTCCAATTTTATGCATCAAAGAATAAATCTTTTACCAAAATATTCATGGTCAGATTTAATCTCAATGGTTAAATAAAAATAAAATAACCAAATACTAATAAAAATGTCATTAATTTTTATGTGTTTGTTAGAAGATTTGTGAAAGGGCAAATTGTTGAGACAAATAATCTTTATCGATGTCAAGACTAGAGAAAAAGAACAAGTTATGGTCATAAAGTAACAAGTTACGGGATTAGTTTTGAACTAAATCATAAAATTTCATCATGGAATTTTGGCTTTTAAAGAAAATACTGGTAAAGAAGAGTAAACTCACCATTTTTGCGCGCGTCTTCTGTTTTAAGCGCATGTCATGAAGCATCTCATTACGCTGTTCCATGATAAGTGTTCGCTCGTAAGTGTACGCAGATACATCGGAGTCATGCATCTCAACAACTTCAACATCTGCGTCAATCCTGAATACAGAGGGATTGATGACTTGTAGACAAAATCAAAAAGAAAACGAGTCTTTGCCACAAACTCTGATTTTCTAATCTCTATATTTGCAACCTCATGTCGTAGAACTCAAGATATTTTCCTTAATTTCGTTTGTAAACAAATCCCATCCCTAAAGTTAATTCAAACTATAATATCAAATAAATTTGAAATAAAAAATGGTGAAACCATCAGGCTGCAAAAACATAGAAACTACAAAATTTAAGATTGTGGCAAAGACTCCATTACTTTGCTCACATAAAAATCGAAAGATTGGAACATCATTTACTCTTTTAAACTCTTTATTTGCATTGTTGAGCTACTCAATGATTTATATTGTCACAAATAAGGCGCAATCGTTTGTTTTAATGGAAAAAGTTGGAGCATGTTGTGCTCTTATGCGAGAAATGAATTTTACGGTAAAATATACATGTAATTATGGAAAAGTTAGAAACGTTTTGAAAGGCATAAAATAAAAAAAAATAAGTTTAGAGGATGATCAAAGAGAGTATAAACTTAAACATAAAGTTCAACTCACAAAAAAAACCCTGCTAAATTCCAACTAGAAATTGATGTTAGGACTTAGGAGCATCGAATACTGGGAATTTTGAATCATAGCTCATGCTTAAAATGATTTACCTTAGCTGATAAAGGAAAGTCTTCAAATCCTTCTTCATTTGAATAGAGTTATCTTCTACTTGAGCAACTGTAAAGATACGCAGACGACATTTGCGCCAAGTTCTGAAAAATTCTGGTGTATATTGAATCGGACTTGCGGCATTGCACATTGCACAAATTCTAGTGCATTACTTTTTGCAGGTAATGTTACATCGTCTATACGCAACATCCCCCCTACTGAACTTCTGACCTACTAACTTTCCGACCTACTGCAATATCGGACCTACGCCAGCTGTTTATTTTAGTATTATTTGAGGGTTAGGTTAGGTTAAGACAATTTCTGGGCCGAGCGCTGCGGCTAGGACAGGCTAGGGGGCGCCGAGCGCCGCGGCTAGGACAGGCTAGGGGGCCGGGCGCTGCGGCCACAAGTCCATATAGCAGCTGTAATACCACGTGCTAGTAGGTCGGATGTGTAGTATAGCGGATTTGGCGTAGGTCAGAAGTGGAGTATGGCGGATATGTGTAGGTCGAAAAATACACCACCCTTTTTGCAACTTAGTTTGGTAGCGGAAACTGAGAAATTGGCTGGGAAAAAAAGTTTAAGGTGTTTTTGCAAAAAGTTTAAGAAACATTGTAAATCCATTTCAAACTAATTACTAACAATAAACAAACCTAATTCAATTCCCAGCCTTTTACTCAAACAAACTTTTCTTTCAATTTCTATATCTTGTAATTAAATAGGATCTAAATAGAGAAAATACTAGAAAAAATTTGAAAACATACCTAAAAATCATTCAAATTGTTGAATGTTTCTTAAAAATTTCACTTTTTTGATTAAATATCTAAACTAGTGTTATTTAATAAAATAAATCAAAAAATGAAGTTTCCCGTCAAAAATAAAATCTTGCATTAAGAGTAAAGAGGGTTTTCAAACATTTTCAGATATTTGATAAGTTTTGGAAACATTAAAGTAAACCCTTGAACAACACATGACTTTTTCTTTCAATATCTTTATTTGTCTAAGGCTTTAAATAATATAAAGCCGACCAAAAACGAGGATTTTTGATTATACTAGAACTAGGCTTTTGCGCCCATCTTCTATTTAAATTGTGAACATGTTCTTTTTGTTTACATTTAAAAACAAAGAAGACAAAAATTTTGCGGATTTAAAAAAAAAATTCGCGGATTTTCAAGACTTTAATTTTTTTTAACAAAATTAAAAACCTTTAAAACACATTTTTTTGAATTTTAATCATTCATAAACCTTCCCTGTGGTCAGGTGATGTCCCACAAAAAATTTGGGCCCGATCGGTTCAGCCGTTTTGACGTTTATTGGATACAAACAAACAGACAGACAGACAAGCCAAATTTATATATAGATGCTCCGACACTAGGATTAATGCCTCTATTCGGTACCAACTCTAACATCGATTTATTTCGAAAATCCCCATTGGAGAATTTTGTTTTATAACTCATTAGTTCCGTAGAGACCTGAAGTTTCAGAAAATAATATAATAGTTTCCGTGTTGGGTACAACAAAATTCTTGATTTCCTTCAGCCCCACTGTGACAGTGTATAGAGTGGTTTACAGCATGTACAGCATGTAGATGTTTAAATACCTGTGCTGTTTGAGAAGAAAAGGAAGAAGCATAAGAAGACCTCCGTCATGAACAATCCACCAAATATCAATATTACCCTGGAAATATAAATATATATAAACATTTAAAATTCTAAAATGTAAAATTAAGTTAAAGTTTTTATAATAAAAAAGTCAAGCACACCCTGCTGGTAAAACAATTTTAGTTTTCACTCCCGGCTCCCCCCACCCACATGGAGCTGACACATAACCCAGGTTAAAGCCCCCTGGAGCATGACAATCACGTCGGTACCCCCCTCTCCTGGAGAAAAATATTAACTAACCTTGACACTGTCTCCGGTATCAGGGAATCTCTGGATTCCCTTGGGAACCAAGAGTGCCATCTTTCCATTCGCAGCATTTCTAATTATATCATTTTCTTATTATTTAATAAAGCTATAATTTTTTATTTTACAAACATTGTAATGTCCATCTGTTCTGATCATATCTTTGATTCTGCGCCCAATTCTAATTCAGATACCCATTATATTACTGATTCTGACTCTGATCCTAATTCTGATTCTGCTTTCTCTTCTGGTCTTGATTCTGATGATATATTTATAACATTTCTAAATCTGTTCCTTATTTTGTTCCAATTTGTAATCCTATATCTGTTCCTGATCCAGTTTATATTCCTTTAACTATTCCTAATTCTGTTCTTTAAACAGCCCTGCTCCTTAATGTTTCTATTTCTAGCCCTTCTCCTAGCTTTAGTAAACCCAAGGGTGTTTATTTTAATGAAAAATCATCTCCCCCTTTTGAAAATAGTTTTTGTCCCAGTGGTAGGGTAAGGTTTAAATTTTGTAATCGCGGAATTGGGGAAAATAAATTAATTCTAGAGTAAAAAGTACCAAAAAGGAAGAAGACGTTTGATTTCCAATTTTTTTATTCATTTAACCCCACCCCCCCCCGCATGAATTTTAGAAAATATATACCCCTGTGTAAACCTATCTTGAAAATATTTCCCCTCTCTCGAATCAAAATTAAATGTCGATAACAAAACTCCAACAAAATATTTGGCAGAATAATACAAAATAACGTAATTTGACAAATCTTTTTTCTTACAAAACTTTATCATCTCAGATACACTTACTTTGGATGCAAATATTAATAACTACAAATCCGAAGAATAATTCACAGAAAACAAATTATCAAATTTAATTAACCATAGGAAATAAGAAGTACTAGTATTCTAAAAACAAAGCCAGGCCGGGAATAAAGATTTTATTTCTGAATTGAGGTTGAATGACTAAAAACAACATCAATCAACCTGACAAGAAAAGAAAAACTTTTCCTTTTTAAAATCCAGATGCTCTTTCTGGAGATCACGAGATTTCAACTTTAAGGAATTGTTCTCAAATACACAAGTGGTAAGCAAAAACAGTTTTAAACTAGTAGTTAGTGAGTTTGAAAATGTTTTTGATTGTTTTCATTAAAGAAACTGGCATGGAATTTCAAGATATCTTCCATTTAAATCTTTATCTGATCAACAACGTTGAAGATATTGTTGTATTTCTAGGTTGATCAGAAAAAGCTTTTAAAGGTACCGTTGTGAATCGGACATAGCCATGTTAATGAAGGGTTACTTGAAATTACACTTATACAATAAAGCGCTCATGTGACTGAATCTGGTTTGTTTACCTGATAGCGTTGACAAAGACCTGAGTTCCATCATCTTCCTTCTTCCGCCAGGTATTAGGCCAACCCAGGATTACAGTGTTAGGTTTCATACCTCCCAGTCCACTCGTCTGGATCCTAAATTATAATAATGATAATACAAATTTTGAAATTTTACAAAGTTATGATCTAAAGAATAATACTAACGATGACATTTTAACCGTTTGCTTCTGAAAAAAGACTTTTTTCAATCACTGGGGCGCTAGTTGATTCTCTTTATCTAAGTAATTGGTTTACTTTGTTGGCCATTTGTAAATTGACCCTTTGTCGTTTGACCCATAGTCATTCGACCCTGGGTCGGTGAACCGAAAATTAAAGTTTATGGCAAATGCTCCTTTTCATATATTTACATTAAATTAAATCTTTCAATATTATAATTAAGTGCGATGTTGAAGAGAAAAATAAAAACAAAGGAGTTTTAGATAATGGTAAAAAAAATAATAGCAACAATATTTTGAACCAGTTTAAATGTCGATACAAATCAGAAGATTGACATTCGTCAAAAAGAACAGAGAAACTTTGCCATAAACTTTGATTTTATATCTCTTTATCTTTGCAACCCAGTGTCGAAGACCTTAGACTTTTTAAACTATGAAGTTTATAATCTAAGTTTGAAATATCTAAGGTCACATTCAGGCTGCAAAGACATTGGGATTATAGATTTTGGCTTTTCTTTCATTCATTCCTAGTCAAATTATAACTCAAATTTAACATGGGCGTTAATGGCGTAAAAAACCTCTCCCAATGATAATAAGGAGTTGTTTCTACATTTGATTAAACTATGGAGGTCCTGAGACCCAAATACTGCTGAATGGCCTGGAAGCAATAAAAGTAGTTCTTTAACTCCTTCCAACGATTTATCTCAGCCTCATAATGTTTCTTACTCAAACCCTTATATCAAATAGTAATCTAAAATGGCATTTTTAATTGCATCTTTTCATCTTGAACATCTCATCTTCTCTTTTATTTTAAAAAGACGCTTGAAAATATGAATTTAAACAAGAAAGTTTTCAATCATTGAAATAGATTTCTTGCTCCTAATGTTGGAATCCAACAAGAAGTAGTAGAGATAAATATATTGTATCTATTAAATATATACTTTTCTTGTCTGTATGTTGGTTTGTCTGTTTGTATCAACTAAACGTCAAAATAGCTAAAAAAGGCCCATTTTTTGTGGCAACTCACATTTTTGACCAAAAAAAACAACTGATATAGATAGTTTTTAAAATTCAAAAATTTAAACAGAAAAATAAAAAAAAATTGCAACTTGAAGAACATCTATCTATTTACTTTGCTTGTCTGTCCAATAAACGTCATAACGGCTAAACCGATCGGGCCCAAATTTTTGGTGGGACCTCGCTTGAGCCCAGGGAAGGTTCATGAATGATCGAGTTTTCAAAAATTTGTCTCGCATCGAAATTCTATTTTTGAAAATTTTGAAAATCCTCGAAATCTTTTAAATATTATTCGCGAAATTTTTTTGTTTTTTGTTTACAATGTGTTCAAAGAAAACATGTTAACAATAAAATTCTAACAGCCTAGTAGTATATATTTATTCTTCTATCTAGGTAACATAAAAGAAACAAAAAGGAATGTTTAGGAAAATATATGAATAAAATAAATTATAAGAATTCACATACTTTAAGTTGTTTAAGAATTATAACTAACCAAGGGCCAAATTTAATTAAAAGGAAAAGTAGTTGAACTTGATCCACTTCTCTTCTGTGCCGGATTTAGTTGAAGAGAAGTGGTTAAATATACTATGCTGTTTCTGTAACAGAATTGTACTTACATGTGGCAAATGCCATCAGTGATAGATTCGTTCACAACAACCTCAGGGAACCCTTTCACCTGCTCAGTCTCAATTACCTGGTGTACAATACTTATATTATAATTAGTTATATAATGAGTATAGTGATGTGCATTAAGTTCCTTCGTTTTTTGGTAGTTTTTTACCTTTATTTTCTTTCAGAGAAAAAAATTTGGCATAGTGTAAGAAGAGCAAATACATTTGATTTGTTTATTTTAATTCCAAATTTTGACCCTGGTAAAATATAAGCAAAAATTTTTCCCTAAATGAACGTTTTATAACAAGAACCTTTTGTATCGGTGTACAGTTTTGAAATCTAAGAAGTTTTAAAAAGTTTAAAAAAGACCAAGAACGATTATGAACACTAAATGGGTGCGTCAGTACTTCATTTAGAGGAATTCTAAATTCAAGAGAAACACGACCCAATACATTATCATGATTCGTCGTAAACTTCCTTTAAAATTCAAGATTAATCCCTTTAACTGTATGTGGATAGGTCAAATATTTGAACAGAACAAGAGAAACCAATTATTGATAATAAAGGGTTTCTTTAAAATATCTAGGTGAGACATAAACATTATAAGAACGAGACATTCAAAGAACAAGAAGAAGGTGAACAGGAAGTAAAAATTCACATGAAGAAAAGTGAACAGGAAGTAAGATCGGCATAAATAAAAGGGAACAGGAAGTAAGATCGGCATAAAGAAAAGTGAACGAGAAGTAAGATCGGCATTAATAAAAGTGAACAGGAAGTAAGAAAAGAAAAGTGAACAGGAAGTAAGATCGGCATAAATAAAAGTGAACAGGAAGTAAGATCGGCATAAAGAAAAGTGAACAGGAAGATGAATAAAATGAATAAAATGAATGAAATAAATGAAATGAATGAAATGAATAAAATGAATGAAATGAATAAGATGAATAAAATGAATAAAATGAAAAAAATGAATAAAATGAATTAAATGAATAAAATGATGTATGCTGGAAAGCCCAGAACGAATGCACTCCAGATGTAAACAAGAACATTATTTACCATTAGATAAACAGTTCAAGGTTAAAGAAAAATAAACACGGGGGGGGGGGTGAAAAAAAGGGGACCCAGGGGGGAAAAAGAAGAAGTAAATCCATAGCTGAGGGAAAAAGGAGAACAACAGGGAAAATATGTAGACCTGGGGAAAAAAGTTGACATATAAAATAAATAAACATAAGGGAAAACCGATCATGGGATAAACAAGTAGACCTAGTGAACAAATACGTTTACCTGCTTCAAGCTTTGCCTGGCAGCCTGGGACTCCCCATACATTTTACCTAAATCAAATTATGCTTTTAATGTTGTTCTGGTTCTGTCCTATCCTGTCCAATTTTGTCATGTCATGTCCTAATTTGTTTTGTGTTGTCGCGTCGTGTCCTGTTCATAAGTCCATCGCTGTCTACTAAGCCATATACTTAAAAATATATTACTGCAGCATGACATTATCATCAATGATATTTCTGCTAAGAACAACGTACTAAAAGATGAATTGCAGAAAAGTCCCGTTTGAATAGTAACATGTATAATGCACACTGTTCAGTGAATAATATTTAAGAATTCGCCTTGTACAAATGTACAACATATGATATTTGCTGAATTCTCCATGTACTCTGTACAATAAATAATATTTAATGAATTCTCCTTGTACTATTCTGTAGGACAAATAATATTTACCGAATTCTCCTTGTACAACTGTACAGTTAATAATATTTACAGAATTATTCTTGTAAAACTGTACAATGGTACAAAAAATAATATTTATCGAGTTCTCCTTGTATAACTGTACAACAAATAATATCTACCGAATTCTCCTTGTACAACTGTACAGTAAATAATATTTACCGAATTCTCCTTGTACAACTGTACAGTAAATAATATTTACCAAATTCTTCTTGTACAACTGTACAGTAAATAATATTAATCGAATTCTCCTTGTACAACTGTACAACAAATAATACAACGGTACAGAAAATAATATTTATCGAATTCTCCTTGTAAAACTGTGCAACCAAGAATATTTACCGAATTCTCATACAGTGAAACCCTTAATAACGAATACATCGGAAGAATTTATCAAATGTCGTCTTGACAATTTTTCAATGAGTTTTATACTATATTACGTAAATTTCAGTATTTGCGAAAATAAATAAATAACCATGAATATGCGGGAACAGTTTTAAAGAGTTCCATATAATCATTTAATTAAAAAAACTAAATATCTGCAGCATTCCATTATCAGAAAGTGAAGAATACGACATTTCATGAATTTTTTCGATGTATTCGTTATTAAGGGTTTCACTGTAGTACAACTGTACAGTAAATAATATTTACCGAATTCTCCTTGATTAACTGTACAGTAAATAATATTTACCGAATTCTCCTTGTATAACTGTACAGTAAATAATATTTACCGAATTCTCCTTGTACAACTGTACAGTAGATAATATTTACCGAATTCTCCTTTTACAACTGTACAGTAAATAATATTTACCGAATTTTCCTTGTACAACTGTACAGTAAATAATATTTACCGAATTCTCCTTGTGCAACTGTACAGTAAATAATATTTACCGAATTCTCCTTGTACAACTGTACAACCAATGGTCAGTCCCTTCCCGGCCTTGAGTTGAGAGGCGAGCGTGAACAGACGTTTATGCTTTACGTTCAATTTTTCATCCATCTTGCACATAATCAGGATCTGAGGTCGCCAGTTCTTGGTATGAGGAGGTCCATCCTCAAGCCTGTACAATTTAGAGCATGCTGAACATTTTTTAAAATTCAAAATGATTCTCCGACATTTATAGTTTTCCATCCATCTACTTTGAGAACCAAAAACTCTGGAATAGGAAGACGATTTTTAGACCCAAGTTATAATTATAAATATCCAAATGTACATGAGACACAATGATTGTGCAGTGTGAACAGACCATTTCACTTTTTAATTGATTTTTAAGATAGAAGTAAAAGTATTTGCATTAAATACATGTTCAGTGTTTCAGTGTCGTCTTCGACTATGCCAAAGTTTTCTGGTTCTCACTGTACTATTTGAAAAATATATAATTTTGTAAAGAATGATGGAATTGGGTCAAAAAGAATTAAAAGAAATTGTAAATTGAATCAATCAATTAGTTCTCTGAATTTAAACCGAAGATTAAAAATGTAAGATGAGTAAAAGTTAAACCTGAGAAGAGAGAAACGAGCTGCGGAGAGAGCTAAACCTCGGATACCGTCTCCCCACTCCTTCTCAGCTCTAAATACAAATTTATATTCAACATGCCTTCTCCTTCTCATCCTTCTCATTCTTATCTTAATCTTATCCTTCTTCCTTCTCATTCTTATCCTTCTTAATTCCTAGGATAATTTTCTATTTCGGACATGAATAGATCGCTTAAAAATACGTCCTGTCTCCTTAATTTGTCCCCCTATTCATTAATAAAAATACTTTATTCCAAGTCTTAATGAATCAAGTTTTTGCCACAAACTCTATTTTTCTTATCTCTTTATCTTTGCAACCCGACGTTGTAAACCTTTGATATTTAAAACTTAAAATATTTTATCTGTCAGAATTTTATTAATTAAAAAAATCCGGTTGCAGAGATAAAGGGATTAAAAAATCAGAGTTTGAGGCAAAAACTCAATTCCTTTCCTGTCGTCTTTTCATAAACCTTCTTCTGCAATTCTATTTCAGTTTCCTTTTGTCTGATGTATAACAAGTCAATGTTTGACGAGCATTTGCGGTAAAAACTTGTTTTCGTTTCAATCTAGATTCTCCAATCCAAATAAAATTTTGTTTTCACATTTTCTTCTCGAGCAAACAATTCTAACAGAAATAGGTCACATCAAAACTTATATTTGAAACTTGAATGAGAAAATAGGTATTTAATCTAAACCTCATGAAGTTGGTTGATGTTTAGACCGGGTTAAATGGATTGTCAAGTGTCGACGGGACCCTAAACTTTTAGAGTTATACGACAACCTTTATCTGAATAACAATACAAAAGATATCATCGTTTTTCTCCCTCTGGAAAAGTGTTGAATTCTGACAATATATTTCATCTCTCCTGTTGCATAAATCCGCAAGGGAATTTAATAGAGAACCGCAAATGAAAGTAATTAATCTTAAGATACAGGGTGCCCCAATAAACATGGAAATTAAATGACGACTTATATATTGTCTTTTCTCCATGCAGGATTATTTTGTAAAAATAATTTAGTAGTATCACAGTTAAAACATTTATCAATAAAAAATACTAATCTCGGGATTTCCTAAATGTTGTCTACCATTTTTTACCTTCAAAATTAATAAGATATTAAAACTGTCCTAATGTTTAATATTTAAAAAAAAAGTAGAACTCATTTTCAAATTTTTTTATGCACTTTAGGACATTTATTAATTCTCAGAAATCAAAGACGATATTCAAGTCGTCTCTCAATTCCCATCTTTATTGGGACACCCTGTAGAAAAAAGGGATAACTCTTTATCATTTTGCTTAAAGGATAACTTAGAGGGTACCGTTGTAAATCAGAAATGCCTCTTATTAAATTAAAGGTCATTAAAAATTACGTCGTTATCCCTTTAAACATCTCCTTAACCTAAACCATTGTCTTTGTAAATACTGAAAGAGAAAAGTTGGAATAAAATAAATAGCAAAGTTTATGAGAAAACTGTATTTTATACTGCTTGTAAAGAATCTAAACGAAACGTTCAAGTTCCTTTTGTTTCAATAAATGTTCAAGAATTCTTCTTTATAGAAATAAATAAAAATAAAAGTGTAAATTTAACTTTACAGATTATAAACTTTGTAAAACTATATAATAAAGCTCTTTGTTTATAAGATAAGAGACAAGATCTGAAAGAAGCCCCAGCTTATATATGTATGTTTGCTATGGCTGGACAAACGGCTGGACAGAATGGGCTGACAATTCTTGAGGGAACCCTTGAGCACCCGGGGGGTAACAAAGGCTACTTCATCTAGTAACCCATAAAAGGAAGAGAATTTTTTTGTATTTAAGAAAAAGAATTTCAACCGCAACGATCATATTAACAGAAAAACTTGTCTTAGGAAATAAAAATATTTAAATATTTAAATTAGAAAAATATATAAATGTATATACATATATGCCCCTGGATCATTATACAGGGGGTAATTAGTAAAGCAGATGAGAGAAAGGGCTCGTTAGTTTTAATTAGTCTATTTATGTCTACACTTCGTTGTAATAGCTTTAGATATTCTGCATTCTGTATCTATATATAAATTTGGCTTGTCTGTTTGGGTGTCTGTTTGTTTGTATCCAATAAACGTCAAAACGGCTGAACCGATCGGGCCCAAATTTTTTGTGGGTCATCTAGGGACCCCAGGGAAGGTTTATGAATGATTGAAATTTTTGAAAATCCACGAAATTTTTTGTGAAAATCCGCTAATTATTTTTGTTTTGTTTTACGATGTACACAAAGAGAACATGTTCACAATTAATTTAGAAGATGGCTCTAAGGCTAGAAAGAAGGGCCCGAAGCGCCTTGAATTTCTAGTCTATATATACTTTGCTTGTCTGTCCGTCTGTTTGTATCCAATAAACAACGGCTGAACCGATCGGGCCCAAATTTGGTGCGGGACCTCACGTGACCCCCAAGGAAGGTTTATGAATGATCAAAATTTCAAAACTTGGTGTTGAAAAGTTTTTTATTTTTGTAAAATTTTAAAAATGCGCGAAAAAATAATATGAAATCCGCAAACTTTTTTTGTTTTTGTTTTATACTGGACAGTGCACAAAGAGAAGATGTTCACAGATAAAGTTATAAATAAAAGTTGAAATATAGGATTGCCGCGAAGCGCCCTAATATATATATATATATATATATATTTTTAACAAGAAATATTTAATTTTATTTTTTACTTCCATTTTTCTCAACCTAAAATGTTTGTATTCCACCTTTAAAAATCAATGTACCCCTCTTAAAGATGGTTTTGTAAAACCAATGTGCCCCTCTCCAGTATTCTATACTCAAATGTTCACCCCCTCTGAAACCAATGTGATTTTCTCTAGTATTTTATATTCACATATTTACCCCCCTAAAACCAAAGATGCTCCTCTTTCGCATTTTATATACACAAATTCACCCCCTCTAAAACTAATGTGATTATCTAAAGTATTATATTTACTCCCTTTAACATCATTGTGCTCTTCTCTCGCATTTTATATTCACATATTCACCCCCTCTAAAACCAATGTGCTCCTCTCTAGTATCTTATATTCACATATTCACCCCCTCTAAAACCAATGTGCTCCTCTCCCTTTAACATCATTGTGCTCTTCTCTCGCATTTTATATTCACATATTCACCCCCTCTAAAACCAATGTGCTCCTCTCTAGTATCTTATATTCACATATTCACCCCCTCTAAAACCAATGTGCTCCTCTCTAGTATCTTATATTTACATATTCTCCACCTCTAATACCAATGTGCCCCTCCCTCATGTAATCACTTGATTTGAGTCCATTGTTCACTGTTCAGTTTTCTCCTGAATTTGCAACGTTTTACCCAACTCAGCAGTCCCCGGTCCCACACAGGAATACAAGGAAATATAAAACCATGATATTTTTTTTCCTAAAAAGAGTAGCATGTAGTCGTTGATCAAACCATAGCTGCAAAATACAGCCGATCTTAGAACTTAGGTTGACATAAAGTATTATTTCTATTTCGAAATTGCTCTTTCAAAATAATCGACCACTTTCCGTGAACATATATATTTTCAGATTTTTTGCTTTAAACCATTATATCTGTTTATCCCTCCCCTTGCTATCCGTAAATATGATAAGTCAATCTCCATTTAAGATCTAATATGAAGCATCAGATAGAAATGAGATATAACTATTTCCTTTCCAATCCATTCAATGGAAAATATATTTTCCTTACAAATACCAATATTTTAGGTATACATAATCTTATACATACATATAATGTTATAATATAAAATAACTAGGCTTTTAGGGCGCTTCTCGCCCATCTTCTATTTAAATTGTGAACATATTCTTTTTGTTTACATTTTAAAACAAGGAAGAAATTTTTTTGCGGATTTAAAAAAAATCGCGGATTTTCAAGAATTTAATGTTTTTTACAAAATTATAAACCTTTAAAACACATTTTTTAAAATTTTTATCATTAATAAACCTTCCCTGTGGTCACGTGATGTCCCACAAAAACTTTGGGCCCGATCGGTTCAGCCGTTTTGACGTTTGTTGGATACAAACAAACAAACACCCAAAGATAAGATAATTCTGTAGTTGTTTAATATTTGATTTGATATACGTTACAAAAACCCCAGTAAATCGAAAGTTGATAAATCATACTTGTAAATTATTCACTCTAAAGTGTACATTGTACATTTTACCATTACGTGTTCTTTGTATTTCTATGGTGTAAATGTACAGTACTGTGTACCAGTAATTATTTGCTATATATAAACCCCCTCAGGGATGCTACCTTAACTTTTTAAACAAAGTTTTTCCATTAAGTTTGCCTAGAAATAGCAGGAGCCTGTTTCTAGCAACACAAAGTAAATTCATTAAATCAGACCAAGAAATATTCTATATCTGATATTTTACAGTACACTCATCTATTTATCTTTTATCCTAATCTAATTAATGTCCTTATCTATCTCTTATTTTGATTCTACTTGAAAATAAATAACTAAATCTACGTTTAATTAAAAATTCCATTAAATGGTTTCTATTACGTCAAGTTCTATAAAAATATTTTTCTCTTCTCCCTCTCTACGCCTACGATTATATTTTCCACCCCCCCCCTTCATGCTCCTTCATCCTCCTTTACCCACTCCTTCACCACCACCATCACCCCTACTCTTCTTCTTTAACGTTCTCTAATACTTTAAGCCTTTCTTACTCAACCTTTACCCCTTGTTTCTGCCTTCCACCTTATTCTCACCCCTACCACCTTATTCTATCCCCTACCACCTCATTTTCCCCCCTACCACCTCATACTCTCACCTACCACCTCATACTCTCACCTACCACCTCATGCTATCACCTACCGCCTCATTGTATACAATACCACTTCATTTTTATTCCCAACCACCTCATTCTCTCCCCTAACACCTCATTCTATCCCCTACCACCTCATTCTATCCCTTTCACCTCATTCTTTCCACTACCACCTCATTCTATCCCCTACCACCTTATTTTATCCCCTCCACCTCATTTTAAACTGCCCCTGTGGCCTGTGCTTGACCCTCCCCATTCTCATTTTTTGCTCCTTCTCACCCTTTATCCTTCCCCCTTCCCCTTCCGTGTACGAAGTGAACACATATATCCTTCCAAGCCAAGAAAAGAGGAGGAAATAATGTTCCTTGGATGTTTCCGGAATAATAAACGTCTCAAATCTTTCCCCAAACACAAACCAGGACAAAATCCGACTTTTTCTAATCACTAACAACATACAAAAATACCTCCTTACAGCGTACTGCACTGGAATAAGCATACGTATATATGCTCAATTAACATACTTGTCATTGACTTTGCTATTTGTAGGAATCCATTCCTTTTTATAATAAATAATAAATGTTTCTTTAAATTTGACTTATTTCGTATTCTAAAGTGCAAATTTAAATATTATCTTCCCTTTTCGTTTTTGTCCTGTAAATCTTAAACGCTCAAGCATAAAAATGGATTTATTTTTATTTATTAATTATATTTTTATTCCTGAAAATAGTAGATAAAAAATTACGTACCCCCTGTACTCGATGTACTTGTAGACGACTCCGGCGATGAACATGGCGATGAGGGCAAAGTACCAGCTTGACATAAACATGACAGCTAAACATAGTCCGACTCCGACTAGAGACAGAGACCTGAAAATAGAAAAAAAATGATTTAAGAAGCTTAAACTATCCAATGAAAAATATATCTTTAGTCTTGTTAAGGAAGGGAAACTTCAACTAATGAATGAATATATAAAAAAATAGCATACAAGGAACAATAATGATTAGAATATATTCCAGGTTTTTATCCGTTAAAATCTTCATGAATAAAAAAAATTGAACGGATCATTAATACTTTTTTATCAAAGATTGTATAAAAAAATATATCAATAACTAAATTAAAATATGTCTTGAATGTCCGATTCACAACGGTGACCTTGAAACCTTCTCAATAATGTGGGAGATAATGTCAGACAAAGCTTTTCAAATTAAGGGTCATTTAACATAAGCTTCCCTAATTTAGTTTTATTTTAAAATTTGTTTTTTTCCCAAATAATTAAGAAAAAATCGGATCGAACTGAAAAAAAATATGTTTCGTGCATTTCCCCTTTACCTTAACCTGGATTCGTACACAGTCTCTTAAGATTCCATAAAATGGTTGATTTTAAGGCAGAACCTCATATTTGCATAAAATAAAGCAAGAGAGGATTATATTCTCACAAACTTGGAATACTAACCAGGAATAATTTCAGGGACACACAATATGGGAGGGGGTTATTCCATCAAAACTTATTTAAAATCAGTAAAAAACATAATTTTGGTTCAAATGAGCTAAGGTTTTATTTAAAGAAAATGAAATAACATTTCCCCCCCCCCCCGGGCCCCTCGAAAAAAAGCCCCTGCCTTGTATTCCCCCGCAACATTTCTCAACTGTTGCAACAACTTTCAGGATAATTTATCTTTGTCAAGGTTTTTTGTGCACAGTATAAAACCTAAATGTAAACTTGGGAAATGGCAGAGATCAGGTAGAAAGGACCCTCCCCCCCCCTGTCTCTTGTTGTAAATGTTTAAAATTTAACTCCGGCGGCAACCCTTTTAAATAATGGGAAATATGAAGACGACTTCAGACTCAAGAAATGATATTAAAAAGTTCAATGAAACACAAAAGTTGTGCATTGTTCATAAACCCATTACACTTAATAAGTTGAATTTAAAGATTCTGGTAAAACTCTTTGTTTAATTACAACATCAAATACACATAAGAATGTTCAAATGTCGTCGTCCTATTTCACAGTTTTATGGGCCTCTCTCTATAACCACACAATCCCCCGAAATATGTAAGAAAAAAAAAATCGTTTAAGTAAATATTTTATTATTTGATGAAGTAAGAATAGAAGATATTTAAATTTACATTTTATTGTTTATATATCGTATGAAAAATTATTCAGGGCTATAAATATTCAAGTATTACCAGGCCGTGGTTTTTCGTTGCTGGGGTGCAGGGGATTTTTAAGATCTCAAGTAAATTTGTTCACCGATTTTGAATACTTTTTACCCCCCCCCACACCAAAATATTTTTCTCCAATTTTTATTTATCGCTTCATCTTTTCTATTGCGGAAACTAAATAATATTTTGGGCGAACGAACGAATTAAATTAGAATTCGTTAAATTTTATGAGAAGAACGTTTTCTACCAAGTTAATAGCCCTGCCCTAATATAGTCGTATTAAAGGGACTGTAAACGTAATTTAGAGTCAACATTCATGCAAAGATTTCCATGCCATTTTCACATGTGTACTCTTAAAGTTTTGTCTGAAGTATGGATTAGATATTAATGTTTATAATTTAGATAAAGGTTTCAAGGGTACCGTTGTGAATTGGGAATTGCCATCCTTGTATAGAGAGGGTCACTTGAAATTACGCGCACAGTCCCTTTAATTTTCTAGGAAAACTATGTCGCACTTGATGAATAAATTTTTGGAAATCCTTCTCTTTTATAAAATTATATCCAGCGGATAAATTTGCATAGATATTGTGTTATTATGAAATGCAGTTTTCTCCTTTAACCATTGTAGAATGTAGAATTGAAAATTCTGAAGCCTTCAATTCCTCGTTATTTCTTTACATGGAAAAGTTATAATTTTAGATATTTAGTAAAATTCATGTGACTCGATGCCTAAATTATTCACAATATCTTGATTTTGCTTTAAAAATGCAACCCTCTAGGCTCCACCCAACAAAGACAAGCTAGAAAAAGGTTGAAATTGCTTTCTTACGTCTTTAAAAAGGATATTGTTTTATTATAGGCTCATTCTGTAAACCCTTATCAAATATAAATATTCAAAATATTCCGAAAATTACGGCAAAATTTGCGAACAATTATTTCGCAAATGGTCAAATAAAATAAATAATAAGTCAAAATTATATCAAAAAATGGGCAAATCGATAAAAAGAAGCTAAGTTTAACATCGCTTAAGAATATATTTATATTAATCATAATGTTGCTGAAAGAGCAAAAGCTGTTTGAAATTTAAAAATAAATCTACAAATTTCTCCTGAGAAATTGTGAAGTTTGAAGTGTTTTTAAGAAGAACTTTGTATTTTCATAAATTGGAAAAATTGAAAAAGAAATTGTTTTGAAAGAGCTCTTGGTAGTTTCTTTTTTCCTAATTTTCCTGAGAAAAATATTCAATTAAATCCCAAAAATTCAATTTCCTCTGGGTTTCACAACTCCGGATTAAAAGAAATTAAAATAACATAATTTCTCTCCCCGGCACATACCAAAAAATTATAGTGAGAAAAATCTCAACTTTTAAAACATTAAATATTATGANTGATTTACCATTTCAAATGATATCAAATTAGGGGAGAAAAAATTAATATCTTTTTATATACTTTACATCTCGGTCTGTTTGTTTGTATACAATAAAATTTCAGGCAATTCACAATTCACAGAGAGGGTTTAAGGCTGGTCGGAATTAAAATTTTTAAATTCATCAATGAAAACCGAAAATTCGGGGAAATTTTGAGATTAAATTAAGGCAGCTTGAAAAGCAATTTTAAACACTAAAATTGTGTTGAAAGCCTAGTATTTATATACCCCTGAAATGATGACTTACCAATGGTAGTATTTGAACCTCGGTCTCCAGTTCGGTGTCCTGAGGAGGGTCTGCAGGGCGCAGGCCAGGTTCACGAACATGTAGCACATCAAGAAGAACATACTAGACAACAACATTTTTTATCTCCAATATTATCTGCTTCATTATTTATTGATATTTTACGAAAGTTAGTTTTTGTTGTCCAGGACAACAAAAAGAAACGCCCCTCCCCCTCCGTCCCATGGTCTCACCCTTAAACTTTTATAACAGGGTAAACTTTCATTTTCCTACATTGATAAGTGTAAAATCTACCAGTTTTCTTAATTGTTTCTTTTGCAAAGTTTTCAGTTACATTAAAAAACAATTCGCAGATGAAATAATCAAATATAAGAAATGGGATTTCCTATCAAGGACTCTTGAGTCAAAGTCAACGTGTTGTCATGAGTTTGAAATTATGCAGCAAAGACAATGATGGATATTAACAGAAATTATTCTTTTCTTTAAAGATAAGAACCCCAATATCTTTATTATTGTTACTTAGACATCGTTATAAAAGTCACCGACTGATGCGAATCATATCCTATCCTGTATATTGATTAATCATAAACAGTATTTTCACATTATATTCTTTTTATTGCCTACATGATGATTCTTCTTATCACAATAGTTTCATAAAAACATTTATCTAATAACGTTTTAATTTTTCCTTACTTACCGATATCATTAAATATCTATTGATATGCTTAACTACCAATTCCTAAATATCGAATTATATTTTTTTATATTTTTATTATTATTATCAGCAGACAATCCATCATTCTATGAAATAAAAGTGGACACTCCAGAGATGGTCAACTAAAATCCCATAATAACACTTGAATAAGTCCCAACAGGCTGTTGTTGTAAACATAAGAAAGTTCACTGTGTACTTTTTCTGAGTACACGATTGCTGCCCAATATAAAAATATAAAAAGGATCATCTTTTTTATATGTTTATTCATATTCATATATAAAACCAAGGATACAGAACATTAAACATGATCATTACCCTTTAATGGAAACTGTTCATTAATAAGCTTAAATCGCCAGTTATTGCAATACACAATATTAGATAGATTTAGGAATGAATTGTTAGATAAGGGGATAAATGGAAAGACAGACCTAAAGTGACCCTTTTTTGGTATCCATTACACCCAGGGAAGGTTTGTGAATGGTCAAAATAAAATTTGCCCGCCGAAAACAGTTTTTTTAAAGGAAAATTTGAGGGACAGATGCTTTAGAGTGCATTTAGTCACTTTGTTGTTAGTTTACTCTGTGAATCTGTATAATCTGTGGTTTACGAACACCAAATCATGAATGGTGGTATTCCTCCACTCCCCCCCGACCCTGGTTAGGTATCGAACTTCAAGTTTGCTGAATAAAATAAACCCACCTTAGAAGTGGTGCAATAGCGTCGACATTTCCAATGAGTACAGCAATCTGGCAGATACAGATGGTCAACATGAGAGCTCTGACCGGCTCATTCCTTGAGCTGACCACTGCTACAGGCTCAAGGAACGGGATAATACCATCCTTAACAAATACTCGGTCATAAAATAATCTATTTGTAAAGATTTCAAAAATAATAGAATTCTTAAAAAAAAACTTAAGTTTGTCATCACTGTACTGGTTTATTAAAAATTATATTTACATCATTTTAGACTCAAAAATCAAACACACAAAAATTTAAGTAAAAAAGTTGATGTATTTAATAAACGAAAAGTTATTAAATGTAATCCCCAATATCTGTGTTTACATATTGAAAGTGTGCTGTGAGGAATGTAAACAAAGCTCAGTCTAGGTTTGTTCATACTAATAATACAAATTGCAGTACACTTATTTGTAAACAAAAATATAAGGTTCCAAGTGTACTTTCAAGTTTTCATGGGGGTTGAAGAAATTGACTTTGAAGTTGTATTTCAATCTTGAAGTTTTAAATTTTTATGAAAAGTTGTAATTAAAACATTTCAAAATGAAAAGAGAAATAAAAAGATAGTAAATTTCCGTGTGACATGTTGAATTGGTGTTAACTCTTGTATTGTAAATATTGAGATCAATGCTTGAGCTTTTGTTAACAGTTAATCTACAGATTTATTTATGATTATTGCGTAATTCGATATTCCGTGAAGTGACAATCAGATATCTTATGAACAGCCAATCAGAAGCCAGACAATTGATCTCCATCTTATGAAGATCTACGGATTAATTTATTTCCTATTAATATCACGTGTTAGTCATATCCTGCAGAGATAACTTTAATAAGGTAATTAAGCATTACGTTTTAAAACTGTCCAAATTGGAAAGCGAGATCATTTCCTCTTCAGTCAAAACACAAGGAGGACATATACCTTAGCAATACTCTGTAGAAGTCTAGGAGCCCCTGTAAGGGACTGTAGTCCGGCTCCAATAGTAGATAGCAGAGATCCAATCTCGATAACTTTAGGATGAGGCCAAGCAACATTTCCGATAACCAAGCTTCCACCGATACTCTGACCAAACCTAGAAATCACATTTTTTACTTTTTTTTTAACATTATCAAAACCAGGTTTAAAGGATAATAAACCTGCCTTTACAATCCCTTAAAGTATTACATTAAAACGATTATCGGACTTTTGTGAGTTTTAAAGAAAATGAATTCTGAACAGAAGATACAATGGCTTCTAAACAGAAAACTAAAATGGCTACTGAACAGAAAACTAAAATGGCTGCTATTAAGAGAAAACTAAAATATGAGTAATGAACAGAAAATAAAATTTGGTTTGGAAAAGAAAAAAAGGTTACTGAACAGAAAACTAAAATGGCTACTGAAAAGAAAACTAAAATAGCTACTGAACAGAAAACTAAAATGGCTACTGAAAAGAAAACTAAAATAGCTACTGAACAGAAAACTAAAATGGCTACTGAACTGTTTCATGAACTGTTTCAGAGTATTGAATGATTCTAATCATGGTTTTTATACTCTTTTCTCTCTCTTATTCCAACTTAACAATAATCCGCTAATTCCTTCCAAAATGTCGTCTTTACTCCTTATTAACATTTTTATCCACTATATTACTTATTCTCCATAGTTATATATACACGTATCTTATTGTAGCTGTATCCTTGTTCTAAACTTCTATATTTTACTTTTTCTCTTTCCAATACATTGGTCCCCATAAAACATCTATTCAGTACGCGATCTTTCCAATTACTCCAACTCCCAATTTTATCATCCTAACATTCTTTGAATCCCAATCCCAACTTTCTCTTTAGTTCATACTCATTCCAATTCCCAGCTATTTTATCTACTCCCAACTTGGTCCGCATCTAACCTATTCCAACTTCCTAATCCTCATCCCAATCCCAATTCTTCCAATCCCATCATTGGTTGACATTCTTTTGGGATTATTATCGTTTGGAATTCTTATAGTTTGGGATTCCACAGTATAAAATCAGAAAGAAATATTTTATATTATTGCCGACTTTTGTACATGACAAATGACAATTAGCAAACAAAAAATTATGATTTAATGATGTTTTTTTTTGTTTCATAAACTTTTTTTCAGAACACTTTTGTATGCATCAGTTATATCTAGTGCCTGGGGATTCTATCTGCTCCCTGTCCACGTGGTTTTATATGGTTGGCTTGGTTGAGGGGTGGTTATATCCCAAAACAAGAATTATCAATTTAACGGTGCATCAATTTATCAATTTATCATTCAATTTAAATCTATGGATAATTATTTTGTGGATTGTTATTTACTATTTTTAGCCTGAAATCAAACCAGGATGTTTAGACCAAGTTAGACCAGAGTAAAAGGAACAACATAAATATATTAAACTAAGAATCGAACCCAGCCTCTCGCAGGATTCTTTTTTAGCAAGTATGTTTCTACCCATGATCGTGATTATGAACAATATATGTCTTAATCTATCAAGTTTTCGAGATAGAGAGAAGAAAGAAAATTTATGAAAGAGCGAAGATGAGTGGATAAACAGAAAAGATCATAATTCTAGCTACCACCCACCACCGATTAAATATCAAACTTTTCCGAAAAAACAGAAAACTTCTACGGAACAGAAAACTAAAACGAAAAAAAAACTAAAATTGATACCGAAGAGAAAATAAAATGGCTACTAAAAAGAAAACTTAAATGGCTACTAAACAGAAAACTTAAACGGCGAATGAACAGAAAATAAAATGGTTACTGCACAGAAACCAAAATGGCAACTGAACAGAAAACTAAAATGGCCACTGAACAGAGAACTTATATGACTACTAAACAGAAAATTAAAATGGCCAATGAACAGAAAACTTAAATGGCCACTGAGAACAAAAAGCTTAAATGACTCCTGAACAGAAAACTTAAATGGCCACTGAACAGAAAACTTAAATGGCCACTGAACAGAAAACTTAAATGGCCACTGAACAGAAAACTTAAATTACTACTGAACAGAAAACTCTTTAAGAACAGAAAACTAAATTTGCAGATAGAAGAAAACTTTGTTCAACTCATCCCATGTAAACCTTTTATTTTCCCAGATAGATTGCTGATAACAGTTTGAGGATTACACCTTTAATCCCCCCCCCTCCGGCTTATATTGATATCCAAACCCTACCATTCATCCTAGTTTCTGCAACAAATTAAACCGAGGAAAAAGAAAAAGCAGAGCATCATACAATTCTTCTTACATATTAATCATATTAATAAGAATATAAATACAATAATCAGTGTTTATTTGGAACTTTAAGAGAGTTGCATATATTGTTTAAAAAATATCCTTTGAGATCTGAATATGTTTTCTTTGATTTTATCTGATTTCAAAATTAAACGGTTTGGTCATATATATATAACAAAACACTGAGATCTCGACTTCTCATGCAGTATTATTGTTGTTACATTTCAACCTCGTAACTCCGCTAGTTTCCATTTTCCATTTTACAAGACTGAGGAAATCAAACTTACTTACTCGCAGGTAAATATTTACAAACTTTGTCCTAAATCAATGATCAATACCTCTTAAACTTAAAACTAAATTAAAATCTACTTGCGCTAATAATCCCAACTTACTTGTCTCTAAGAAGAAGAGGATCTACGGTTGCACCGAAGAAGAGGATGGAGGACAAGTAGGTGATGGAGGTCGTGAGGCAGGCGCACAGGGTTCCAACAGGTATACTAGCTTGCGGGTCAGCCAGGTCACCAGAACGGTTAGATCCAGCCATTATACCTAGATACATTTATATATTAAAGAGACTGTAAACGTAATTTCTAAGTTTCCTTCTATTTAAAGAGGGGTGTGTCTGATTCACAATAGTAATCTTTGATCCTTTAGCAGATCCAAGATGTTGAAGATATTGTCGTTTTTTATAGATTTCTAGATAAAAAAAGTGTTAAATCATGATAATTTTCTCTATTGTTTCTGCAGCAGCACAAAATCCACAAGTCACTGCTGAAGAAACCCCAGAGAGAAAATATGGAGATGACATTCATTCTTGATCGAACAAATATCTAAAGGATCATGTTTAGAATCAGACGTGTCTGGATTGTTTTCATTTAAAGTTTTATCGTCTTATTCTTATTCCTTCTTATATATTATAAATGAACTTAGATTTCAAACTCTAAATTTGATTTATTGAATTCAATATATTGAACATATCGGATTATGATCAGCCTCGGGGTTATTCTAATCTTGTAAAAAGAAATCCAGTTACAACATTTTTTCCAGTCTGTGACATTTTGATAAAATCATATTTCTGCATAGGACTTTACACCATTTATTAAAACTTTTTTTTGTTGAGTGATTTTGATTCTTCTCATAAAGATGTTGGTGCTGCAACTTAAAAAAAGGATATTGCATACCATTTTCTGAAGAAAACTTACAGTGAGAACCAGAAAACCTACAGTGAGAACCAGAAAACCTACAGTGAGAACCAGAAAACCTACAATGAGAACCAGAAAACCTACAATGAGAACCAGAAAACCTACAGTGAGAACCAGAAAACCTACGATGAGAACCAGAAAACCTACGATGAGAACCAGAAAACCTACGATGAGAACCAGAAAATCTACAGTGAGAACTAGAAAACCTACAATGAGAACCAGAAAACCTACAATGAGAACCAGAAAACCTACAGTGAGAACCAGAAAACCTACGATGAGATCCAGAAAACCTACGATGAGAACCAGAAAACCTACAGTGAGAACCAGAAAACCTACAGTGAGAACCAGTAAAGCAGTAGTATTCTTATAGTTCTAATGTAACAGATGATTTTTCAATATTTAACAGAACTATTACATTAAGAGTGCCCTGAATATTTTTTACAAAAATTGTAAAATCAAAAATGATATTTTTTAGTGCAAGAAAGAATAAAGACGATATTCTTTCTACAGTTTTTAAAACCTTTTCTTTATTTACATTAAACCTTTAGAATATCAGGGAATTCTTTCCTAGCAATTAATTCTGTTATTCCTAGTAATGCTCTGGTGTTTTTGGCAGGGAGAAATGATTTTTTATCATTATATCTATATTGAATGTTGCCATAGCATACACATATTACTTTTTATATCAAACATACATTGAGACTCAAAAAACAGTGGAATAGGAAGAGTACATTCAAAGCAATCTTATCTAAAGATCGAATTTAAAGTAAAATGGGTCCATGACTCTGTTCACTTGCTGTCTTTAATTGAATTCTTCACACTTACAACTTGACGGAAAAGTCGTCTTCCTTTTCACTGGTTTATGGGTACCATTGTATTATAAAAATACGGCATGGAGTATTCGTTTTTTCAAAATTAGTTTTATTATTTTATTTTATTAGAACTTCATTAAGAAATTCTAAAATTTCCTTGTTTTACATCAATTATATTTTAACCGTATATTTTCATTGATTCAATTAAAATTAAATTATTTTGGTTTTACATTAAAAATTAATTTTACTTTCCCCTTCCCCCAACTGTAGTTGAAATAATCCAGATATAACTGGTTTATATTTAAATATAAATGTAATTCAAGACAGATTTGACATTAATCTTACAAGAGACTTTATCCAAAACCAAATCATAGTGCCAAGTAAAAATTGTAGCTGTAGCTGTAGCTGCAGCTGTAGCTGTAGCTGTAACTGTAGCTGTAACTGTAGCTGTAGCTGTAGCTGTAGCTGTAGCTGTAGCTGTAGCTGTAGCGGTAGCTGTAGCTGTAGCGGTAGTGGTAGCTGTAGTGGTACCGGTAGCTGTAGCTGCAGCTGCAGCTGTAGCTGTAGCTGTAGCTGTAGCTGTAGCTGTAGCTGTAGCTGTAGCTGTAGCTGTAGCTGTAGCTGTAGCTGTAGCTGTAGCTGTAGCTGTAGCTGTAGTGGTAGCTGTAGTGGTAGTGGTAGCTGTAGCTGCGGTAGCGGTAGCGGTAATTTGAACTCTTATTAAATTTATTGACCTTCTAAATTTCTTAAGTGAGTATTTTTAGAAAAAAAAAACTATTTTGTCGTCGTCCTAATTACTAACAATGTTATTGTAAAATATAAATGTGCACTTTACAATGTCGTATGTACAATGTGCATAAAAACCTGGTTACCTGTAACACTAGGGAAGAATATTCCGACAATAAGGGTGAAACTTGCCAAAATATCAACTGTAACCTAGATATATAGATGGATAAATAATTATAGATAAATAAATTAGAAGAAACATATAGAAGAAATATCGGAATATGGCTCAAATGAAATAACTAAATTTACTCATTTTTTGGTATTAGAATTGTGAATTTTCATTGTATACAAAATAAACTTTTATATTTTGATTACTCAATTTTTTTTACAGATTGGAACAATTTCAAACAATAACAAAGTTACAGGAATTTGAAAATTGGCAATTGGACACCCTGTATGTAGACAAAGAGATAAATAGATAAAAGATATAAGTGTACTATGTAGACACAGAGATAAATAGATATAAGATATATGTGCACTATTTAGACACAGAGATAATTAGATAAAAGATAGATGTGTACTATGTAGACAAATAGATAAATAGATAAGAGATAGATGTGTACTATGTAGACAAATAGATAAATAGATAAGAGATAGTTGTGTAGTATGTATATATACACATAGATAAATGGATAAATAGATCTGTAGATCTGCTAGATTTAAAAAAGAAATACAGGGTGATCAAAAAAAGGGTGAATAGCGAGATCTTGCAACATAATAAATCATTTTATTTTTGTACTCTTGATTTAAGATACCAGTAATAGAAATAAACGATTATCAATCAATCAATCAATCAATTTTGTAATCTATCTTTTAACAATTGAGTAAGAATTTTTTGAATTTTTTTTTTTGATAGGCCATCTCATAGACCCTTTAAAAAATCCGCGTAACTATTTTTTACTCAAAATTAAATGAGTAGAAAAACAGAAGTGCGAGAATATATTATTCTTATCACACCTTAAAATTCGGAGAAAATGTGCGAAATTAAATTTTAAAAAATCCGCAATTTTAGTGTTGAAATAATCCTTAGAAGCATAGTTCTGCCTGCTATGGCTCCTCAATGTTCAACAGAACAGACAATAACTTTACAGCAACAAGATAGGGACGAGAGGATATTTTCAAAAATAAAATTGCGGATTTTCCTAATTTAATTTCGCACATTTTCTCCGAAACAGCTCATCAGGTCTGTTTAAGATTTTAAGGTGTGATAGAAATAATATATTCTCGCACTCATGTTTTTCTACTCATTTAATTTTGAGTAAAAAATAGTTTCGCGGATCTTTTAAATGGTCCATATGGTTGCCTTTCAAAAAAATAATTCTAAAATTTCATACATATTAGTCAAAAATGAGATTACCAAAATAAAATGATTTATTATATACAAGATCTCGCTATTCACCTTTTTTCTTGACTCACCCTGTATAAGGGAAGCCATGCATTCCTTAATAATTGGATTAGCTACAAAATTATGTTTAGGTTTATTTATCAGTATAGAAATATATAATACTGATTATACATATATAATAATAATCAAATGAGTTCTTATTAAAGATCAGGAGCCAATAAGTACAATTAAAATAAGGTTAATACGGTGTATAAGCAATATCAGTATAATGAAAACGACTTTATTATTTAAGTTTTAATTATTAACAAGCTTTTTTCGTATTACAAGTTTACAAGTAATTCAACTATTTTTTAATTGACAGCTTCTCTTAGTTTTCACGTTTTTGTGTATCCATGCTGTTTAAAAGCTTGATATAAATCAAAATTGAAATCGAAAGACGTCTTTATTATATTGATATAATCGACTACCACCGTAGTTTTTTCTAATGGATTCTTTTTCGTCGTGCAAGAAAAATAACAAAAGTTTTGGAACTACTGCTACCTTTTATATTAACAAATTACTACCAGACAATGTGATAAAAGGTGAGAACACTGACATGTTTTCTGATAATCACTGTATTAACTGTATAACTATATAAATTGTAAAAGGAAAGTAATAAACTTTATAGATAACGCAACTGAAATTTTAATTATTCATATTGTATCAAATCAATATTGTATTCTCTTTTTTAGATATCGATAATGTATCTACTTTATAATTTTTTCTCTTTCAAACTAATCTAAATATTTTCTATTGAAGGGATTTTGAAAAATGAATTTATTGTGACAAAATAAAAGCATAAAAGCATAAAAGATTGAACGATTTACTCTCTAAATGCAAATTGAATGGATAGATAGATAATTAGATATTCCTGGGAGTAGATAGATGGATAATTACAAAAGTGTCCAGAGGGACTTAATACATAGAATAAAGATTATCTAGTCACAACAGTAAAAAATAGAATTCAGCAAGAAAGGAAAAATAAAAAGTTTAGCAAAAAATCTTTATAGTTTTGAATGGTATAAATGAAATATCTATTAAACCATAAATTCTGTTTCAAGGTTCATTATAAACGTAGAAATTATTTATCCCGCTGTTCTTCTATTTTACTTTTAATTGTGAATCTATCTGTGAGCATTTTCTCTTTGTTCATAATAAAATAATAACAAAAAAAGTTTGCATATTTCATAATATTTTTTTTCTCAAATTTTCAAAAAAAATAATAAACGCAAATTAAATATATTATAAATTTTATGCATAAATTGACTTTATGAAACTATTGTGAACTGTATCATTCTTCCTCACTTCATCGTGAATTTCATAATGAATGTGCTATAAAGTAATCATCGTGCTATAAAGTTCAATTAGTTGTACATTATAGCACGTGAGTTTTGATTGGCTCCCTGATTTTCTCCAAAAAATTTAAGGATACTTCCAAAATATTTTTTTCAATTGAAATGAAAATAAAATTGAAATCAACTTTATATTTTGACTTCCTTTTGCTTTGTTTCTAACACTGTTATTTTATCACGAAGTGCTGTAAAGTTTTTGGACTTAATTTTTCTCTATATCTCGAGGGTTCTCGCCTTTAGACTATAATTTGTCCCTCGCTAAAGCTCGGGACAAAATTAAATCTATAAAGGTTTGAACCTTTTCAAAAAAAGAGAAAATTTCTGTCCAAAAACTTTATAACACTGCGAACCAAAATAACAGTGTTATAAATAGTTATTATTAACCCTATCCCAGTTGGGCTCTGTCTTTTTTCTCTGTATTTACATTTCTTTTACAAGTCCTTTAAAATATGTAAATTTGAGATAGGTAGTTTTTATGGATCAAAAACAACACGGGAAAGGGTTAATAGTGTATTGATTTTTGCTTTATGCACCGCATGCATATTGCAAAGAATATTTAGATTCATTGTTTGAACAAACTAAACTTAGACTGATCTAATTTAATATTTTATGATGGTTTCCGCCAAATGCAAGCGGTCTTCAAATAATAAAATCGACACCCCNACCCGTCTTTTCTATGTTAAATTGATAAAGTTTGGGTTCAGGAATCGGGACGTTTTTTATCAATGTTTTGACACACAAAGGTCTGATAAATGATCATCAATAAGATCACTGAACCCCACAGAGTTTTCGCAAAACTTGCTTCATCATAAAATAACAAAGTTTACAGATCGAGAAGGGAAAAAAAACAAAAAAAATTGATTAACAAACAAGCTGCTATTAATTTTTTGACCAGCGCATGAAGCAAAAAAGCACAATTATAGGAAAAAACCATTGTCCTTGTATCTTGCAGATATTTTATTCATGTACCTGATTCATATTTCATGTACCTTTTAGGTACAGTACTTTAATCCATGTTCCCGGTATATAATTATGTACTTGAAACCATGTACGCTGTAAGTATTTATATACTTACAGCTAATAGATAATCATGTACTTGAATCCATTTAAAATTTACCCGATAGGTAATTATGTACTCGAATGCATGTACTCTGTATGTATTAATGTACTTGAAACCATGTAACCTTTAGGAATTTCTGTACTTTAAACCATGTAACCGTCATTACCTGGTTTTTAGCCGGTTTACCGCCCAGATTGTACTCTGTCTCCAGAGGACTACTTGAGATAGCTGTCCCAGCATCATAATACTTGTTCCTGAGACACAGAAACAAAATTTAACAAAAATTCTTCCAATATTTGATTTAGTGTTTCTTCATTCTTTAATTTTCATTTTCAATAATAACCACAATGAGCAGAATTAAAATTGGATTATTAGTCAATAACCTGGCAGCATGGAGCGTATCTAATTGGGGGGTTTGAATGGACGGACACAGTTAATTATTTACTGATTCCTTCTTATAAGTAAAATCCAAAGAATTATTCGAAAAAAGATTTGTTTTATTTCCCCAAGGGAGGTTTAACCTTCGACCACGAATATAAAATTAAATTTTAAAAACTACGTCTAAACCCGGCAGATGGTTCTACACCCACTGGTCCTAAATTATAACAATAAAACTGTGGAATGAATAGTACTTTTCCAATGTTGTACAACTGTTCAGGGCTGAGAATTTTTGTGCTGGAAGCACACAATCCAGATCCTTAGATCTCGATGGTGGGCACTTTTGAATTTAACACAGAATCTGTTTGATTTTGGGAATTCGAAATTTCTGTGTTCTCTCATTGGTTGAAAGCAAAATTCCTTGGCTTCTGATTGGAACTTCACGTGATATCCTATAAGGATTAAATAAATCTGCAGATTAGAAAAAGATCGAGATCGAGCGTTGATATCTAATACGAAAGTACAAGAGGCAACTTTTAGAAATATTTCAGTTGCAAATTACAAAATATTTAGCGACTTTCACAATTGAAAGAAAAATGGAAAACGACGAGAAATCCAACGTTTTCTGGTTCTCACTGAACGTTAAAACCCAAAACCGCGGTAGCACACGTGACTGACCTGAGATTCCTGTAGAAAGCATCGCTCGACATCCCCTGAATACCCTGGGTGATGTTCATCACGTTCGCTTCAAAATACTCTTCACATTTGTACATGTCAGGGGTAGTCTCATTCATCGGGATATCTGAACAGGAGATATTTAAATGGGGAACCAGAAAACTGATTTATCAGAATATCTATCAGAAAATGGATTAAATATGTAATTTGGAACAGATTAAATTTAAGAACAGTCCAATTAAATCAAATAAAAATATTTTGGCCTAAAGTTTTCACCTGTATAGTTACTGAGTCTGTCGCAGTACATGTTCCAAACATCTGGGCTTGCAACAGGATCTTTAGTACAGTTTGCTACTTTGGACAGTAGCCTTGTACCCAGTAAACACAGCCTAAATATTGTGTACTTTCAGTATTGATAAAGATATTTAGTACCAGAACCACACAGTCATAACATTATGTATTTTCTGTACTTATCAAGAAATATAGTACCCAATACACTAGCACAGTCTAAATATTATGTACTTTCTGTATTCATAACGTAGCCTAGTACCCAGAAAACACAACCTAAATATTGTGTACTTTCTGTATTTACAATGATATCTAGTACCCAGTACACACAGCATAAAAATACAGCCTTATATTCTGGACTTTCAGTGTACCTTGTACTCGCAAGTCGCAGGCCACTTTCTTTTGAAAAAAGCCATAAAAATTATTAAATTCACATTGTAAACGTAAACTCCATTAATCTTCATGAACATTTATTTTACAAATTCTAGAGATAAATCATATGGTGAAAGGTTCAAGGGAACAGAGAATAAGAGCAGGGTAGGAAAAGGGTGGGAGAAAGGCATTAAAGAGGGACAAACCCGATTCACAAGGCACCCTTTTAAGCTTTTCCTATTCAGTAATGTAGAAGTATCGTTGAGTTTTAAGCTTTAAAAGTGTTTAATTCAGACAATTTAAACGGAAATCCGCAATTTACTCTGATAGAGGGTCTCTTGAATTTAATTTTTTAGTCCTTAAGATATATACAACCCTGTATGAAGGGTCTAATGGAGTATTGATAATATTGGGTATATACAACCCTGTACTAGGTCTAATGGAGTATTGATAATATTGGGTATATACAACCCTGTAAGAGGTCTAATGGATTATTGATAATATTGGGTATATACAACCCTGTAAGAGGTCTAATGGAGTATTGATAATATTGGGTATATACAACCCTGAAAGAGGTCTATTGGAGTATTGATAATATTGGGTATATACAACCCTGCACGAGGTAAATGGAGTATTGATATTATTGAGTAAATTGAATCCAAAGGATTAGAGAAGTAGAATCATCAATCAGAGGATGGAAAATTTCTTAGATAAACCCCAAGGGAAGGGGGGGATATTCAAAAAAAAATTCTAGAACTTACGGTGCTTTGTCGTTGCCGTGGATGTTGACAAATACGCCGACGAAGATGGAGACGATTGACCCTATGACGCAGAAGAGCGCAACTGCCGCAAACTTGTTGACGAACTTGACTCCCAGGAAAACGATAGTCCCCATACAGATCAGTAGCAGGGTACCGTACACCTAATATAGTCAACAATGTAATTTAAGAAAAAAGATATGGTCATGGACATTTTAATACTCAAACTTTACATTTGATCCTTTTTATCTCATCATATATATTTGTATTGAAGAAGATAAAATCAAGGATAATGCAAGACCTAAGCTGGAGATTTATGAATTTAAAAAAAACAGTTGAACTATGTACGGCTGGTTTAACTACTTTCTGTAAGGTGGTCCAGGAATCTTATTTACTCATAGAAAACAATTTAAAGGAATAAAGTCTCTGACACAAATTCGTAGATATTAGATATTTTAAACTATGCATTTTGTTAGATCTAATAATCATAAGTTTGAAATATTAGAAATTTTGAGATTGTGACAAAGACTCGTCCTTTCCAGAAAACCTTTTGGTTTTGGGATAATTTTACACTACAACTCAGTTTAGCTGAACCCAATTCAAATTTACCAGCATTTATACATTCTCAACTCTAGTTTACATTATTTTCTTGAAATATTAGTAACATGTATCCGAACCATAAGTTCTTAATGTATTCCTTGTAGGACAATTATCCAGATCTTTGCCAAAAAATATATTCTTAAGTACATGTTCGAGCATCTAGTTGGGCATGCATAATATCCACAGGGTGGCACATACTTAGTAGGACCGGAGAAAACATCTACAGGGCGATAAATAAAGAGACTTGAGCGTTTCCTGCAAGCTACCAGGACTGCAGAAGAAAAATATAGCAGAGGAGGTTATTGAGATATTTCTGGGACACCCTTGTATAAGCAGAGATGAATCTGAATTTGGCAGATGCCTTGTTTTTAGGCTATTAGAACCCTTCATTCATCATCCTTCGGGCTTTACTCTTCATTCTTTATCGTTAACTCTTTATCCCTTATCCTTCATATCCTTCATATCCTTCATATCCTTCATATCCTTCATATCCTTCATATGCTTCATATACTTCATATACTTCATATACTTCATATACTTCATATCCTTATATCCTTCATAAACTTCATATACTTCATATACTTCATGTCCTTCATATCCTTCATATCCTTCATATACTTCATATCCTTATATCCTTCATATACTTCATATACTTCATATCCTTCATATCCTTATATCCTTCATATACTTCATATACTTCATATCCTTCATATACTTCATATCCTTCATATCCTTCTTCTACTAACTTCATACTTAATACTTCGTGCTTAGCTCTTCATCCTTTATTCTTTATCATTAACACTCCCTTATCCTTCATCCTTTATAACGTTCACATCCTTCACATCCTTCACATCCTTCACATCCTACACATCCTTCACATCCTTCACATCCTTCACATCCTTCACATCCTTCACATCCTTCACATCCTTCACATCCTACACATCCTTCACATCCTTCACATCCTTCACATCCTACACATCCTTCACATCCTTCACATCCTTCACATCCTACAACCTTAACCTTTGTTCTTCCAATCCTTTTTATACCATTTAAGATTCCTTAATTTTTTAACCCTGATGCTCTGCTAGGGAAAACAAAAATGGTTCAAAACTTAACCCTACTCTTAATAGCCTACTTACACCCTACCCTACACCTTAATAGCCTACTTACACCCTACCCTACACCTTAATAGCCTACTTACACCCTACCCTACACCTTAATAGCCTACTTACACCCTACCCTACACCTTAATAGCCTACTTACACCCTACCCTACACCTTAATAGCCTACTTACACCCTACCCTACACCTTAATAGCCTACTCACCCGATAGTTGTTGAACTTGACAAAGTCGTCGTTGATATCCGGTCCAAACAGGGACATATCCGGTCCTATCAGATACACCTTAACAATCAACTCTTTATAATAATATTTGTGCTACAGGTTTAACAACACAGGATGAGACTGTAGTGAGGACCTAAATCATAAAAACACTTTATGATTTAGCTGGGAAAGGAACAAGTTTACAGTTGAAAACCAAGTGTCAGAAAAATGACTGATTACAGTCCATCTCTAAAGTCTCATCCTTTGCGGATAACCCTGAATTAAAGCAAAGTTAAATAAACCTTAAATTCAATTCAATGGAAACAATTCAATGTTATTTTTAAAGGGAAGTATGAAAAAATTATTCGGTTTTATATGACCGTAGATAAATTATAAATTAAAGAAAAAAAGCTTGAATTTGTTCTACTCTACACTTATCTTTGTGGTAGAATTTATGGACTAAAACTTCACTTTGTAGATTTTATACTATTTGTGGTAGATGTCGTAGACTTAGATACTATCTCTGGCAGATGTCATGCGCTTGGATACTATTTCTAGCTGATTGAATGGATTTAGATACTATCTATGGCAGATGTCATGTAATGTACTTGGATACTATTTCTAGCATATTAAATGGATTTAGATACTATTTCTAGCAGATTAAATGGATTTAGATACTATTTCTAGCAGATTGAAAGAATTTAGATACTATTTCTAGCAGATTGAATGGATTTAGATACTATTTCTAGCATATTGAATGGATTTAGATACTATTTCTAGCAGATTGAATGGATTTAGATACTATTTCTAGCAGATTTAATGGATTTAGATACTATTTCTAGCAGATTGAATGGATTCAGATACTATTTCTAGCAGATTGAATGGATTCAGATACTATTTCTAGCAGATTGAATGAATTTAGATACTATTTCTAGCAGATTGAATGGATTTAGATACTATTTGTGACAGATTTTATGCGTCTTTAATCATGTTAAGTGGCATTTTACACAATTTAATCCTGGATGAAATCCTTTCCTTCTTAAAGTTTAAAAATGAAAAAGGTTTACTTTCAATAAATTTTGACAACCTTTTTCAAATTTTAATAAATATTTGAAAACGTTTCACTTGCTTATTTTGTTTGTTGAAACCAAATTTAAAATTCTAAAGTTTGAATTTCAGTGAATATTGGAAGTTGAGATTAAAAGTCTTCTAACGCAAGATGTACTGAAACCAATTTTAAATTGCTTTGATACTGCATTAGTCAGGCGCACCGTGCAGTTAGAAATTTTGCAAGGGGGGATTTTGAAATTAAAATAGCTTTTTTTCTTTATGACACAATTATGTAGAAAACTAACATAATTTTTCCATGATCAAATATCCCAAGCCTTTTATAATTACGAAAAAGCATGAACCGAAGGGTCTGGAAAAAAATCTGTGAAAAGGGTTGTCTGTCGTAAAAACATGGGAAAAGGGTTTCCTCTGGAAAAAAAATATGGGAAAAGGGTTGCCTCTGGAAAAAACAAGGTCCAAAGGGGTGTCTCTAAAAATAACAAGGTACAAAGGATTGTCTCTCAAAAAACAAGGTACAAAGGTTTGTCTGTCGAAACAACCAGGTCCATAGATTTGTCTCAAGAAAAAAAGATCCTAAGGGTTGTCTCTGGAAAACAATGTCCAAAGGGTTGTCCATGGAAAAAACAAGGTCCAAAGGGTTGTCTCTTGAAAACAATGTCCAAAGGGTTGCCTCTGGAAAAAACAAGGTCCAAAGGGGTGTCTCTCAAAATAACAAGGTACAAAGGGTTGTCTTTGAAAAAAAGGTTGTCTCTTGAAAAAAAAAGTTTCAAAAGGTTGTCTCTCGAAAAAAAAGGAAAAAGAGGTGTCTCTCAAAAAACAAGGTACACATGTTTGTCTCTCGAAACAATAAGGTCCATAAGTTTGTCTCAAACTAAAAAAAAAGGTCCAAAGGGTTGTGGAAAAAAAGATCCAACTAGTTGCCTCTGGAAAAAAAACAAGGCCCAAAGGCTTGTCTCCGGAAAACAAGGTCCAAATAATATAAATATATATATAAAAATATAATCAATATGTAAGTTTAAACTAACCATTGCAATCTCGACTGCACCAATGATGTACATAGCTCCGGCGAATGTTGTCCCTATATAGAACAGTATCCCTACAGCACCGCCAAACTCAGGTCCTAAATATCATTTATAATTAGAAAACTACCAATTAAAGGATTGAAGGGACTGTTATCGTTATTTTAAAGGTAGTGACCAGCTACGTAAGGTAGTTGAACTGAGTGCATACTCAGTTCAACTACCTTACATAGCCGGTCACTCCTTTTAAGTGACACTCTCTCCAAAGCAAGGGTGTAATGCAAGGAAAGTCAATTGCGGTTGTGTATACTCTGTGTACATATTGAAACCAGTTCTCTCTGGGCGGAATTTGTAAACAATAATAGATGCATCAGTGTTCGTTTAGTATCCGAGGAGGTTAAAAGCATTACATTGTGATAATTTTGATAATTCACATAATAATTTCCCATGTCCAGAATATTTCATTGATTTTTTATGTGAAAGATGAATCCCATGTCAGGCTTCGACATCCGTCTTGTGTTTACATTAGCGCCCAGAGACAATACAAAAGATGCGTACACTTCTGAAATAACTTTTCTTGCCTTACATCCTTGCTCCAAAGGTGGTATTTCCCGGTATCCCTTAGAAGCTTTTTGTCTGATCAAGTATGAATTGTGGTTTCTCTATAATACTGACTTGTGCAATTATACTGCAGGTATACACCAGTATAAGACAATTTTAAACCTAGAAAAACGACGACATCATACACATTATTTATCAGATAGAGGTTTCAAGGGTTCCGTTGTGAATCGGACATTGGCATCTTTAACAACTGCTGGTGCAAACTTTGAAACGTCAAACTTAGATTTTATCTATTCAGTTTCTTTCTTTTATTTTAATGAATGGGGGGGGGGGACTAAAAGATTATTCAATGCCATTTTTTCTTTATTATACAAGATGGAAGTATGGAAGTTATAAAAACAATCATAAAAAAAACAAATTTTCAAAACTAGAAAATCAGTTTTTGAAAAAAAATATAATTACTTACCTAAAGCGCGGGAGATCATAAAGTATGACCCCCCTGCCGGCACTACTCCATTCGTAGCAATAGCAGACATAGATATACAGGTGATCATTGTCTAAACATAGATATACAGATGATCAATGTATAAACTTAGATATTACAGTTGATCAATGTCCAAACATAGATATACAGGTGATCATTGTCTAAACATAGATATATAGGTGATCAATGTATAAACTTAAATACACAGGTGATCAATGTCTAAAAATAGATATACAGGGGATCAATGTCTAAATATAGATATACAGAGGATCAATGTCTAAACATAGAAATACAGGGGATCAATGTTTAAACATAGATATACAGGGGATCAATGTATAAACTTAAATACACAGGTGATCAATGACTAAGGATGATCACTGGAAGTTTAATCATAAATATAAATAGTTATATTGAATAGTAGATCCAAATCATTAGATACTCCAATGGGAATTCTGACGTTGTATACATGTATGTGCAAATTGCAATAAGCTTTTTAGGAGATTTTATTTTTCACTTTCTCTTTCCCATGTGAAAATGTATCCATAGACTCAATTATACTGTTTTTATTATCAATATTATAATATTAAAAAGTTATATAAAATTTTCTAAAAACTAAAAAATTATTTGTCACTGCCATTTTTAAGAATCATAACGATTATCATAAATATGGAAAATTTAAAAAAAAAATAAAGGATTTAAGTTTTACAATGTAATTTTATATTATCTTTGCAAATTCATTTAATCTCAGGGATATTTGAAATTTTTTGGATCATTCCTTTTTCTAGGTTTTACAATGGTTAAATAGGGATCAAAATGTTACAATTTTTGAATAAAAATAAATATTACCCAGAAAAAACTCATTTCCTATTTAAAATAATAGCCATGATTAATGATTTTTTTGTCTTTGGAAGTTGGGTTCAGGCTTATAATTATGGTCATTAATAAAATACTTTATGGTCAAAGTACACCCAGCAGTTGGATTTAATTATAAGTGTATAGTGGGAAAAGTACATATATTTTAAATATAAGTGTTTTATTTCAAACTGCAGAATAAAGTTCCAAAATAAATTATTGATTAGACAAGACTAGGAGCAAGGNCCACCCATCCATCAACAAAATACTGCAGAATTCAAAATTCCTTTAAAAAAGGTTAACTTGGTGTGTGGCCTGTTTAAACATTTTTTGTTGAATATTTCTCACCCAGAATTTGACCTGAAATTTTTGGTTTTGTTCTTTTAAGGCAATACTTATAATATTCGGCTATAAATGGTACTGTAGGAGTAATATCAGGTGACCCTGTCTGTCTGTCCAATTCACAATGGTACCCTCAAAACCTTTGTTTGAAAAAGAACGAACGCAATATCTGTGATTTATCTATAAAAAATTGTTATTTTTAACTGTGTTTTCTCTATAAAAGGGACTTAGAAATAAATATATAGTGTTAAGAATAAAATACATATTTTTTTAAACCAAAATAAAGGACGTTATCTTTCACATTGTTGATCAGATAAAGGGATCAAGGGCAACGTTCTGAATCGAGCATGCTCTTCTTTTATGCGATGGGTCCCTTTAAGAAAAAAAAACATAATTTAACTTCTTGAACCGGTGTCTTGTAATGGTATAATTATAAATACAGGCCTAGTCTCAGAATTTTGTGGGATTTTAATGACGACAAGACACCTAAAAAATCATGATTCGAATGTTGAATTTGATCAAATTATTGAAATAGCCTGCAAGGTACCAATGCCATGAATAATAAAAGAAAGATTTTTTTGATGGGTAACCTTGTATTTGAAGATGAACATAGAACAAAATGCTTTTTAAACAGTTCGGACGAAGAGTGTTTGTTTTAGCCCTCTGTGTTTGGTCAAGGGTTATTTACAATGGAAAGTAAATGAGCTTCCCCCACAATATACAATTTGTTCGTTCCTAACCTATGGGAGAGATCTTTTAATCTCTTTACACAACGACGACATTTTCTACAACTAAACATGCAAAGTGTACACTGGAGTACAATAACATCCATCTATCAATCTATCTTGGGTTTTGGCGGGAAAAGTTGGATTAACGGGAAGGGTAGTTGTTAAAGAATGTGGAAGAAAATGGGTTGGATCTGATCCAACTCTACTCAAACTATCCAAACCTAGACATTTACTTCATATCAAGGACCCGGAAGGGGGGNGGAGCTCTAAAATTCTCAAAAATAAGATATTAAAAATTAACCCCCAGTATGTAAAAATTTTGTATGGGCTTTTGTGGTATTGATGTTATTATGTTTATGTATTTACATCATAAAAGAAGGTAATTTTCTTTAACAATAATAAATTATAAAAGCTAAAATATAAATATTTCTTTTATAAAGATATAGAAATCGGGAAATCCTTGTTTGGAAAATATGATCCTATGTAAGCTTGATAAACAACTAAATATAAAACAAAATGGGAAAAATTTAATCTTTGTATACAGTAATAAATAATTCCAGTTTCTTCAAAAAGCCTTTCTTTTTCTCCATTAAAACTTTTCAATTGATGCGTTTTTTATTATAAGAACTGAATTTTTTAATCTTTAGATTTTTGCAACCTGATGGTGTAAACTTTAACTATTTCAAACGTTGGCATTTGAATTAATCAAATAGATAGAACTATCTAAAGTCTACGACATCAGGTTAAAAAATGTAAGGATAAGAAAAATTGAAAACGAGATGAGCGATAATTTCTTTTATGTAAAAGATGTAACAACATATCCAGTTTTTCCAAAAGAAATCCTTTTCATATGAGAACCCCCCCCCCCCTCTCCTCCTTCTTCTCCTGATTAGTCAATGGTTTCTTACCACAGAGCAGCAGACGAGAACCACAAGAAATCCTTCAATAACTCCACAAGTTCCAACTATCCAGGTTAATCTTAACATTTTATAATTCGTTAGAAACACAATTCTAGGCAGAAAAAATATCATCTATTACAAATGTTTTGTTTACACAATTCTAGGCAGAAATAATATCATTTATTACAAATGATTTTTTTAAAATCTGCCTGATCTCTAAGGCTGTATTTAATGAATTTGATCTTAAATTTGAATCACCGATTCAAATCCTTCCTTATTCTTAAACTTTGAATCCGTGGTTCGAATCTGAACCGACAGTAGGTAGTTCAGTGAAGTAGCTCAAATTCATTAAATTCGGTCCAAAAATAAAACTTTTGATTTAAAAAAAACAAATAAAATATTACAAGTCACATTGGAGCATGCTTTTTCCCCCATTTTACAAGAACTGTTAAATACAAGAATTAACTATTTAAATGTTTAAGGATTTATTAACGTAGTAATTTAAAGTTAAATGATAAATATGTTATGAAATGAGTATTAATTATTGTCACATTTTTTAGCATATATTTCTAAATAATTTTTAACTAATTTCTAATTTTCCATATGTGACGAAATTAATATAAAGATAAATACTATTTTCTATTTTTGACTTTTATTATTTTATTTTCTTTGATTTCCATAGTTTTTCTTCGTTTGACGAATGTTGTCATTAAATATTTGACAGTTTAGTTTTGTTTTTGTGTTTTCTGTTGTTTTTATATCCAAATATTTTTCTAGTCTTATTTAGTAATCTATTGATTCACGTTAATTGGAAGTTGTTTTTATGAACCTTGCAAAGATATTTTGTTTTATTAGCTTCCAGTTCTTGAGGTTGAAAAATACTTTTGTATAAGTTAGTTCTTGTGATAAAAATAGTTTGTTTTACGTCATCATTTATCCTAGGACTGCTGATGATGTAAACAAAACATCAAAATAGATTTATACTTTGAAGTTGTGCATTTGACAGGACAGAGAACATTTCTAATTGAATCATTTCATTTGATAATGACAATAATAATGATGATGATAATAATCTATATAATATGTTTTCAAACCCTGAGAAATTAAATATATAACATGACTATAACAGTGCCAAGAAAATAACAAAAAAATCCAAAAGTTTAAAAACTAATTTCTCAAACTCTAATTTGTTAATCTATTTATTTGCAACCTGACGGAGTAAGCTTTTGAAATTTCAAATTTAGACTATTTAATCTAGCATAGTTCATAGTTTGAAATATCAAAGGTCTGCGACATCAGAGGCCGAATTTAAAGAATTTGAGCCGCTGCTTAATTATGGTTGGTTTCACTTAAAATTGTATCAAATATTTCAAGATTTAAGCCGGCGCTCAATTTAAACCGGGTTTTGGCGGATTTAAGCCGCGACTTAAATTCTTTAAATTCGGCCACAGGTTGCAAAGTTCAAGGAAGTACATATTTTCTTGAAAATAAAATAAAACTATAAACAATCGGGGGCAAGATACGAATAGCGCCATAATATTAATAACGGACCAAACAAGGTTGAATTCAACAGTAGATGATCTATCTATGACAGACCCGCAGTGTGCAGAGGACAAAGTTAGATTGAATTCAGAAATTCAAACTTAATACAAATATATTCAACAGGGTTAGGATCCCCTCAAATAAATTAGTCAGGAATTTAATTTGTTTTCAAATGGATTCTAAACCAGAAACAAGGGGTTCAAGTGACGATTTTAAACTCGTATTTGTTTGAACAAAGGTTGATAAACTTCTGAGTTTCCTATCTAAATTTTTACGAAATGTTGAGAATCTATCTACATATGTGAAGTAGTAATCTCCGACCATAACCCAGAAACCCCCTGACCGATTTGCCTCAAATTTTGATGGGTGAACTTGATAGACACATGATAATGTTTTTGAGTTTGGTTTAAAAACATTTAGTTGAGAGGGTTGGCTTTTCAAGCGAAAGTTTAGTTTCCAGGCAAAGCGGGTTCCCCAGCTAGTTATTTTATATAATATCAACATTTAAATATTTTTAGGTTGCTTTGAGAATCCCTTTTATACATATGTTGGTTGCTTTGTTTCAAGTTAAGGTCAATACGGCTATAAAAGCCGTTCGGAATAAAAAAAACAGGAAAAAAATTATATTTTCTAAAATTTAAAAAATCTGTCAACTCACGAACAAATTTATAAATACTAGAGACGAAGAGAAAGGTCACCAAAAATGGTTAAATCATTAGTAAAATGTTTTTAAATAAAGCAGATTTTACCTGATGAAAAGAATGACTCCAAAAATATTTTGTAAGCAGGGAAGGTACACCCCCATAATTGTGCCAAGGTTCGCCTACTCAGACACAAAATCAGATTCAAAATTTGCAACGAATATTCGCAATATTTGCAGAATCCCCGCAGGATTTTGCAAGATTTCCCCACTGGGGATATTCGGAACTGGATTCAATATGAAACATTCACATAAAATATAAAGTTTTTTTTTATCTTTTCAGTCAAATATTTTTCCAGTATTTTAAGGAAAAAATCTTTAAATTTTCCAGTAGAAATCTGTTTATTTTCAGGTTCATAAGGACAAAATCTTTGTATTTTTCTTGTAATGTAAGGAAAAACCTTTATATTTTTCAATATTATCAGCAAAAAAATCTTAATATTTTTCCAGTATTTAAAGGAAAAAATTAAAATTAATTCAAGAGAAAACCTTAAATTCAAAATTTATCTTGACATTTAAATTTGCTTAATAAAGACGAATTAATAATAAAATATATAGAATATACTGTAAGTGTTCATTAAAGGGATTAAAAGCTTTGTCTGATCAAATATTTAACAGTTTACTGGGAAAAAACTGATCAGTTTGAATTGTGGTTTCAAGTTAACCTAGCGTTTTCATCAATTTTAACGAATCTATGAAAGTGTCAAAAGTGAAAACATAAAGGAATTATCAGAATTAAACAATTTGAAACCTGGAAAAACGTCAATTTATTTCACATTATTGATCAGATAAAGGTTTCAAAGGTATTGTTGTAAATCAGAAATAGCATGAAGGGTCACTTTAAGTTACGCTTACATTTTACAGTCCCTTTAAGTTGGGTGAGAAGAAGTTACATAGAAGTTGAAACTCTAAACCCTTTAAGATACTTACTAGAAGTTTATAATTTATAGATGTTGTAAACCTTGTAGTACAAACTTTATTTTAACTAATAAATTTTACTCCAATACTTCAGCTTAGTGAAGTTACATATACTTTTCTCCTGTATTTGATTTCCGAGGTAGCACCTACAAGGAGGGGGGGGGGGGGGGGCAAAGTTCCAGGTTTCTAAATTATTTAATGAAATCTGATTTTGGATCATTCCTTTTCCACAGGTTTAGCATCAGGATCTCCTGGTGCCAGAGGGATGGCAGAGGAATAGTTTGTGATCGAATTGATCGCACTAGCGATAGCAGGACGTTCTTTAAACTCATCCTAAACAAATCAATCATTGATCAAACATGCATTGCTTATAAATCAGTCAAATATCAAACAAGAATCGAGGATCAAATAATGATAATAGAATCAATGATGATAAATCAATGGAAAAACAATAATTAAAATATTACTATTTTTTAATCTTAAAATCAAATAATCAAATTAAACTGAACAGGAAAAAAACAAACAAATATTTAGTAGTCAACTTTCAACGAATTTTAAAAATGAAAAGTCAAAATGAAACGTTAATGTTTGGACTTGATTTTCTCATAAATAAAGATATACAAACACTAAAGCCAACGTAAATAAGAAAATATTCTTATTTTTTGTAGTTTTTATTATTATCTCCGATTAGTTTGCTAAGAAGAAAAAGAAGGGGGGGGGGGGAATAATAATTTTTAACCAACTTACATGATAGAGAAAGAGGTTACTGTGCCCCACTACGGATGAATCCGGGGCTCGCAACATTTGATCCTCGCCCGGCGGCTCACCTGGAATAAATATAAAAATATAAAAACAAAAGTAATTATTTTTTCCCTTCAACCGAATCTTGATGACGTAGTAATTTAGATTATAACCGAACCTTGATGATGTGGTAATTTAGACTATAACGTATTAACATCACTTGTACTTTCTTGTATCCCTAGCCATTCAAATTTTCAGAATTAAAAGCCACTTGTTTTTATTTTAAAGAAGTAATTGGAAACAAATTCTCATCAATTTCTCATCTTAAGGTTGCAACCTTTAGATCACTGTAATTTGTTATAAAAATCTTTTGCCTTTTCTATTAGAAGATCACAGAAAAAAACTTTTAAACATCAGGACAAAAGTATTTTTGGACCCATCATGAAAAATAAAGAAATGTCTTTTTTATGTACTTTTTGTTGTATACTTGAGCACCATGAATGCTAGACAGGTATACATTATTAAGTATCTGCTAATGCATCAGGCTATATACTGTTCATTAATCCAATAAGAATAACTTATTTATATCTTTATATGGTTCTCTATTATTTAGTATCTATTGTTATCCAATCCTAATCTATTTATAATGAACATTGTTCCTTCTTTCTATTCTTTTTGATTATCTATGGTTTATTAAACTAAAAAAGCCATTACTATTTTCAATAATTTTTTAACAAAAAAAAATATCAAAAAAAAATTAACAAAAACTACTTTTTAACGATTTAATTGAAATTATTCATAAAAGAATTTTTTTCCTTGGAATACTTTTACCAAATTAAGGACTGGAAACCCTGAAAATACAGAGTGTATACAATACATTAACCTTAGACATGATCAAATTATTGATAAATATAGCACAACCATCAGACCTTAGAGATATTCATTTTAAAAGTGCTGGATTACTTTCTTGATGGAATAACGGGAAAGTGGGCACTCTGGGCCGTAGTAAATTTGAATTCGAACAGGACCTGCCCGGTTTGTACCGGCCTGCCAGATAACAGCGTGTACTGACCCGATCCCGCATTGCAGCCAGCAGCGCCTCAGAATGCCTTACCTAAACTTTGGGAAATTGCACATTTGGAAAGGTGCCACTTAGAAATTGCACATTTGGAAGTCGCCCTCGAAAAAATGCTTTTGGGAAAGTACCTGACAAATCTATATAGATAAAGATCTGAAACCAAGATTGTTTTGATTTCTGACCAGCATTAACTTATCTTTGAGTTTATGCAATATATGACAAAAAAATTGGGTCTTATCGATTTTGTCTTTTTTGTAGCTAAGAAAAAAAAACATGAAATGAAAATTTATATTGCACACCAAAACTAGACAGAAAAAGATTGCAAAATTTACGTGACATTACTGATATGTTGTTGTGATCTCGTAGCTCATCTAGTTTCGATTTTGCGCATACGTATGAGAAAAGCAAAACTATCTGAGGCCGAATTTAAAGAATTTGAGCGGCGGCTTAAATTTAAACCGCGGCTCAAATATAGTTGGTTCCACTCACAATCGTATTTGTCGTTTCAAGATTTAAGCCGGCGCTCAATTAAAACCGGTTTTGGGCGGATTTAAGACGCGGCTCAAATTCATTAAATTCGGACACTGGTTAACTATTGGAAATTTAAAAATATTTTTATATGCTCGATAGATCTTTAATAAAAGGAGTTATGATTGAAAACGTATAACATTTCAATCATACGTGCAATTTGATTTAACTTGAAGCTATTGTGATTAGAAACATAAATCTAGTATGTATTCTCCTACCCAACTCCCCACTCCCTCTTTCGATATGATAAGGGGAACACGGGATCTTGACCTTGTCATTATATATACATATATATTCACATAGGGGATACAATTTATGGTAATCAAAAAGATAAATGTTGAAAACAACAATTTTCATTTGATCATTTTTAATTTATTTTAGCAAAGAACATTTTTCCTACCATCAACCTTAAAAAAGTTTTTTCACTGATTCAAAAAAATGAATTATGTAGGAACAAATCAATACATTTTAGAATAAGAAGTATTAAATAAGTGGAAAAAATGTAAATTTTCTATTATTTTCTCTACATCATATTATTCTTAAATAATTTTTCGAAATGAATAAAACAGCTTAAATAAACAATTTAAAATATGTTGGAACCACAAAAATATGTGAATAAGAATTGTATTCCCTTCATCACTAGAAGAACCAGGAAAACAATATATCTCGTCTATTCAGTGTCTGTGTTACATGTCAAGTTAGGAAAGATGAGGGTGGGATTAGTTAACCTTCAATAGGGGGGGAGATCATTTTGTGGCCTAATTTTTGTTGTGAATGTTGTTATTCACAAACTCTCTCCCCCCGGGAAAAGTCATTCTGAATTTTATGTCTTGTTTTCTTAACTTGATTATATCATAGCATAATCCACATAGATTGAAGGCTACGAACTATGTCTATAAATGTCAACATGTTGGTGCAGTACATGTACATATTCGAGGTAAAAAAGAAAAGAAATTATTATGTTAAAAAGGAAGATAAACATCTATCCTATTATAGAACGAGGCCCATAAGAAAATACTCCTGGGAATTCGAATATTAACATTCATTATCTCCTCCTCACCGATACAAATGTTATAATAGTTCTATCTCTTTTTCTAAATCAAAAAGAAAGAAAGTAAAAGTCTGTTTAATTTAGTGATTCCAGCAAAAAAGTACTTGTTTTAAGTAATACAACTTTTGTAAAAAAAATAAAATATTTTAACAATTGGACATTTTTCATCACAATAATACTTTAAAATATATTTTCGTGATTATAATAGAAATCAATAAAAATTGTTTTAAAACAAAAAAATTTGTTAAAAAATATCACATCTTCTAGAAGAGAGCTCAAATATAATTTCCATTTATTTCATTCGATAATATCTAGGAATAAGAGGGAGGAAGGCCAGCCACATCAACTCTGAAACGAGCCAAAATATTCTCTTTGTCTATAACGAGCCACCATCAAAAAAATGTTAATTGTTTCAATATTTTATTTTCTTTTAAAGTAATTAAATCTTTTCTGGGTAAAACCATTACTTTAGTATTTGAGAATCAAACAATAAATGCCAGTTAAAATATTAAGGATTTAAAATCCAAAATGAAAAACTAAAATAAAAATTATAAAACTCAAATGGTGGCTCGGATGAAAAGCAAAGAGTGTGTGGTTCGGATTGAAAAATGATGCGCTCTTGCCCTCCTCCGAGAATACTGGTTGCTGATGTGAGAATAAGAATAATCGGAAGTACAAACCAATTTGTAAACATAATTCTTCTCGCTCAAGATAAATGGAATTTCCGGGATACAGAAGAAAAGAAAATGAATATGTAATTGTTTTTAAGATGGGAGGAGGAAATATCAGGCATTAACGCTGAATATATCAAACATATTGTCCAGAAAAAAATAAGTTAACAAAGAAAATATTAAAGCATTTTTAGTTTAGTAATTCTGATATCTAACTATATTTGTCCCTTGTCTGTTGGTTTGTTTGGCTTCCAATATTATTGGTTACAACGTTTATGTAAAAATAAAACTACCCAGTGCAGAATAATATACAACAAAGATTATTTTAACCATATTTGCCCGATATTTTTCCTATATTTTGCGGAGGAAAACTATATAACTAAATTTAATCAGTCAATTTTATCAATTTAATAAGCAAAATGCTAAGCGTCTTAAAGCTCTGTATTTAAATTATATCATGTAATACATCTATAATTCTTGTGTTAATCTGTGATCTGGAGAGAGATTAAAGGAAGCAATAAAAGAAAGTTAGATCGTTGATAATCCAAGTTAGATCAGATCCTTATGAACTTTCAAGAGGAGAGAATGGATTAAGGGGGGTTAATGCAACTAGAAATAATCTATAAAAATTAATATTCTATTATTCCAAATAGGAAATAAGTTCAGTTTTGTGTTTAATTAACACTGCACCATTAACCTTTATTTTCTTATTCCAAATCCATTATATTTTTAGTACTACTGTATGGTATTCAATAGATTTTTTTTCATTTTGAACAGAATAAAATTAATTTTAGTGTAATACCCAAAGGCTCTTTAAAATATCATTCATATAAAAATTTTATATATTTTTTTGATATTTTTTCTTATGTTATTTTTTAAGTTTTTTTAATATTTATCATTGTTATATTTTAATAAAATACAGGATTTTTTATTTTGTTTTGTTTTTCAAATTCAATGTAATATTCAGTTCAAAACAAATTGAACCTCTAAGTCTATATGTATGTTCTTTAAACAAACAAAACCATCTAATGGGATTTCTAAAGCGTGTGCTGTATTGTGAATGAATACCTGTATCCATGGCTGCATAATTATCTAAAGGTACAAAAGTACTATCAGGGGTTGCGGTCACCACTGAGTTTGATGATATACTCATCTCAACCTGAAACACCGGAAGGATCAAGGATCTAGGATCAGGGATCTCGGATCTAGAATCTCGAATCTAGGAACTAGAATCTAGGATCTAGACTCTAGAAATCTAGGATCTAGAATCTAGGATCTAGAATTTAGGATCTAAAATCTAGGATCTAGAATCTAGGATCTAGAATTTAAGGTCTAGAATCTAGGATCTAGAATCTAGAATCTAGGATCTAGAATCTGGATCTAGAATCTGGATCTAGAATCTAGGATCTAGAATATAGGATCTAGAATCTAGGATCTAGAATATAGGATCTAGAATCTAGGATTTAGAATCTAGGATCTGGAATCTAGGATTTAGAATCTAGGATCTGGAATCTAAAATCATCATGGATCTAGAATCTAGGATCTAAGATCTAAAATCTAGAATCTAGAATCTATGATCTAGAATCTAGGATCTAGAATCTAGAATTAAGGATCGCTCTCAAACAATTTAAAAATAATATTTTTGATTTAATGAATTTTTAAAACAGTGTCACCTTCAGAAATGGGAATATAAAATGTAATGAACTCAAGTCTCAATTTCCACAGTCCAACTTATCAAACATATTAAAAGTTGTGAAAATCAACGAATTTACCACTTGAAGAAAGTGTCCACGATGATCTTCCATTTACAGAGTGACATGTCCGATTTACAACGGTCTTCTTCTATCTTCAGATTGGATATTTGTATTCTGCTTTCTATAAAATCTTACTTCGGAATTATACTGCAGACAAAAAGTAGGAATTGTCAGAATTAAAAAGTTTTCTTAGATACCGTTGTGAATGTGAATCGTACATGTCACTCTATTAAAGGAAGGTCACTTATAAATACATCTACGGTCTTTTAAAGAAAGAGAATGAACAAACAGAGCCATTTAAACTCTCCGCGTTCAGTAAAACGTTTAAATTTAATCCGAAACTTTCCAGGACTTGAAAAATAGTTTGTAAACAAGAGAGAAAAAAACTAGAAATGGTGGAAAAAGAAAAATCAATGATGCAAATTTTATAAGCTTTTTTTATTTCATGAAGGCATTCTGCATTAACCTTCGTAAATTAAAAAGGCCATAGCCTTGCATAGAATTATGAAATGCTCTAAACCCTGAGAATCCTTTAGCTTTGTGTTTGCCAAGTTCCTGTCACTGGAAAGCCCGAGCTGGACAACTGCTTGGACTTGAAAGTTTGAAACTTGGTAGGATTAGCTGAAGGACGAACAGAGGGGGGGG